ACAGAGAGATAGTAGGAAATTTAGTGTATGTAATGACATCAACTAGACCTGATTTATGCTATAGTGTGACTAAGCTGTCTCAGCATCTGTCTGCTCCTACAGCATCTGACATGAACACTGCAAAGCATGTTTTACGTTACTTAAAAGGTACATCAGAAAAAGGGCTTGTCTTCAGAAAATCTCAACAGCCTCTGTCTCTAATGGGTTATTGTGATGCTGATTGGGGTTCCTCAGTGGATAGACGAAGTATAACGGGATATGGTTTCCAACTAAATAAAACTGGTCCCTTGATTTCATGGAAAAGTAGAAAACAGCCTACTGTTGCTTTATCCACATGTGAGGCAGAATACAGTATTAAGTTCTGCTATTCAAGAAGCAAAATTTCTCTTGCAACTCTTAAAAGACTTTCCAATAGAATCCTCAAATCCTGTTAGTTTGTTTTGTGACAATCAAGGTGCGATAGCTCTAGCCAAAAACCCTGTGCAACATCAAAGGTCCAAACATATTGATATTCGCTATCATTTTATTAGGCAAGAAATACGAAAGGGTCTAATTAATGTAAAATATGTTATGTCAAGTGATATTATATCAGATATGTTCACTAAACCAATATCTGCACAAAAATTAAAAATTTTTATGTCTACTGTTTTTGGTAACAGATCTTGTAAATAATTTTAGATTTTGCTTTGTTTACCAATGTAATACATTTATTTGTAGCTAAAGAAACTAATGTTTAAGTGGGGGTGTTAGGTTAAACATTGTAACTTGATATTTCCTTAAGTTAACTTACTTATAGACACGTGAACATTCTTATGGGACTTTTACTGCATGCTATGATATATATTCAGTCGGGTCGAGCACATGTAACGCAATGGCGAACATATAATAAACTTGAGATATATTAGCTTAATAGTGTAATTTATTCGCTACCACCATCATGAATTCAACACTGACCTTAGTTCAACCTCAATCAATCAAAGAGGTTTTGCGAACCATTCATTAAAACGCAAACCTCGAAAATCTTATGCAAACCTCTGAGATCTTTGTGAGAATGCTCAAGCAAGTGCAAAACCTGCTTTGCACTGATCAGATCTTGAGTTCTCCAAAAGGTCTCCTCAGTTTACATAAGCCTGTGAAAACACAGTAAACATTTTTTCTTTCCTGACTTGATTGGGAAAGCATAAGATGAACATAAATACTGTTTCCTAAAGATTGTGAATCATTGGATACATTTACACCTCACATTACATTTATTGTATGTGACCAGTGGCATATCTTTTGTTCTGCTATGCAAATTATTCATGAGTTCACTAGCTGTAAAAACAATAGATTTCAAAAAAATGAGCAATGACTATGATCTGAAATTTACATAGCACAACCAAATTTGTGGGCTAACTTTTCGAATGTTCTTAACAGAATAAACTTCAAATTTAAATCATTTAACTATGCAATTAAAGTATTTCTGTCTATACACAAACTACAAAAGAAACATTGGTTATATATGATGAGCGACATTGTTTTAGCAAATTGTACTTTAGGAAAAGACAGCTGTACAGGAAAGTAATTTTGTGTAATTCTTAAGTAATAGTGAACAGAAATTCTTCTTTATTCAACTACAATGCTTTAGTTTTGAATGAATTTTTATCTTTCACTCACTGTTTATAACTATTGCAACTCGAAGTTAGTTTAGTTTTCAACTCAGTCCACAGAAAAGCCCACAAGCATATATTTATTACAGGATAAGAATTAATGTAGTTGCAAACTGTTTACGCATACTTTTACTATGTTTTAATGTTTTGTCAGTTGAATTTTCATACTATTGTCAATAAAGACTGTGTTATGTATACTGTGCTGGATTATATACTGGTGAATGAAGAAGAGAGGAAAAACGTTAAGGATGCAAAAGTGATTGCAGGAGAAGAATGTGTGACCCAGCACAAGCTGCTGGTCATGGACTGGAGAATCAGGAAGGTGAAGAGGAGAAAGGTTGAGGGTAAAGGCAGGCTTAAGCTATGGAAGTTACGATCGAATGAAGGGAAGCAGTGTTTCCGTGACGAAATTGCGACATTGAATGTTGAGGGTGAGACGGTGGAGGAGCGATGGACGTGCTTGGAGAAGGGTGTTTTAAAGGCAGCGGAGAAGGTATGTTGTAGAAGTAAAGGCGGTGTAGTAGAAGAACAGGCATGGTGGTGGGATCAACGAGTCAGCGAAGTGATTGGCGCGAAGAAGTTGGCATTTAAAAGGTGGAGAAAGTCGCGGACTGAAGCAGATAGGATCGATTACATCCGGTTCAAGAAAAAGGCGCGAAAGGAGGTGGCTAAAGCGATAGAAAGGCATCAGAAAAAATGCAGGAGAATGGACGAAAAGCGTTGTTTAGAACTGCTAGAAGAAGAAGAGAGGAACGATATTTTGGTGCTCCCGGCGTGCAGAACCACGATGGGGAGTTGAAGGTGTTATTGGAAGACAGGTTAGAAGTGTGGAGGGCGTACTGTGACCGTTTGATGAATGTAGAGAATGAGTGGAATGGAGAAGTTGAAGCGGATGAAGTTTTGGGGCCGTGGGAAATAGTGACTGTGGATGAGGTGGCGGCTGCGCAAGATGAAGAAAGGAAAGGCGACGGGACCGAGTGAAGTGGGTAGCGAAATGTTGGACAATGAACTATGCGTGAGAGAGTTGTGTAATGTAGCGAACGAGGTTTTGAGGGGCTCAAAGATGCCGAGTACATGGAGAAAGAGTCTAGTGGTCCCGCTGTACAAAGGAAAAGGAGCAGCGACGGTATGTGGGAATTACAGGACTATTAAGCTGATGGAGCATGCGTTGAAGATAGTAGAGAGAGTGTTTGAAAGAAGGTTGAGGGAAGTTGTTCGGATGGGGGAAGAGCAGTATGGATTCATACCGGGGAGAGGAACGAATGCGTGTTTTGTGTTGAGGCAGCTGCAGGAGAATTTTGGAGAAGGACAGAGAATTGTATATGGTGTTTGTAGATTTGGAGAAGGCGTTTGATAGAGTTCCGAAAGGTGATCGAGTACGCTGCGTAAGAAAGGTGTGACAGAGAATATGGTTCGGGCAGTTATGGAGACTTATGAAGGTGTAGAGGCGGTGGTTACGGAGGAAGGTGTTAGATCTGGTGTTTTGAGGTAAAGTTGGTGTTCATCAAGGTTCAGTCTTGTCGCCGTTACTGTTTGCTTGTGTGATGGATGTACTGACAGAGGAAGTGAGAAGAAAAGAAGGATGCTGGTGTTTGTTGTATGCAGATGACATTGTCTTGGTGGCGGAGTCGAAGCAGAAAGTGATGGAATGGTACCGAGAATGGAAAACGGCAATAGAAGTCAAGGGACTGAAAGTGAATGAGGCAAAGACGAAGGGCATGAGATGCTCGAGGCAGGTGGAGGTGAAGGACAGTGATAAATGGCCATGTGGTGTGTGTGGAAAAGAGTTGGAGTGAATTCGATAATGTGGAAATGCAAAGTGGGTTCATGGAAGATGTTCAGGTGTCCGTGGTGCATTGACAAGAGTAACTGATTTTGAGTGCGGGACGTGTCGAAGTGGTGGGCGAGTCGCGATTGAACGGTTTGAACTGGGTGACGTGAGTTTGGAAGGTGTATCGGAGTTTAAATATCTGGGCGATGTGTTAAATGATGGTGGAGCAAGCGGTGAGGAACAGAGTTCAAGCAGCGTGGTGGAGTTTTAGAGAGTTGTCGGGAATGTTGTGCGGAAAGTCGACTTCGTTGAAGCAGAAGGGAGAATTGTATAAGGCATGTGTTAGAAGTGTTTTGGGATATGGAGCAGAGTGTTGGGCGCCGAAAGCAGAGGACCTGAGAAGATTGGCGTCGACGGAAAGGAGAATGCTTAGGATGATGTGTGGTGTAACGTTGATGGATAGGATTTGAAGTGAAGAGATTAGAGAAAGAGTTGGTGTTGAGTGTATCGAGAATTGGGTAAGGCGCCAGCGTTTGAGGTGGTTTGGGCATGTGGAAAGGAGGGAAGAAAGTGCTGAAATTCGTAGAACGTTGCATATGAATGTTGATGGAGTCCGCAAACGAGGTAGACCGAGAAAGAGATGGATGGATGCTGTGAACAGTGATATGAAGGCGATGGGTATAACGAGAGATATGGCGAGAGATAGAGACGTTTGGCGTGGAAAAATTCATGGACCGGTCAACCCCCCTGGCGGGGATTAATACTGGCCGGTATACAAATGTTGTTTGTTTGTGTTGTTGTTGTTATGTATACTGTGCTGACTGCCATACAATATAATCTAAGCATTTGCTTCACATAAATAAGACCCTCCTATACAAGCCCAAGAAAGAGGGCATACAAAATTATATAAGTTCAAGGCTTATGGGCAAATGTTTACAGTATGATTCATGATAAAACATAGTGATTGTTAGGCCCATGGAGGTAGGGTAACCCTAGCAGATGGATTACATTAGCAAGCAAGTTACCCAATGTGAAATTGCTTTATATGTAGCATTTACATGTGTGCTAGGGTAACCCTGAGTGTTAGAGTTTCCATATCAAATTGATAAGGTTACCACAACAGTTGGGTTATGTTTTTATTTCATAAACCATAAAAATGTTTGAGACAAGGTAATCCCTTTCAGTAGGGCTATGTTCAAATCATACCTACTTAACATACTTGCACAACAGGGAAAATAAATTGCTTGCAAAGCATAAAATTATACACAAGATGCACTACATCACAGTAAAAAAAAATGGGCCATTTTAGCCCCATGAGGTCGCTTTGGCTTTTGAAATTGCTAGCCGTATTGGCTAACAATGAGGGCTAAAACAGACACAAGAGCCGTTTTGGCTCCATGAGGGTTGTTTTTGCTCTACAATTGGTGCCAAAATAGAAATATACGGGCCAATTTGGCCCCATGAGGTCGTTTTGGATTTTGAAATTGCTAGCCATATTGGCTAACAATGAGAGCTAAAACAGACAAGAGGGACCGTTTTGACTCCATGAGGGTTGTTTTTGCTCTCCAACTGGTGCCAAATTGGTTCGAGAGCAACTTGATGACTGCATCGAATCGGGTGACACAATACAAATATGGCGGCCAACTATTTCATGATGCACGCGCGTTTCGATTGCTGTTTTCACTATGATAACGGCCGTAGATAACTATGATATTGCAGGAAAAATAATATTCTATTATCATTCAAAGTATAGAGTTTTTGAAGACGACCATTTGCTTTGTTTGTAATGGTTTTGAAAGTGATTCAATTGTCGTAAGAGTGAACGGCAGAAAACAAATTATATCAGGTATTGTCTTGTACGAATGTATTTTTTGCATTTTAGCAGTTTTAATTGCTTTTGAACAAACTAAATCACATATTATGACAAAGATCTGATATTTTAGTTCTCAAAAAATTTTTGTAAGATTTTTTGTTGAACCCATTTGAGATTATTTAGCTGTTTTTTTTCTCAATATAAAGAGTTAGTGAACTTAGAAGTATCACATAAATTCAAGATGTACTTAGCTATATATTTCCTAAATGAACAACAAAATATTTATTTCTTTTATTTATACGCCTTGTTATCTAAGTCTTTACTCATGAATCTTGTTGTTTGCTGTAACTCAGCTTCAATACTTAATATTGCCCCTATACTAATTCTGAACAAAGAAAAACACATTTTTACATATGCTTCAATCATTCTGGTCAACAAAAAGCCTATTTTTAGTTGAAAATACTTCAAAGTGTAAACCTGCAACTCCAGTTATCATATTTCTCACATTTACAAGAAAATATGCCTTAGGGAACCTTAAGAAATGCACTGTTTTCATTAAAAATGGAATTTGTTCTTTGCTTTATGATGAAGTAATGGCACTTTTGAGCACATTGATAGGCAATACTTTACAATGTGATGATATTTGCTATGAAAATGCACACTGCATACTTTAAATCAGTAAATATTGGTATTAATTGTAATTGTGAATATCACATTTAGGCAAAACATGTGTCTGGTTATGTGAACAGACAGGATTCAGAAAGTGAAGTGGGAGTAGTACTGCAATGATCTTGACAATGCTATTAAAAGTGGTATCCTTGAAGAAGGTATTTCAGCTGATAATCAACTTCATACACATCAGAAATTCTCTTGAAGGAAATTAAACTAAGAAGGATCAGCAGTTGTTTCTCGATCAACATTTGTGTAGCAGTGTTTGCTATTTTTTAGGCGAATGTGCTGGTAGAGCAGCTATCGAAATCGCTCAAACTGTCTTCAAGCAGCCAAACAGCAGGAGGACGCCTCATGTTAAAGAAGCTGTTATCAAAGTTGTTAAGGTAAAACTGGCACTATATCTTTACTATAAAATGAGTATTACCATACTACTTCATTTTTGTTTCTCACATGACAAAAAGTAACTTGTGAACCCTAATGAAAGTAGACACTTACGACTTTATTTTGTAGTCTCAAGCTAATTTTCTAAATTTTCTCCTGTCTTTTTATCGTAGAATGGCGCTTTCCTCGATGAAAAAATAAGAACGCAAATTCAACCTTGTATTTTGGTAGTGGATGACCTTTATCAAAGTGACATTATATATGTGGTGGCAGAAGGAATAGTTTTGTGCCATGTAACAACCAAAAAGATTGGCGATGCTTTGGTTGCTTTGTTGGCCACGTACTATATATACAATATACAATACATTGATGGCAAGAATGTGTATAGCTTTCTTGACATGGCATTATTGGGAATTATCCCAGAGAAGTGTCCATCTTCTGTGAAAAGTTTAGTTGGAGGGTTATCAAATGTGTTCAACTAATCATGAATGCATATGCATGGTATATAGATTATGTTTTATTTCAATTCTTTTTTGTGAAGTTTAATTTGAGTGAGATAAAAATATGTCCATGTGAAGTATTTTAACGAAGGTGTTAAGCACTTATGTGCTTACGTATATTATATGAGTCTTGTTTATTGTAAGCTTTCAGTAATTTCATTTCTTTCCAGGGCAAGGGGCTGCTTTTTAGCCATTGCCAATTTGATGAGATAATGGGGCTAAATTGGTCCTCTTACCTGGGGCTGTTTCAGCTCCTCTTTAAAGGGCCAAAATTGGCTCTAAATTATGGGGCCGTTCTGGGGTCAATATTTTGGCCCCATTTTTGGGCCTTTTGTTTTTACTGTGATGACTTTACAGAGACAAACAATAAAACTAGAGCCCCACCACCATCTACAAGGAAGTTTTCGAATTGGCAAAGAAGCTTTTTATTCCATGAATGTTAAGTCTTCATTGAAAAAAAAACACTCAATGTGAATATAATATAATGAAAATGAATTTGAAACAATTTTCAGAGGTCTTACACTGAATTATGGATCTTTATAAATATGCCTCAAGGAAGCCAAAAAGTTTCATCTGCAATCAAGTCTACAACATGCTGATGTTGCTGTCATTAATAGTAATACACAGATCGATCAATGGTAGAGTCACCCCACACAAAAAGATAGCCTTGCAAGTATGGTATCCTATTCCCATGTAAACAGGCCCTTCTTAGTTTGGTAACTAAACAATACAACAGGAAGTCCAGAAATATTTTCAAGAATGAAAGAAGGAATGAAACCCAACATACTCATTTAATATTTAATGTAGTGTTTCGTCTTGGTCTTTTAAAATTATGAAATTCAAAATGCATCAAAAGTTTTGTTTAAAGCGACGTTAAGCTAGCCGAGTAAAATGATTTAGTGTTATAAAAAAGAGAAGTCGTTCCATTCCTGATGACTTTGATGTTAGTTTAAAACTTTAAAGTAGTTACACATTCCTGGACATTTTTTTGCTTTTTTTTTGTTTGCTTTGAACTTCTTTGACTGTTTTCTTTAATTGTAATTTATTTCACAAGTAAAGAGATCAAAGAATTTTTTTCAATTTCAGTCACATTGATATCATACAGCTAGATGTGTACAATAAAAGGCCCGTTTTGATTTCCAGGAGAGGCCCCGATGTGTCATGAGACAATGGCAAATAAGTCAGTGTGAGCCATTAAGAAACATAAGAAACATCTTATTAATCTTAACAACGACTACCAAAGCTTAATGAGCATTAGGCTCTTTAAATGAACATACAAAGGCAGAAGAATTCAGGTTTTTGAAGGTGTTCCACAAAGACACCACAATTATAAAGAGAAAAATAATGACCTTGAAATAAACTATTGCAGTATTGCAATGATAATGTTGTTAAAGTGTAATCATTGTTACTATATATTTATACCAGCTGCTAAATTATTTAAGTCAGTATTCAACTACGCGTGAATCAATTTATTACACAGACAATGAAGGTTACGCATAGTAAAATAGTGATGACATTAAGCTTTGACGCAATATGTGGAGAAAATAACTCATTTCTTTAAGGCGAAAAAATTGAAAATGAAGATAAAATCGCTCTATTTATTAAGTCTTAGGAAGGAAAACGTAGAAAGTTTGACGAGTTAAAAGATGTTGTGAATGTTTAGAAGTTCAACCGGGTGTAGGGGGATGAATTGATGTCGATATCAGAACATTTCGAGTTTGGTGTTCATTAGGTGTACTGTTAAGACATCGATTAGTCTAGGACCTATGACACAGACGATATGTACCCCCTACAGAGAAATAAGCCACGCTAAAATTCAGACTCCAACTTAACAAGATTGTTTTGTTCCCATGAAAAACATGGTGAATACGGTCGTTTCTGAATAAATTTTAATGAAGTCTGTTACGCGAAATTTTCTTATTGGGGCATTTTTCATTTTGTGGATGAAAATTTATTTATTTATTTTAACGGATGATTTAAAAAGTCACTTTCATTTATATCAAACATGTTTTATTACTTCCGCAAGGTGAGTCCAAATTCACCAGCGGGAAGACTTTTTTAGGAAGGTCCAAATCAGCTGAAACACTGTACACAGAGACGTTTACTCACTGAAACACTGTACACAGAGACGTTTGCTCACTGAACTAATGTTGGATGAAAATTACACAAAAAATGAAGACAGTGGACAGTGGCGTGCGGTGACCGAATTTAATAGGCAAGCGCTGGGGGTGAGGTTCGCGGCATGCTGCGAAGCTATCTAGGGGTTCTGGGGGCATGCTCCCCCAGAAAATTTTTGGATTTTGAAGGCTACTGGAGCGCATTTCCCGCGATTTCTGGGAGTACTTTGTCGAAAAATGTATCTGTCATGACTGAAACAGTATTGAAAAATCTAAAAATTCAAAACTTTATAGAGTATATATCACAATTACGGTTTAAAAGTATTACATGTGGTATTGTGATATAAAGTCGTTTTAAGTAAATGGCTACGCGTGCATTTCTATTGTAGTGAAGAAGTAACAGAACGAAATAGTCCAAAATCCTACAACAGATTTACTTAAATGTAAATTCCATCCGTCTTTCCTTTGCGCAAAACTCCTTTATAACGTCCTCATAGAATCGTGGCTTCCTGCAAACTTACCAACATCTCCTTCTCGATTGAAATTGTAGCCAATGCAGAAAGTCGCTCTTGCCCTTGTGTACTGCGAAGATACGTTTTGATACGCTTGAGAGCCGAAAATGATCTTTCTGCAGAGGAGGACGTACTTGGCATAGTAAGAATGAGCTGACACAATCGGTACACCTCTGGAAAACAGGCTTTCAAGTCAAGTTCGATTATTTTTGATATCATATCAAAAACAGGTTTCGATTTGAGCTCGGCAGATGCGTATACAACGATTAGTTCACTTTTAGTGCTTGAAGATTAAAGAATGTTCCATATGAATCTTGCAACGATTGCAGCTCTCGTTCGGGAAAATTCCGGCTGTACAATTCGTGCTTTGAATGATCCAACAAAGAAACGAATGCTCTGCTGTTAAGACTTTCGAATCTAGAGTCAATCTGCACGACAATGGTATCGACTACACAGAAAAACATTTGACGGAAGGACGCCTTTACATCCTCTTCACTTTGCCCGCGTTTCAGTGCTACTTTGACGATACTTGACGTAAAATTCCAATAATCTACGAATTTTGTTCGTTGTTCTTGAATCTTATCTTTCGTCTCGCGAACTTTCGTGACACAGAAGACAATATCGAACTGCTTACTCTGAATGATATTATACAAAACATCCGTAAGACCAAATATTTCTGAAAATATTTTAAGGCAGAACACAAACTGGAAATCTGCAAGAACTTGTCGGTAGCCCCTCGCTTCGTTTAACGTCGTACCGTCAAACTCGTCATCATTTTCGATGATGTATTCGAAAACTTCGAGCAGCTTTGCTCTTGTCTCCAGTACAGCATGGATTAACCTGCTCTGATAGTGCCATCGAACAGCTGTTCCAGTGGGAATGCGTCTGCCGACAACTGTGTCCAACAGGTATGTTTTCTTGGACGAGGCGTGAAAAAAGGATGAAAGACCAGTGACGATTTTAAAAAATATACGACACTCTTTAGTTGACGAGACAGCTTGAACAAGGACCAAATTTAATGCGTGTCCGCAACAGTGGATAAAAAGAGCATGTGGATAGTCTTCTCTTACTCGTGTTTGCAAACCGGACAGTTCTCCTGACATCACACTCGCACCGTCATACGTTTGGGCAATCAGTTTTCGCCGCATCCGTACTCGTTCAGGGTTTTACCGACTTCTTGTTTCAGTCTAGCCGCAGTTCTATCCTCACTTACATCGGTAAATCCAAGAAAGCGCTCCACAGCTTTACCTCTGGGTTGACATAGCGAACTATAGTTGTTAGCTGCGATAAGGTCTTAACGTCGGAGGTTTCATCCAGGGAAATAGCGACAAATGGGCTCCTCATCACTTCATCTTTTATTGCTTTCAACATAACGTCCTTGACAGCAACAATCAAATCGTTCTGGATACGATTAGAAAGTCCAGAAAACACGGTTGCTGTATGAAGATGCTGTTCAAGCGTGGGGTCATATGCACTTAGCAGTTTTATCAATTCGACGTAATTGCCCCTGTTGGCAGACTCCTCCAGCTCCACCCGACCTCTGAAAGAAAGTTCCTGTTTGCCAAGAAAGCAAACAACATCAATGAAACGGCGAAGTACTTCTCTATTCTTGTGCACCATCAAGTTGTGAGCTGAGATGTGTTGACGGGCCTGTTCGTCTAGCTGCATGTCGATGCGTGTACGCCCAAAACTGGCATTCATTAGGCAACTGGACAAGTGTGTCTTCGTTTTCTCGTGTCTGTTGACGGCATTACACAGGTTGGCCAAATCATCGTATCCCTTCTTGCACCAGACTGTCTTGTCTGTTGAGTTGAACAAAAGACACGGCCAGCAAAATAACTTATTCAATTTTGAGGAGCCAGCCAGCCATTTGTACTTGTCGTAATTTGACGTCTGAAAACTTCGAATAAAGACTTTACCCCTTCGCTTGGATGTTGTATGTAGTCCTTGCAACTCAGGAGTGGGACGGCCACCTTCGACGATCTCTCGTTTCTCGGAAAAAGGTCTCAATCCAAATGAGCGGGATAACAGTGATTCCACAATGTATTCAGTCATGTTGTACAGGTGTCGTGAAAATACCGAATTGTAGAAGTAGAACATAAAAGGATGAAAATTCCTATGCTATATATTTTATAGGAACATCAATCTTATTTATACCTTACATCAGTTACATGATATCTTGTAGTGACATACATAACGTGCGTACATTACTCATCTAGATTCATGTATTAACAATAGAGGAAATAGCCAATCCTACACTTACTCAAACGCGCTACTTAAACTTATAATACGCACTTTACTTTATAATTACGTAAAACTACTCAAATTTCAAGTACATTATCCGCTGTGTAATAACTGCACCTTGTTTATCAAAATATATAAAAAGCCTGTAAATAAATTCTAACATATAGAATACTCAGTTACTCACGACTGTTGTAAATAGCTTCTTTGCTAGTGAATAAAATAATCACAAAATTTAATAGCGTTCTAGTACATTGAAATCACGTTCAGAGCTCATACGCAAGACTTATATAACGCTAAAGTATAACATGCTACAGATAATATCTTCTACATACATAAATTAGAAATCTACTACTACTTTGAATTAGAAATCAGGACATTACCTTTCGCTCTCAGTCATCTTTTAATAAACGATAACATTAACGGCGTGAATAATTCGGATGTCCAATGTGTTGAATATACGAATATTATTCGTGCGCTGATATGTGTTTAAAATTGCGAGCGTACAAGACTGTTGACCAATCGCTATCAAGCGACGCCCTTAGAAGCGCCGCTTGCCTTTTCTCGATATTCCTCGAATAAGAAGCCTCCAAATCTAGATTAACGCATGCGCAAATGTTCAAATTGAGCTCCGAAGGCAAGCGCGCTTGCCTTGGTTAATAAATAATTAATTTAATCCACTTAATTTAATACACTTGACTCATCTTACAAGTGTAGCAAAGTGAAACCGAAAACCACGACAGTAAATCGCGTATAAATAGCAAGCATTTCAACTGTAAAGACAATTTAGACAAAAGATTACATTGACATTGTTTAGAACAGAAAAATTTAAACTGATTTTGCTCAGAGATTGATCCAAAAAATTTTTGTTCGGTAAAATGCTTAGGCAAGCGGCGCTTGCCTACGCTTGCATGACCGCACGCCACTGACAGTGGATAAAGATACAGTTGACACAATATCAAGTACTACCATGAATAAAAAGTACAGTAGACGGAGTGAAGAATACAAGGAGTGTTATGGTTATGATCATGTGATCACGCAATCTTCCATTTTAAAATCAAGAGATTCCATAAATGTAAGAAAATATGATAAGGTTTAACCATTAACTGCCCTCTTGACTCCAGAGCACTCTGAACGGCGTGCTAAGTAAAGGCAAGGCATTAAAAGAAGCACCAACACCTGAGTTATGGAGTTGAAACAGTTTATATGATACATTTATGTTAAGTTTCATAACGAGATTTTCAAAAGAGTCAAGTCAATGTAAATGTGCGAGAAATGGAATTGAGGCACGGACAGTTTAAAGCTTTTGAATGATTAAAGACTTTCTTACAATAGCAGAGGACACTGTTAGTTCATTAGAACATAAAGGAAAAGTTTACGGCATCATGTGAGGCTTTAGCTACCTTATGGAATAGAAGAAGTGCTATATCTCATAAAATGACGGACAGAGACGAAAGAACAACAGCTTCAAAGACGTTGACCTTGTCAGTAAAGATATATACTCAGCTTAACAAGGAAGGATTGTCATTGCCTTGTGCAGTAAAGAAAAAATGTCAATTCCTTTATGATCATCAATTCAAGATCTATACAGAAAAAACTGTTACCACATTTACTCGCTTAAGCACTGCACCCGAATGAGCGCCGCATCTAAAGTTCCCAATATTTGAAGAGCGCGGAACAAACACAAACAAATATATACGGTACCGGTACTTTATATTTTTCAAATGGGATAAAGCTGTGCCAAAAATGACGTCGGCAGAGTTCAGCGATTGTCTTTTGGCATACATACAAATATGATTGTGAATCTGACAACCAAAACTATAGAGCCCTGTGAAAGCATGGGACATGAGATAGAATATTAGACAGTGGACTCTGAAAGATGCAGTTTTTAGCCAACAAATTAGCCATTTTAATGCTGAAAGAAGATTAAATGAACAAGATGGATGTCTGTTAAGTGAATTTTGTGTACCTGTTCCAGCACAAGGAAAAAGTGGCATCCTGGATCTTTTTCATGAAATTTATCCATGAAAGTCGAGAGTGAAATGCACAGCCCAGGAGATGTCATGGATGCATGGTGGCCATGAATAAAGACATAGAGAAAAAGGAAAGAAAGGTTTAACTGTTAAGCTCAATGCTGAGAGTTCAGTAGCAGAGAACACTGTAACAAGTACCTCTACATGTATCAGTAAGAACCTTGTTGATTGAAACTGATAAAAAGATGAACATTACTTCAACCAGATATCAAAAGACAGCAAGCAGTTTCCAACTATGATGTATATGAGAGAAATTATGAACACCCTACAGTCTCTGGTTTCCAAAAAAATTGTGTAATTGATAACTAAGTTTTTTTTGGTTAAAATTGAGCTGTACAAACTAATGTGACAACATCAAGACCAAATGTGATCTTTTACTTACAAGAACAAAACAAGCAATGCTACAGAAGAAGCTAAAATCTCTAAATCCTTAAAAGTGGTGAACTTTGAAAACTTAATGGAAAAAATCAAACTAAATGACTGAGGTCAATTTCTAATCAACAAATGATTAAGTGCATTGGTACATGACATGTCGACATGTTGGTATGAGCATCAATAGATAAATAATAACAGACATATAAATATTCAATAATTTATAATTTAGATTTGCACTTCAGCCACATAGAGCAACATATTTTATAATGATGAAACACATTTGATATTATTGCACAAGAACAAGTGTTATCACTTTTTACCACAAAAGATTCTGTTGTCGAATCATGAATGAGATATTCTTACTTATTTGCTAAATAACCATTACATGCATGTATTTGGAAGGTAAAAAACACTCTTCGTCTTCTAAAATACTGCAAGGTATTGCTTTTAAATTATTTTATTCAATGCAGAACTGGTTATGGTCATTGTACACATAATGAAGAATTAAGTAAATTTTTTAGTCAATATACCTTAAATTTCTAAGCAAATTCCACAGTTTTATTTGACAAAAATAACCATTTACTTCCTTAATGATCTAATAAACTAATAAATACCTTGACAAGATGAAATCCAACAGAACAAAAGAAATGAAAGGAAGCCAAACTTTTCCATCTTGTATTCTGTCTATAAAGATTAAGGTGAAGTTGTGACTTAAGTAAAGTCATAGAAATAGTACAGAAATATATGATGTATTCCTTCATATTTTATGTATATTTTTAATTTCCTATCACCATTAATATTGAAGGAAACAAGAGCAACAGTAAAACTTCCAAAATTTTCGATGGAAAACATTGTATTTCGGTGTAAATTCATGGCAAAAATCCTCTGTTGTTGTCAGTAAAACAAGATTTTTTTGTTTTGTACTTTGCGGAAGTACTAAAGAACTTTCCACTATGATACATCTCAGACAACTTCTTAATTCCACAGGAAATTCCGTAAAATGTCAATGAAATTATTTAACAAAAAATCTTACAGTAAATGGTTTGAACCCGGAAGTATCGTTACATGTTTGTAAATGTAGATCGAGCGGTGGTCATCTTCAGAGTGAAAATGGTTGATTTTGACTCTGAAGATGACTACCGCTAAGGTTGTCGAAACGTCAGTCAACAACAACAAAAACAGTCTTTCTCAGGACTATACTAACCTGGACGATCTACAATTACAAACATGTAACAAATAATCTTGTCCAACAATATTTGTTAACATTTTAAATGGTTCACTTTACCTTAAATACTGAAGTAACTAAGCTGGTGAAAAGCCTTCACGTATTTCTTAAATAAACCAGCTAATTTTCCTTATTTCAAAATTATTTCCGGATCTCATGTTGTGCAAATATTTATATAAGTAATGAAAAGAATGTAAACGCCGTGACAACGCTGTCATATGTAACAGAGCGATCATATTTTATCAAAACCTCTCTCATGACAAGCCACGCAAATTGCCCAGAGTTGTTTTAAAAACAGAATACCAGCCACACGATCTTTATTCTGTAATTTTATCCTTACATATGACTTAATGCTGATTTTAGATAAATGTATAAATTGTGAAAGTATACTTCGACACGCTGTGCCAATATCCATTTCCTAGTTGATTACAATGCTCTTGAAGTCGATGAACATCCACAAGTGGATTTTGTAAGAAAATCATTGTGAAAAATAACATCTGTATAAATCACTTTTGCTGAAATATTCTTAGAAATTTTCACAATTTTAATGCACAATTAAAAATTTCTAATACTTTGTCTACAAAGAATTCCAGATGGGGGGGGACTTTGGAATCGCCGGGGGCCCTGCAAAAGCTTGATCCGCCCCCTGCTTACCCTATCTATCTTACCAATGATGTTATCCTGCAGTTTTTAGCTGAAAATACCAAACGTGGCTAGATTGAGAAAGTTCTTAACGAGTCCCAGGGGGCATGCATCATTGAGAAATTTTTGATTTCGTAAAACAGTGAATCAAATGACAAATAACCAAGTTGTCCTTTAACTTTTACCACTTCAACCCAAGCAACTTCAATTCAGATGGTTGGAATGCAAACTTCTGTTTAGCAAAGGACTGTACATGGATGACGTCAGACGACTTTGCTCTTTTTAATCGGGTATATTAGAAGTTAAAATTGTTTAAAAAATAGCAAATACCATGGTGAATGGTTAAAATAATAACGTAATAGTTCTTAAAAGAACTGTTTAAAACCTGAACACTAACCAAACAATTTTAAAGAATTGTTTTTAAAGCTGCAAGACACTATGCATTTCGGCAGACTACTCATCAGACAAAAAACACCAAAATAAAAACTTACAGGCAATATAAACATTTACTTTCTTTGTGTGTCAACAGTATTAGCTACGATAGTAAATGTGTAAACACCACTGTTTGATCGACATTCTTTAACATCAGAGTTTCAGGTTCAAAAACTTGAAATGTTAAAGGTGATGAATCATATCGCGGTTCACCATTACCAGTTATCGTTACAAGTCGTTGTGCAGCAGTAGAACCACGAGGGATAAAGGATCAAACACGTACAATTATGGATGAGGTAACTTCAAATCTCCAAGTTATATTGTGAGAAGATCCAGGTAAAAATACAAATCTTTGACTAACCAGGTGTGGAAAAAACATAGATGCACAGAATTGAAGTTTTTGTTATTGGTCACAAATACCAAACATTTCTGCAATTGATGGAACGGCTGTGAATATTGTCCACTGATGAGCATAATTGAGATATTTGTTTGCTGAAAACTACCATTGATGTTTATGGAATTGAAGCATTGTTTACACGAAGCAAGGATAGAGCTAACCATTGTGCAGTGACTCACACGTTAAAATTTTGTTCACTGAATTGTTTTAAATTGCAGTTTGCTGTCTTCCTAGAAATTTTTAAATTAAAAAATTGCTATTACCGCCCAAGCTTGCTGAAACAAAGCCACTCAATGTTAGCTTGTCTTTGGGGGTAGGTCAAATCTCACATCTACAGTAGACACGAAAATAAAGAAGCAAAAATATAATAATGATCACGAAATTGTTCTATTCGTAAACATCCCTTACACTAATGCATATGAAATCATTCAATCGTAAAGAAGCAATTTAAAGAGTTTTCCATCACACTCCTTGACATTGCTTGATTTTTCTATCTAATTTCTACACTTAATTTCTATGTAAATAAAAGTTTAAATGGTTTAACCATGATAATTAAAATAATGAAAGTAGAACTACGATTAAAACAATATTCTATTCAAAATGCTGCGTTAAAGTCAGTGTGTAATGTTGTTGCCTTATAAAGGCTAGTAAAATACATTCACAAACTGTAGCATAGATGCCAAGATTCAAGTTTGTTCATGGCAAAAGATTATGTACACAGACACAATCATAAAGTATTCAGTTTAATAGTGTTTAGAGATCAAATCTAGATTATCTAATGAAGAACAAAGTTAATCTTTATAAATGTAGTAAGTCTTTACACATTCTCTTCTTTTACTAACGACGATCGCCAGTTCTAAAGGAAATTTATAATAAGATTAAACTACCAAAATAAGAGAAAGAAAAGCATGTTTTCGGCATTTTTTAAAAAAATATTCAACAAATGAATCTATTTTTACTTTTACTTTTTTCTTCAACCATCAATTAATGACGTCGACCTTTGTGGATATTTTCCAAAAGATAAAACTTACTATTCCTTCTTTTCATCTCCTTTTTTGTCACCGCCTTTCTTGTCGTCTTTTTTCTCGACAGGTGCCAGTTTACTCATATCAATACTGGCGTATTCAGTTGGTGCAGGACGATTTTTGTCTGGCTTTCTTTTAGGTTCATCTTTAAAGTCAAGGTAGGAGTATAACTAAATAAAAACATACGTATATATTGTCATTGTATATGTATATATTTTATCAGCTTGAAGATTTGTAATCCCGACATAATTCTTGTTCAAAATTGAAAGTTTCTCCGGATTGTAAATAGCTAATAACTTCATAAATTCTGAAGAAGGCAGGAAGCATCGAGTCGAAAGCACAATAAAATTATATATAAAAATCCGGAGAAACTTTCAATGTTTAACCATATATTTTATCATATATGCATAAGATGATAAAATATACATAGGTTTTTTATACATCGTAAATGACCTAATAAACACAGGACGTTAAATAAATGCATTAGCAGCCTAGAAAGGGGAGGGGGGCCTTCAATTGACACAAGGAATTAAATAAAAAGACTTTTACATCATTCTCCATCGCCATATTGTGAGCACATAAAAACAAAGTCAAGACTAATTATACGGTTTCTTAGCGCAAACGATAACCCACTGTTAACAATGGCAACGTGTGGGGTGAGACTATTGGAGTCAAAGCGTTTATTAGAGAGAATCGTCAAATATAAAATCAAGTTTCAATGAAGCAATTCGTACGTATTATATTTTTCAATTGCGTTTACAGGTCTTTGGGGATCATGTATTGCTGAATTGTATAAATTCCAAATGTCGCGGGTGTTTTCAAATATGAGCAGTTTTTTTTAAACACCCTGCATAATCTCCATGATGCATTCAAAATCATTGCCATAATCCAACTAAAACAAAATAAATGCACAAATCCCATTTATAAATAATAAATGACAAAGATCCACAACAAACCGGATTTCCTTCTCTATTTTCTCTATCGATCGAGGCATATACAGGTGGCGGTGCTTTACTTGTTGATGGTTTATTTTCATTACTTGTTGCTGGATTATTTACTGTTTCATATTGATTGCCAACGGATTCATAAGCATTTTCTCTAAGTCCTCCAGCCTCTTCATAATGATTGGGTTGTGGATTATTAGCTCCAGCTAAAGGTTCAACACCATTTTCACCGCTGCAACATTAAAAAACATGATTAAATTTTGAACATACTATGGACGAAATCCGACAAAAACTTAAATAGCAACAAAAACAGTTACTCAAAGTTCTTCACAGCACGAACAATAAGACGTTGTGAAAATGTCGTAAAAATGACGTGAACTTAATTATACACGACCTTCTCAAATTATTTTACGTTATTTTCACCACGGCGTTTGAATGGCACGTCGTGTTCAATATTTTCCTCTAACAACTGATACATGCCACAAAAACAGAATCACCATTACAAATTATACAAACACAATTAAAACAAACAATTCACTTACTGGTATCCATTTTCTACAAATAAAAGAAGACAAAAGTAGATGTTTAATAATTTGACATAAACGACAGCTTTTAAATAAAAAAGGAATTCTACTCAACGTTTCCAACCATGAAAAATTCTTATGTTGAACTTACTTTGCTTTGATTTATAACAGCAGAAAATGACAACGACTAGAATGGCGACAAGGAACAACATTCCAACGACAATACCAATGATAAGACCGATGTTTGATCCACCGTCGCCATCTTTGCCGACTGTAGAAAAGGAATTAGTTGAGCGACATCACAGAAATATTTGTGAACTTTGATAAATCCTAACAAACAGTGTTATTAATAACGACTACAAATTCTAACAATAATTAATTTCTAGGTCAAACAAATACTTTGAAATAGCCAAAAGCCAGACTAAAAGAATTGTCATAAGCAAAAAAGGAACACTAAAGTATGTTGGCGTCCTAAATGGGAACAAAATTGCTGAATTTTAAAAAGAGCTTTAAAAACATCAAGATTAATGCATGCTTTCCAAAAATGATATTTCCACTTGGAATAAACAACAGAAAACGTTAAAATTACCGTTATTAGTGGGAGCGGAACTAGTTGATGGCAAAATGGTCATCGATGAAGACATTGTCGGCAATGAACTGGAAGAACTTTGTTGCTCTAGCACAATGACAGAAATGGTTCGCATTAGAATTACATCATTAATGAAATTCTTTTATTTCTGTTTTTTATAGTATATTAAAACACACTTAGAGTGCCATGAAATACAAGAAAATAGTTTAAGCGCCAAGTATTCTATTTAAATTAATAAACTCAAGGCAATTAATGTTTAAGGCAACTTTAATACCGTTAAAATGAAATACAGATATGCTGAAATTTTTTTACTTACGCTTACTGAAGAATGTATACATATAGCAAGAAATAATATGTTTAATGTTACTGAACTCCCCTACATTTACTTCACCACACTAGAAACAACAGTAGATTTTTCTTTAAGCTCCCCTAACTTAGACTTTAGTTTGTATCGAATTTTATAGAAAACGACGACTAAACGACGAAAACTCCGGTATTTTTTGGCCATATTGATACAACGCTGTGATTTTCTTGTTAAGTGCGTACTCACTCTACTTGTGTACGCTACAAGTGATGTTTCTGCCTATCTATCGTTCAATCTCAGAAAGGAACGGACGGGAAACTAAAGTCTTGAGTTGGTGCGGCAATAAAATGAAAAGCTGTTGCATTCGTAGCAATCTTCTAGTGTTTAATATAATTTCATACGACTGTTTTAAGTGCAGCGAAGTAAAAAGAACTTCATTAATATGTTAAGATGACCATAGTCCGTCAATTTTTGCTACCAAAATAGCTCGTACATGATGCAAAATAAAAGTCCAACAAGAGATAAACTGAGATTCTTAAAGTTACCTCGGCTGACAGTAAGATTTTTAACATCAGATGAATCATTTCCCAGTTTATTGTTTGCTTCACAACGATATGAACCTTTGTGACTGATGTTGACAGATTGAATGCTGTATGTCTTTTTGTCACTGACAACAGCATCATTGTGATAAATAATGAAGGCTGGCGGAGGAAAACCATCTGATTCACAGGATATAATCACACTTTTACCAATTTTTGCATTTATTTTTGATAGGGTTATGGTCGTACTTCTTGGTTTATCTAAAATTTAAAATTCAAAATTCTACGTATTTGACAATTTGAAAACTTTATTGCAAAAAGTACTAAATATATAAGTTCGTAACTTACAATTCACTATTATTTCAATGGATTTTTCGTCAATGAAACGTGGATCATTAAAACTTTCAGCTTTACATCTGTAACTTCCACGATCATTTGGTGAGGCACCAGTGATTACTAATGTCTTACTTTCAACTCCAACATCACCAATTATGTTGTTATCTTTATCAAACCATGTGACATTAGCAGGAGGGTTACCTCCTTCACCTCTACATACACATGACACACCATCACTTTCATTCACAAACAGAGGAGATGAACAATTAATTGTCGCGTTTGGTTTAACTGAAATAAAAGACAGAGTCATTATAATTACCACGATATAATTATATGGTATATATCTGTATGTGTCAGTGGGGTAGACGCATTGAATTATAACGTAGGAGTTATATCTAAAATAGAAGATTTGTAAAGGATAAAATTCAATATTCTACAGTCATTAAAAGCATAATATTTTCATCACTTAAATTATGTAGTCATTAGTCCGCTTTGATAAGCACAGTCAAATTATTCTGGTAACACATAAGGAGAGCAACATTTTAAAATATGGGAAACTTTGCAGTGACTATAAATAACATCTTGGTGTTAATTTTGGCTTAGACTCAAAGTTCATTTACTTCGTTGCCATATTTATTTAGGAGCCACACACTACGACTGGAATACAGAAAAAGAGTTGGATAAAGTTATCAATTTGAGCCTACGTGTTTTAAAACAAGTCACTTTAAATCTTTCTTTTCTCGTATACAAAACATAGATCACTCAACAAGTCGCGAAGTAAAAAACCTGCACGAATCAGAAGAACGTTTCATTACAATTAATCTAATTTTCTGTCACAAGAGAACTTAATTTTGGGAGTTGGTAGATCTTATCTGCCAGCGGTTAAAATATACCGAGGCCTTTATAATTTTTCATATTACACACAACCTCTTTCAATAATTGCTGAATATTGTATTTTCAAACGAATTCAGCCGGGCAGAGCTGAATGTAAAATATTCATACCAATTGATTGGCTAACGATAAGGGCCAAAACTTGTATGCTAATTAATTCACCATATCTCAACACCATTCACAACTTTGGGCAGCTGTGAAGAAATCGGTACAATTCTTACTTTTCAAAAATATTGATGAGTTGAAATCAGCTTTACAACTGTGCCCCAGACTAACTGCATCTATGCCAAAGCGCATTAATCCAGTTATTCAAACTAGAGGAGGGCCTAATTACTGACTACCTAAATGTATACATTTTTTGTGTAAATTGAAAGCTATGTATTTGTTGATTTTACAATTTATAGACATGCAATAGTATCAATAACACCACAAAGAGCCATCACCTTGTTTAAAGTGTTGCGGTTGTATTTTTACCATTCGGATTGTTTTTAAATGTAGCTTTATGAATAAGATTCCCAAGATGGCAATATTATTCTAACTTAGAGTTTAATTTCTAAATACAACAAGCAACTGTTATATACATTTCTTCGGCTACATTTTCAGGCCAAGTTTCCCTCATTAAATACTCAGAGCAATGCATACAATACAAGAAACATTGAAATAATTAAAACTTACCAGCAATATAAACATTTACTTTTGATGGAGGAGTAGAAGGAGTAGCTAAAATACTAAATTCAAATTCACCATTGTAACTTTGATTTACATTCTTCAGCCTCAAAGTTCCAAGTTTAAAAACTTCAAATGTTAAAGGTGATGGTGAATATTGGGGTGTGTCACTATTAGAAAATATTGTTGCAAGTTGTTGAGGGGAAGATGAACCACGAGGTGTAAAATTCCAAAGCCATGCATTAATGTTTCCAGTAACATTTAATGTCCAACTTATATTGTGAGAAGATCCAGGTAAAAATACAAATCTTTGACCATCAGGTGGAGGTATTATTGTTCCTGAAATTGAAATTGGATATTAATACGTCAAAAACCATTTATGAAAAAACTATAGATGCATGGTTGTAAAAAGTGATGTACCTCTGCAAGACAAAATAAATATTGAAAATGCCACGATTAAAATTCTTACACTTGCCTTCATCATTTTTCCTAAAAAATAGAAATATTTTGTATGGCTTTAGAATTCATTAGAGTTAAGAGCACCATTTTCAATTTCAACCACACCATATATCGAGCCACACCCACATCTACAGAATACTTTGATGCTCAAACCAGTAAATGTAGTATTTCAAATGCATTCTTAATTAATTTGGACACAAATATAAGAGGTATAATTTTTCTTTCACAACTTTTGATTCTAACTCTACTATCATTATCAAGTAATAAGTTCACAGTTTCAGTTTGAGTGTATTTTCTAAAATTACGGTTGTTGATAGACTTGCATTTCACAGGGAATTGTAACGCTTTACTTCATTAAACAAACTTGGAAGGTCATCAATTTGGATAAAAAGAAACTCGCAAGTTGAAAGAAAGAAATTGATTTGAGTAGAAAAGCAAAGTTCTACTAAGGCAGGAGCGTAGATCAACAAAAATAAAAGACATAGCTTAATGATACATATATAACCAGGGCCGGATGAACCTCTCAGGAAGCCTGGGGCCCATCGTATGTTCGGTGACCTTTATTGCACAAATTTCTATGCTGATACTTAGACCATACGACCTAGGCATGCAATAAAAACAGTCCGTTTTAGGGCCCTAAAAACAAATTTCTCAATGTGTAGATAAAGAAAGGGCAGTTTGGCTGTGCTATGACCCCTGTCATTTCTAGGTTGTTGAGCCGAATGCTTGGACAACATTCTTTTACCATATTGTTGAATATTCTTTGCATCTTTCAATTAGTCATATATTAGGCTTGGGATTATAGCTAAATACAGTCCGATGTCATTAATTCTGTAGACGTTACTTGTATTATCAGTTGAGCAGGTAGACTGATCTAGTTGGTTGGTGGCCCCTTTTAGTGAGTAGCCCGAGGCCCAGACCCCTTGGGCACACTCCTTTAGTTGACCCTGTTTAAAGTAACTAAACAAAATTAGTGTCTTGCTGAGGGAAACTAAAAAGTGGTTCATTTTCAAATTGGCTTTATTTTTGATGATGATCCATCTCCCATGTTGGATGAGTCATTACCAAAACCAATCATATATTTACAAGTTGATTCACCCTAACAGATAACAAATGTTGACAACTGACGAGTCAATTGCCGAAAGGCAAAGTGTCTTAAGTTTGTAACAGTTCTTTTCAGAACTTTGGATTTTTTTTTTAGTTTTTCTCTTGTTAGTTTTTTCTCGGTTATATCTAGGGTTTCGTGGTTTTTTATTTGGTTTCATTCCATTCATCATGGCAATTGTTCACTTTAAGTGTTTGACAAATTGCTCACACAAATTTGTCACCACGACAAAGTCTCTGTTTTATAGATTGCGATGTGTTGCATAAGAGCGTGAAAGAGGGTTCGGAGAGGTGGCAGAGCGATGACATTAGGGGGTGTTTACATGAATCCGGAATGAGTTTCGATCCGGAATGAACTCATTCCACTTTAAAAGAAATCCTATTGCATGTTTACATGAATCCGGAATGAGTCACAACTCGATCCGGATCGAGTTCATTCCTAGTTTCATTCCGGATCGAAATTTACTTTTTATCTCATGTAAACGCGAATTGAGTTCATTCTGGAATGATATTGTGATTAATGACGAAGCACGCATGTGACATGGGTATTGTCTTCTGGCAAATTGAAGCTCGTAAGTAAATAAAGAGGCTAAATGGGTTAAAATGAGTGCGAAGAAAAATAACAATTAGTTTCATGTAAACACGGATTGACATCACGTTTCGATCGGGAATGAAAGTCATTCCGGATTCATGTAAACACCCCCTTAGAGAGCTTTAGCAAAGACTACGAGTACGAATTACGTCATTTTGGCGCGAAAAACACGTAGCCGTCATCAATCTGAGTATGATGTTTTGTAAAAAATTCGTAGTCGCGACTACGATGTCTTTTTAAGCAAAGAAAGTAGGAATATTTTTTTATTGTGTAAGAACTTAGTTTACAGTACTATTTTCGAGCATCCAGGCTTTACTTTAGAACCTTTTTTGAGCGCATATGTACATTTAAAAAATATGACCTTGAAAACTTTCATGTATTTCGAACACAAAGTAAACGGTAAACAAACAATAAAATAGCATAAATATAATGTACATAAAACTTAAAATAGTGAAGATTTTTCACTCTAAACAGTCCTATGTTCTCGCAAAATCAGTATTACCGATTAGTTGATATTATTATTGACAAATGGAGCAGTAGCTGCTTCGCAAACGTTGGTATTTTCACAATAAAAAGGCTCGTTCTGTTGTTTATAGCTAAAACTAAATTTTGACGAAGCGACAACGACAACAGACTTCCTCGTGCCATTCCCTTACACGGTCAAACTTCGTCTTGCTAAAGCTCCCTATTGCCTAGGTAAGGAAAACCTTGCAGATTTTGGGAAAGGAGGAGTGTTGGTAAGAGAGTTAAAAAATAATATATTGTGGTGGTCAAGACCATCTTGGTTGCGTTGTAGTTCCGAATATTATCCTATTGCAGCAGAGAAGCTCCCACAGTAGAGGAAACTCGAGAAGATAAAGTCTCTTAATGTCAACTAGATGATTAGTGCAGAATCATTTGTTGGGATCGGCTAAATATTGAATTATTTTGTCATCCAAAAATTGTAAAAACGACCTTATTTCACCGTTTCGTCTTTTTACTCTTATTCTTCTTCTTATGAATCTGCACTTGTATACTTCGCGTGACATACAATTAAAACGTATGTACTTTGCAAGTGTTCTATCCAAACTTCAAATTGGCCAGAAGTTTGTCTTGTGCATGGTGTATATTCAAAGTTATCACAATCAACTTCATCCGACAGAAAACCAATATGCGTACATGGAAGTCATAACGTTGAACGCGAAATTCATACATCATATCATCATAGTCAATAAAACCAAACGGCTTATTTACCGCTTTGTCTTTGTCGAAGCGTTTAGACTAAAAATGTTTACTTTATACGGAATGTCAATTGTCTTGCGTTTCAGCATCGTTTCTTACTTTTGATGAAAAACGATGACTTGTACAAACAAAATTTGCCTTTATGGAAATATTATTCCTGTGACATCCTTTTACGCAGAATTATAATATACATAAATATTCACTTAATACCTTAAAATATTTTCATCGATTTCCGCCCAATTTACTACCTTTATTCTTAGGTATTTCATTTTCAAAAGCACAAACAAAAGCATTTTAAATGAAGAAATGCTCACTGATTTTTCTCACAATTTGAAATTCAAAATCGCCATAATTTTCGTAATGCGAATTCAATACACGGCGTGATGGCGTCTTCCAAGTGGGATGAATATTTACGCCAACACATTACAGCAAAACAATCTTTATTCTTAAGACTTACAACAGCAAGTACACATGTGCATTAACAATAAAACAAAATATGACTTACCCAGATATTTAAACTAAATGTAACTTACCCAGATATTTTGACTTGTTTCTTTGTCTTGTTTCTTGTATTTTGTACGTCAATGTCGTCGTCAGCAACACAAGGATATTGGCCTTATTTAATATTTAATTTTGTAGATATTGAGACGACAGCTAAAGTGTGATCTTTTCAAGTGCTCGATCAGTCTTTTAGCAAGTAAACCAACAAACTGAACATTCAACAGCTCAAGTAAGTAAGAAACATGTTCACTTTCAAATGTTCAATTGCTATTGCTAAGCAGTTTGCATTATGGAAGGTATTTAAGGTCATGTGACGTTAGTATCAAATTCAAAAACAAATTCTCATATTCATATGTAAATTGCATACAAGGCTCCCCAAAGTAGGCAGGGCGTAATCGTTTGTTGAATACCATAAAGGCTTTTAAGGAATTAAGTAGTTGAAGGAAATTTAATTGCAAATCACATGAATACATTCTAGAGAAAAATTAAAATGTTTGTTTTACATTTATCTGTTTGCATTATTGCTATTTTCTAAAGAAATAAAAGATGATTGTGTTTGCACTGGCTTAGGTAAATCGAGGAGACGTTTATGAGAAGTACAAGCGGGTGCAAGGTGCAACCGTCAACCACTCGTCCTTCTGTCTCGGGCTTTCACTGATTTTCTATCAAGTTCTCCTAAGTCTCCTCACTTTGTATAAGCCTTTAAATAAAAGCATAAATAAATCAGAAAACTATGTAGAGACAGGCAGACTGAGGTCAAGTCGAGGTCTCCAAAAAAGTATTCCTAAAATTAAAATGTTGTGTACTGAAATGTTCAAAAGATGAAAGGTCTATTTCTTTGACCATCCTGTGCAAACATATATTTTATATCTTTTTTTAAACAAGCTGAGAAGAGCTACGACTTGTATAATGGTAACAATCCCATTATCCAGACAGGACACAGCAGTTAGTGGAACTGAGGAAGGGTGGACAAACCTTATAAGGAACTGTTGAGTTACACAACGTGACTGGGCACATTGAGCAAATGTTTCCGGATCTTGTGGTGTGTGGATAATTTCTTTGTTGATTGTGGCAAGAGACAAATCATAAGACCACAAAAAGATTTTTGTTAAGGACTGAATTTAAATTTTGTGTATAGGTGTAACATATATATAATGAACGTTAGGTTGTTGGTTCATGAATTGACCATCAAGACCTGAAGTTAATGTCTGTATTCTGTAAAACTGTAGCCGCTGTAAAACATACAGAACATAAAAGATATTTCGTATGAAGTGAAATATTTACATTCACAAACAGTACGACAAACACTGTCATCAAAGACATGAACCCTCTTCCAAACCATAAGTGACCAGTCTTACTTTCTGTCCTATTATCTGGATTAATAGCCTTTATTTAGGAAATGATATGAAGAATTATCTCATTTAGCAGTTCCAATTCGCAAGAGTGACGGAGGAGTAAGTGTAGAATTGAAAATCTTATACGAAAAAAGATAGGAAATAGAAGTGCTTCTTAATAAGATTTTTTTTTCTTGAACTGCTATTCACTTTTCATAATATGTAACAAAAAAATTGCATAAAAACATGACCTATGAAAAACATTACGACCTTGAAAACAAGATACTATTCTTATGATCTCTTATTTTATAACATCTTCATAACCAGGACATTTATATCCTTGCAACGACAGATAATTATCTTTTTTATTCATTTTTGATAAACCACCAATCTTTATAAGTTTTATCAACAGAATTTCTCCTAGCGTCAGCAGACGGAAACTGAAATCGCCAGGTCAAAATGACGTTGACAAGCTTAAGTGTATTCAAAAACTATATTTGTGACAATCTTTATTTATTATTAACGGTATTTCAAAAGCTATATTTGTCTCTCATAACACTTGTAAGTTTATTGTTCATGATTTGACAAAAATGACTGGCACTAGTGTTAGGGATAACAAAACCCAGCCCTTAACTCTAGACAATAATTTACAGATTTATAAAACTTCAGATTTTCGTCTGTAAACTCGGAAGTATTTTTTTTTATGAAAATACTTACTGGTATCGCGGTGTGAAATTATTCATTTCTTTAATGATCGATTGTTTAATTTCACTACGTCAATGCAATGGCAACTGGCAAGTAACAAAAAATGCTCTTTCATTTCGATTGAAAAGATTCCAAGCATCCTGACTTACAAAACACGTCATCATAGATAAAATATCGCGCAAATTTAGACATTACCATATGTTGTGTTGTGAACTTCATCTCCACTGCCTTTCAAATTTGATTCATGGCCAATAGCGTCGTTAAAGTATGTCTCTTTACCCCACGCCACCCCACCCCCGCACAAATTTATATACTCCTCTGCTCAGGGGGGGGGGGAGATTTAGAATTGCAAATCGTCAGTGAGGAGCAAGTAAGGAATGAAATAAAATAAAAATACACCATATTATGCTAAAACACAAACGACGTAGACGACAGTTTTTGTCAATAATTTATTGAAGAGTTATAGACCAATGTTTTAGGTATAACACACACAATCATAAAATATACCTAAAATCCTAAGTACATTCAAGTTACGCATGTTCATTATGAGTGAAGAAAGTGGTATATTAAGTTACATACAGTCAACACATTTTACACTACATTAACTATATCATTGTTTGGTTATAAATCTAAGAGAATTGGTCAATTCCATGCTATTGGACAGTATAATTTGATAGCTTCTAAACTAGTAACGTCGCCAGGCTGCAAGTTTTGGTCCTGCTAAGTACATTTCAGAACATTATGATAATCATTAATTTGTTTAGAAATCTGATGTTTTTTTTTGCAGTAATGAAAGAAAAATTTGCTCTACAGGACAAAATTTAATTTCTGGCTACGAAACCGTTCTTAACTAGGAACTGTCGTTGTCATCACTAGTCAAAATATGCATAAAGTGCAATTAAGATCAAGACTATTACAAGACATACAATAATCATAGATAAAATAGGTAAATAAAGTATCAATCATTTCCCATTTGACAGAACAGTCCCATCATCAAGGACAATATCCCTGTTGCCTTTCCTTGTAAAAAAATCGTAAAACTTGCTGTAAAGTTTTCATTGTCTACTCGTGAATTATAGTGACTTTCTTTTCTGAAGTTATTTCTATAAACAAGAACGGACCAAAATGATATAAGGAAGAGATTGACGAAAACAAAAATAATCCATGCAGTCCTAAAGCAAATTAGCTAAGATATTATTTTAAAAGTTGGTCAGACGAACTTGTCCATTCAAAGAAAACAAAGAACACATTAAGTATATTATAATGAAATAAAAAAAAGTCTATAGATATATGCAATGGTACAAAAACTAATAACGTAAAACATACAAAGAGTTTATATCAGTAAAAAATAAACTCATCGTAGTAATATGAATCAAAAGAAATGTTAGTGAAGACAACAATCACTAACATTTTCACACCAATAACAAAGAACGATGAAATTAAGTGAACACTGCATTTGTATGTCAAAAAGAAAAGGCGACGACAATTTGTGTTTTCGTGATCGTTAATTAAAGGTTATCGTTAAAACAGGATTGTGCGATACCTGAGATACATATGGAATGATTGTACATTAAAGATTAAAGTTGATAAAGTTATACCGTATGAAATGTATAAAAATACATGTACCTTTGTAGCCATAACAAACTTATTCCATGAGTCTTTGTTAGCTGCCCTGTCTGGTCGTTTGAACTCTAATTTATTTCGTAGAACAGGACAACTTTGTGAAGGAAATATACTCAAAGCTGGACGTTAAAAGTTGATTTCCTTAATTGGTACGATTGTGTACCACAATATCCCTCGTAAACACCCTTGTTCCCCGGATGTCCTCCTCAAAGAAAGATACTCAAAGTTGGATGCTGAACGATTAAAAGTTGATTTCCTCAATAGTTACGATTATCGATAATATCCTACATGAGCGCCCGTCTTCCCCAGATATCCTCCATATATTAATGTGAATGACGTTGTCTATACTAAACAATAGTAATTAAACATATCAATGATGACGCAATGTAATGACGTAATGGTGGTAGGGGATACTAAAGATGCAGCATATGTTCCACGCTCGTCAATGGGAAGAATTTGTTGAACCTATAAAATTTCATACAATGATCTTATAATAAAGTCGAAAATTTACAGTTCACTTCTCGTCTTGTTTTGATGCATATTTTGCAATCTCAAGATGTCTTGCTTCTTCGGAATTTGTTTTATACAAAGTTAGTTCTACTACTAGATTTTAGCATTTCGAAATCTTTGTGAATTTAGCCACTTTAACCACTTTTTTTGTCCAACTAATTGAAGGTTTGAATGTAACACTGTAATTGATGTATAGAGTGCCAATATTTTCAAGTATTCAATGTTTGTCAATGTATTTCCCCTTAAATTATGGTGCAGAAACAACCATAGTTACATATATTGGTCTAAAAGGTGAATTTCAAGAGATAAATTACAATATATGCCAATTAATCATTATATTGATCCTCTATATACACAAACTATGACAAAAGTTTTTGTTTTGTTCTTTTAGGCTCACAGACATGAAGTTACAATTTGTAATTATGAAGCCAGAGCAAATCCTGCTGACAATAAAACAACATTCTTGAACTCTGTCAATCACATAATCTCATGAAGTCTGAGTTAGAATAAGTCCTTTGGTTTGTCAAATATGTCTTTAATTTATAAACTAAATATGAACAATGGCCTTTAAAATTTATATTAATTTATTTATTTGCTGTTTTGTTTGGTGCATATTATTGAAAACTGTTGTTAATGCTCAAGACATCACACTTAACAATCACATTACTCCTTTCAAGATGGGAGAATTGTGTGGACATATAGTGGAGACATTAATAAAGTTACTTCTCAATCATTGACTTTTACTGGCGCCTCTACACATCTGGTTTTAGTAGCAAGAGGAAAAGTTGTAGACCCTGTTTCAAATGGTCTAGACTTTCAATTTATACTACCTTTAACTTTGATTCTGAAAAATTTTAATCAAACATATAATGGAACATATATCATGGAAGTTGGACTTGGGTCAGTAAGGCTTCCTCCTTCACCTGTGCATTGCAGGTTTGTGTGTTGAACTCTCTGTACTTGGATGGATACCTGTTTTATTGTGTTAAATGTTGTTTTTTTATCACAGTTGCACCGCAAATATCTATCAATTGTTCCAGCACAACAATTCTCAATGTAAGTGCTTATTTTTCATGTGAATGTAAAGGAGTTGATGGTAATCCTCCTGCTGTGGTCACATGGTATAAAGGTAGTCAAAGGATTATCTCAGGAGAAGAAATGGCAACATTAACTATTGCTCGGGTTGGTCGTGATGACAATGGCCCTTATAGATGTGAAGCAAAGGGTGACGAGAAATTTGAAGCTGAGAAAACTGTTCAAATAATTGTTAACTGTAAGAACTGAAATTGTACTTTTGTCATCATATCAAGAAAGTTTCTGCGTGGATAAAGCTTGCACATGCTTTTGTTTAGCTGAAACTTTCAACACTAAATTGACTCTTCAAAGAGAAGGTGATAAAGCAAGATTGACCTGCACTGCTGAAGGCAACCCTCAACCACAATTTGAAATATTTCTCAATGACGCAAGTGTTGTCAATCAATCAGAACTTGTCATAAATGAAGTCTCCACAAAAAATGTTGGTGATTACACTTGTCGAGCAACCAATAATCTAGGTAGCCAATTGTCACAAAAAGTGAACCTACCTCTTAAAGGTGAGAATAATATCATTGAGTATCAAGTTAAATTTTTTAGCTGGGTAATGTTATAAAATTCATCTTGTTTGCATTTAAATGAAATGTTATTGTGCATTTATTTTTTGATAAAGCGTCTTAATGAGTCATCTAAACAAATGTTTTTTAAAGCTTTGATTGTAAAGCTATTTTTCTTTTTACTTACTCAAGGCATGAGCACAACTACTCCATCAGCAACTGACACAGGTAACTACCAACTATACTTTTACACATATTATTTTCCAATATACATGGCATGTGTTGGTATTGATACTTTTGACTCCCAACTCAAATAATACAGGTATTTTTTTGTTAAGACGCTCTATCAATTTTTTGCAATCACCATTACATTGAAAAATCTGACAGTCAAGTCAAAATATTTTGATTAAATATTTTGTGCTGGTATTGTGAGAAAGTTTTGGCTGGTTTCATAATTTGAAATTTGTTACAATATTTTAAGAAAACTAAAATTCATCCAATACATAGATAATTAATGGTGGTAAACGACAATATCTTAGTGATCTTTTGAACAAAACAATTTCATGCTTTGTTATAATGTTTTATTTAATTAATGGTAGATGGTCAATACAAGATTTTATTGCAACACAGTGAACAAATTATTAGTTCTATACTAGTTATACACTTAAGATGCCCATTTATTTTAGCATCACGTCATATTTTTTCCTATTCAGTGTTTTTTTTTGAGTAGATGCTAGTTAGGATTCCATCAACAAAGATTTTGTAGCTATTGACATCATAGTAGTTTGTCTATTTTTGCTTTATGTGTTGTTAGATTTAACTGTATCTTTATTCATTTAGACCCAAAGGCCGTAAAAATCGTGAGGGTGGTCTTGGTGGTGATGTTATTGCTGGTATTGTTATTGGTGTTTTGGTTGTCATCATCATCATTGTCATTGTTGTTTACTTTTGTGTAGTTAAGAAAAGTAAGTTTTCTATTGATGGTTATTCATTCATTCATCATTTTGTTTAATAGTTTCTTTTTTGTTTATTTTTCACTTTAGATAAAGACAGCAGGTTAGTAAGCTCTCAGCAATTTAAAAGTATCTTCAATTGTATATAGGTAAAACCAGTCCTGACTGTTTTTATGAAGTGATCATATTTTTCAACATTTTTTGTAGACTGGGTAACTCAAAGAGTAATGCTGAGTACAGCAAAGCTGCAGATAGTGCTGACAAGGATAATGTATGCAGATATCTTTTATCTCTTATGTATTCATTCATTCATTCATTCGTTCACTCGTTCACTCCCACATTAGTACTTGGTAAATGTTGATTTTTCACAGTAATGCAGTCCAGAGGAAGAGTGTTTTGGTATTGAATGACGTTTTATGAATCTTGGCATTAGTGCTTTTCACTTTGAAAATGACTTCTGAGAACTGTACAAACCTACATGATGTACTTCTACTAACGTCCTAACATACTCTTGAGCTCAAACTATTCACTTTATGGCAATACAGTTTCTAATCACAGCCCCATTGGTTCACTTCATTATTATTACATTAAGTATTGTACGTGTGTCATTTTAAAATCATATCAATGGTTAAAACATATTTTTACCTAGCATTATGCTGCCCTTGATCCAGTTGCATTGAACGCAGGTGGTAGCAGGCCACGTGCAGATGAACCTCCACCGTAGACTCAATATGCCAGCATTGATCAAGGTGCTACCAGATCAACAAAGGCTGATCTTGTATGAGCAAGGTTAGAAAGGGTAGGCTAAATTGGTTAAATTTGAAATAAACTTCTCGTCTACCATAAACCCTTTTGCATCATGAGTTTAAGATGTTAGAATCCTAGGTAGGCATGCTAACTGCAAACCTTTGTTAACAGAACCCATGCACTCTTAGTTAAGGAAGTATACTATTTAAGTTTCTTGAGTTTGAGTCAACAAGAATTAAGAATTAGCGCAAATAGTTAGACTTTAGTCAGACCTAGTTGGTTTATCTGTAAAGTTAGGCTGGCTGCAAAAATACTAATATTTCTACAAGCAGCTATTTTATTCATATTGTTCGTGAATTAGAAAAGAATGTCTGGCATCTGTGCATTCTATTCTTCAAAACATTATTTACATTCAAGTGTTATGACGTAAGAGAGCAATATCACAGTTAATGTTGCGTGCTGTATGTATTGTTACAATTGGCAATACATTATAAATGGAAGACATAAACGCCATTAATACACAAACATGTACATTTTTAGATTTTTTGTAACCAACGAAAAATTGTTTCGCCACGTTAATGGCATTGTCCATACATTATCCTTGAGTGGATAATCACTTAGATGACTGGAAAGGAAAACTTATCCAGTGATCTACCTCAGTTAATCTTCTTCAAATGTAATGTCAGTTTGAATGACTTATGATTACGGGACAGTAAAAATTTAGTATGTAGTTCAAACTGAATGTTTTTGGCAGCCAAAAGAATAACAATACCAGCTATAGCACCACCAACAAGACCACCCTCACTACTTTTTGTGGCCTTTGGGTCTAAATGAATCAAAATACAATAAAATGTAACTGCTCAACATACAAAAATTCTTAACCCTTGTTAGCTGTACTAAAATATTTATATACAACATTATGGTTGAAAGAGCATTAAGTGGCATTCAAGCAAAAACACAGAGGAAAGACTTTCTCTGCACACATGAACTTGGTTTGATAACATTTTGCCATGATAAAAAGCAATAAAAACCTTTTCAAATACAGCCATATACATCACATAATGAAATAAACATAACTACATTTTGTTCTTAACTAGTCACTGAAATAAACATATCAAACCACCAATAATGAAAGTGATGAAGTAAGGATGAAAGAATACCACATCAAACAAAAATTGATATAGCGTCTTAACAAGAACATTGTTAAACTTATGAGAACTATCAGCAAATAAGTTCCCTTCTGACTGTCTTGTGTATTAGATGAAAATGTGGGTATATTTAGGTATATGTGCAAAGCTATAAGTAATCATTACTTGGCTCAGCTGGTGATGATGTAGTTGTGCTCGTGCCTTCAGTTGAAAAATAGCTTTAAAATTAAAGCTTTACAAATAAAAGAAATTTTTCAAATAGGAAGATGTCTTGACAACTCATTAAGACGCTTTATCAAAAACAAATGAATATTACTATAAATCATTTCCACAATAATATGCAAACGTCATGAATCATCTGTTAAAAAATATAAATTGAATAAAAAAATTCAGTTGATTCTCAATAAGTTTTATACTCACCTTTTAGAGCTAGGTTCTCTTCTTGTGACAATTGGCTACCTAAAATATTGGTTGCTTGACAAGTGTAATAACCAACATTTTTTGTGGAGACTTCATTTATGACAAGTGTTGATCCATTGATAACACTTATTGAACCATTAACAAATATTTCATATCTTGGTGGTGGATTGCCTTCAGCAGAGCAGGTCAATGTTGCTTTATCACCATCTCTCTGGAGAGTCAACTGAATATTGACCGGTTTATCTATACAATAAGACAATATACAAGACTAAATTATTTTCAAACTTTTAAACTCTTTACAGCATTTACATAAGCCTTTAAGTTTGATGGAAATTTGCTGACTAGCAAATTTTTTTTTACAAGAGCAAAAGTTAACTTACAGTTGACAATCAATTCAATTGCTTTTTCTGCTTTTGCTTTCTCGTGGCCCATTGCTTCACATCTATACTGGCCATTGTCAAAGCGATCTGCTTGCTCAATTTTTAATTCTGCCATTTCTGTCCCTGAGGAAAGGACTTGAGTACCTTTATACCATTTGACTTCTTTAACGGGTGGATTACCATTTTTTGCATTACATTGGCAAGAAAAAGATGCCCTTGCATTAAGAGTTGTTGTATCGGAACAGTTGACATCAATTGTTGGTGGAACTGAAAGAAAAATGATTCGCTGATAAGATAAAATGTAAGAATATTTTGAAAAATGAAGAAATTTTTTAAAAACAGAGGCAAAAATAAAAATCTTGAACTGAGTAGAGTCAGCAACAAAATGGCATCATCATTGTAATGGTTATATTTTTATGACGAAGAAAATAATTTTGGTTGCCATGAAATAAGGGTTGTCATTTCTATACTTCTGTTTAAAAAATAACAGTTTTTACAAACCAGCAATTAAGACATCAACTTTTGATGTTTTAGCAACTGATGTACTTGAAACCACAAGTAAGGAGTATGTTCCACTGTATATTTCATTTACATTCCTCAATTCCAAAGTGAAGGGTTCTGTTATTGTAGAGTCTATGTTGAGCTCTTGAAATTTTTCTAATCCACCAGAATCTTTTCTTGCCAGACGTTTTGTGCCATCAACAGCATTGAAATACCAAGTCTTAACCTCAGGCACCAGAAAATTAAGACCAAGTAAGGAGTATGTTACACTGTATATTTCATTTACATTCCTCAATTCCAAAGTGAAGGGTTCTGCTATTGTAGAGTCTATGTTGAGCTCTTGAAATTTTTCTAATCCACCAGAATCTTTTCTTGCCAGACGTTTTGTGCCATCAACACCAATGAAAGACCAACGTTTAAAAGCAAACACAGGCACCACACCATTATACCTCCATGTTATTGATTTAGTTTCACCAGAGTTAAGAACAATTACCGAACCCTCTGAAGGAAGTTGAAGTTGAGCTGCAGTAAAACAAAATCATGAAAGTATCTACATGACTAGTTAACCAATTTAAGACATTCAATCTTACCATCACTGAAAGCCAACCAAAAAACAGCAAAATATTTCAGGAAGAAACAGCTGGAGCAAGACATGACTGTCTGTCAAAATAAGATGGGAAAGTTGACTAAAAAAGTCATTACAACAAATAAAGTATACTGGAAAACGTTGATAAACTATTATACAATTGTTATGTATGGGTGTGCTATAGTAGTCGCTCTCTTTTCTGAATGAAAAAAAACACTAATAATTTCATATTTTTCTACCAAAAGATTGCGTTTATTCTACAAAACTTTGATCAACGATACTTTGAGAAGTCATCTTCTTCGATATATAATTATTTCAAGATACAAATTGCCGTTTGCGAGCAACAGACAATAAAATTCTCAGCTGAGTACGGGAACACAAAATTATTGTTGGAAGTCGTCATAACTTCATGACTTAACAAGCAGACACAAAAACAAAGTGAAGCTTACTTTGATATGAAGCTGGCGTAACGAACACACAAAATGTCCCCAAAATGTTCACGACATATTCCAAACGACGTACGTAAGCTTATACGAATTTTATGATATTAGTATCTTAGTTATACTTCCGTTTACATGGAGGGTGTTGCCACAGAATAGATATATACAGAAGCGCCACTCAGCGAAAAATCTGTCGCCTACTTGTACCAGTCCTTAAGGCTAATTTATACTTCGTGCGACAAGTGTCGCGCGCCATGTCGCATGAGGAAAATGACGTCATATCACCAAAACGGAAGTAACATTTGACGTAATTTCACCGTATTATCGCACACGTGCGCCTCGCAAAAAGTTGTAACGTCGCAGACATTTTGTCGAATTGTCGCGCAAGATAATTGGCTGTCTAATAACACGTGGTTAGTCATTTGTGTTTGTCTCAGCATATATTTATCACAAATATGAAAAAATTTTAAATCATGGATGGATTCGAAGAAAGATTAGCGGAAGAAGTTAGGAAATACCCTCATATATATAAGACTCGTCTAGAATGGATTATAAAGACTTACAAAAAACTACGAATTCATGATAGGAAATCGCGAAAAGCTCGAAACAAATCATGCTGTTTGCAGACAAAAATGGAAGAAAATACGGGACCGATTTACGAAAGCCAAAAAGCGTTTAAAATCGAAGAGTGGCAATCCTGGCGGAAAAATTATACCTGCTATTGTGCCACTCATTGTGCCATGTGTCATTATTGACAAATGGCGCCGTAGCTGCTTCGCAAACGTCAATATTTTTCACAATAAAAAGGCTCCTTCTGTTGTTTATAGCTAAAACAAAATTTTGACGACGCGACAACGACAACAAACTTCCTCGAGCCATTCCCTTACACGGTCAAATTTCGTACTCGTAGTCGTAGTCGTACTCTTGCTAAAGCTCCCTAATATTCACGCCAACACCTTACAGCAAAACAATCTTTTTTCTTAAGACTTACAACAGCAAGTACACATGTGCATTAACAATAAAACAAAATATGAAATGTAACTTACCCAGATATTTTGGCTTGTTTCTTCTTTCTTGTTTTTTGTATATTATACGTCGACAATGCCCTTATTTAATATTTAATTTTGTAGATATTGAGACGACAGCTAAAGTGCGATCTTCTGAATAGCTCGATCAGGCTTTTAGCAAGTAAACCAACAAACTGAACATTCAACAGCTCAGGTAAGTAAGTAAGAAACATGTTCACCTTCGAATGTTCAATTGCTATTGCTAAGCAGTTTGCATTATGGAGTGTTTTTAAGGTCATGTGACATTAGTATCAAATTCAAAAACAAATTCATATAAAAATATGCATACAAGGCTCCTTCCCAAAGTGGGCAGGGCGTAATCTATATTCTTTATAGAGTCTTAAGCGGTGACGTCACGTTTCCATGGTGCTAAAGATCTCAGTTCCCAACAGTGAACTCTACAACAACTGGAAGGCTAACTCATTATAAACAAACCTACACTTTTTTGATGCCAAATAGAAGCTGATTTGCCGCTTCGCGTGTATCTCGCGTGGACTGTTTTATTTGCGTGACGGATTGTTTTGCAAAAACTGCTAACTTGGAAATAGAATGCTAGCCTAAATGCTTTATTTTTTTCAAAACCGTTAGCAAAATTTGGTTATTAATGTGTTAAGATGCATTGTGGACGTTCCAAGACATGTTTTGTATACGTAACGCTGTATTATATAAAACATAAAAGGGAGAACTTGCTTCGAAATATGAATTTCTCATTTGTCGTCGAAAGACCAAAAATTTAAGATAAAACTGATAACAGGTAGTCTGTATCTTTGAATGCTGTGCAAAATACACACAATCCACTTAATATAACATGTTTCATAACAATTTTATTGCTTTCAAAGTTAGACTTGCTTTGTAAGAATTTCACATGCTCTTTTTAGAAGGATGAAAAGCGAACTTTGTTTTGGCACGTGAAAACATGCCTTATAACTTGAATACAAAACTGACACCCCTCGTTTTTTTTCATTAGAAGGATGTAAAATACACTTGTCTATCCTTATAATATTGTTTGAATCTTTGAAAATGAAGCTGTCAGGGCAAAAAACGCTGTTTTTCGGTAATTTTAGTGTTTCCGAGCAAAATTAGCTCGCCCCAGTCCTTTTTGAAAGTTCAGAGCATAAACAAAAAGAAAAACACTTTGCAAAATATTTCAAAAAGTTAGCAAAAAAATATTTTGAGTTAGTTTTAAAAAAAACTGTTATGCCATATTATTGTGTTATCATTAATTGCACCATTAAAGAGTCAAAAGGGTCAATACTCACTTAAAAAAAAGACAAAAACACAATTGACACTCCATATTCATAACTTTTGAAACACTTAAGTAAAAATTGTAATGTAATACAAGTATGAAAAAGATTATTAGTCTAATATTATAGAATCATATATTTTCACAAATATGACCAAACATTTTAAACACACATCCTAAAATTTAATATATTACATATACATTCATCATCATCTGTATTACAAGAAAAAAACTAATTTTAGAATCAATATGATATACTATAAAATTTTGATACATGATATAGCTTTGCTTGCTTTATAATCATTTTAAAACCCTGGCTCAAACCACTGAGGATGAGGGTTGCTTTTTGACATTTATGTAGAGCAGGTTATATTAGCAATACTTGTCATAGTGTGCACTTGGCTATTTATTTATAAGCATGAACTTGCTGATAAAATGCTCAATACACAAATATGAATGCATGTCAAATCTTCCACCAGCTCTTAAGAAGTGAGAGAAGTAAATGACAAGAACCAACAATCACTCACAATTCAAAATTTCAAATCATCACTTTCACACATTACAAAAAGAGAATGTGAAATTCTTACAAAGCAAGTGTAACTTTGAAAGCAATAAAATTGTTATGAAACATGTTATATTAAGTGGATTGTGTGTATTCTGCACAGCATTCAAAGATACAGACTACCTGTTATCAGTTTTATCTTAAATTTTTGGTCTTTCGACGACAAATGAGAAATTCATATTTCGAAGTGTGTTCTCCCTTTTATGTTTTATATAATACAGCGTTATGTCTTGGAACGTCCACAATGCATCTTAACACATTAATAACAAAATTTTGCTAACGGTTTTGAAAAAAATAAAGCATTTAGGCTAGCATTCTCTTCCCAAGTTAGCAGTTTTTGCAAAACAATCCGTCACGCAAATAAAACAGTCCACGCGAGATACACGCGAAGCGGCAAATCAGCTTCTATTTGGCTTCAAAAAAGTGTAGGTTTGTTTATAATGAGTTAGCCTTCCAGTTGTTGTAGAGTTCACTGGCAATACACGAATAAATATTTAAGTGCGTAAAAAAATGATAAATCTCCAACAAAATAATCATAACACAAATCAAACTACTAGATACAAGTAAATAAGGTTTATTCAGTGTTAATTATTAAATAATACGCGACAAAAAGCTGTCAAAAACACTAATAAATCTTTCACTTGCGTGAAATGTAGAATCAACTAAAATTATTTGAATACAAAATACAAAGTTGCATGTGGAAAGATTATGGATTATGAGGGACGTTAGGTGTCAATGGCACATGTTCCCAACTTGGCTTGCTTTCAACAACCAAAGCACACACGTGTATTCTCCATTGAGTGGTATTCTAATTTCCGACAAACTTGCATGCTAACTCCTTTCAGACGCCACAAAATCACGCAAAATGTATTGTTGCTTTTGTGGGTATAAATTAGAAGACAGCTTTGTCTACTGCCCGTCATGTGGGCGAAAAAAAAGTGAAACAAGTTGTGCCAACGCCGAGATAGATCGCTCAGCTTCTACTTCCAGTACTAATAATCAATTCACGAGTGGGACGCCATCAATAGCAGCCACGTTCGCCGATTTTAAAAAACGAAAAGAGATTGAGAGGCAGTCCCATTTTAAACCTAATAAAAGAAATCGACAGGCAGAAGGGACACGCAGCAAGTCAACACATGAGGTCATTATCAACGTTGGTTTAATGGAATACGAGTATGGTGAGGCGAAAGTACAACGTGGCAAATCTTTTCCTGTGAAGTTGACCAAAGACATGAGCTATGACGAAGTAAGGGAAAGATCAGTGAAGAAGTGGGAAGACTATGACAGAAGCTTCAGCCGAGACCGGGGTTACGTATTGGTTTGTCCTGATGGGAAAATAGCTAAAAAGATACCTGGCAGCTGTGAAGAGTTCACTTTGAGAAAATACAAGGAAGGCCTTGCTAAAAGCTATAGCCGAATTACTCTGTATCTTTGTCCAGCAACTGAAAAGAAAGAGACCAGTATGCTACCTATTACAAATTGGTTAAGTGATGAGGAAAATGAGATTCATGCAATAGAGAGAGCTATGGGCTGTGATTCTGATGATGACTGGATTGACTGCAACAATGTACCATCATCAAATAATGTAATTGGCAAATCCAGGGAAAATGTTGATGAACCATCAATTAATCTGAACAAAGCTGAATGTAATCATTCCGTTCCACTGTTTGAAGTTGCTGATTTCTTGTGAGTATTTGTCCTTTTATGTTAGTTTGAGTTTGTAATGTTTTCAGTAATTCACTTTTGTTTCAACCTAATTTCTATTGTAGGCCTGTTGGTTTAGATGAGAACATGGCTGTCCAAAAAGCTATAAATGAAAGCATCCAACAACTTGGAAGTAATGAGGATATAGTGTCACTGAATGATCAATCTGTTGGCCTGGACTATGAACATGCTGTTAGGTTGATAAAGGAGCATTCAGCTGCAGTTGTTCATGGGGAACCTCGTAGTGTGGTAGTAAGCCGGTTAAGCATGTGGGATACAGCAAAACCTTATTTTGAAAGGAAAAAGTTCCTGGAGAAGTATAGTTTCCTGTGTGTCACTTTCGCTTCATTTGAGAAGCAAGAGGATGCTATCGATAATGGTGGTCCTCGTCGTGAGTTTTTTCATCTGCTCCTTGGTGCAATATCTAAAGAAAGTGGCACCTTGTTAAGTGCGTCATAAGAATTGTTTACAATTTTTATTCATCAAGCATATATAATTGTCAGTGCGTATGTTGTGCATAACTGCTTTGTTACCATAGCCAAAATTTAAACATAAATTTTATGCATCATTGTTTGCAATTTTATTCATATTTTGTATTATTCAACATATGATTAACTTAACTAGATAGCAAGATTTTTTGATTTAGATACACCAGAAGGCCATGTTATAAGAGCTAATTTCAAGGCATTGCAAAGTGGTGCATTTGCTGTGGTTGGAAAGATGTTGGCAACTATGATTGTACAGGGAGGAGAGTTACCACAAATCTTTGGCCCTAGTGTATGTCAATATATTCAGGGTGGGTTTGATGAGGCATTTCCCATTGTTGATGAAGTTCCAAATAGCAACATTCGAACATCTCTAAAGGAGGTCTGTAATTATGTGTCGACAAAGAATTAGGACATTTTTAATCAGCTATTTCATTCCATCAAAGTTAAATGTTTATCAAACACATTGAACACTTTCTTTATTTTACTCTTAGTTAAATTCAGCAAAATCCCAAGTGGAACTTGACAACTTGTGGAAGGAATGTGCATGGAAATTTGACATAGATGGTATGCCCTTGAACATTGCCCTGCAACAACAAGACACCCTGGTCAAAGAGATAACTAAATACTTTGTCATAATACAATGCAAGTCCATGTTGGATCAATTTATTGAAGGACTTTCATATTATGGGGTATGATATTTTTAACATTATATTGTTTTATTGTTTGTAGATGAATGAATAAGTAAAATTATTTTATTATAAAATAAAATATGAGACAATTAATTCATCATAATAGGTATTAGAGTTCATCAGAAAGAACAAAGGAATGGCCCATCACATATTTGCAAAGAAGAAACATGGTAACCTATCAGTGCAAGAAGTTTTGGAGCTATTGAGTTCTGCCTTTGCACCTCATGGCAACCAAAGAAGGATACCTGAGGAAGTCATTATGGCAAAGTTCATTGCATTTTTGAAATCAATTGAAGGTAATATGTGTTTATTTATTACTGATAATGCTTTGCAATACCTTTTGCTTACTTAATCCTTTCCTGGTTTTTCAGATGGTACTTTGCAAGAAAGTTTGGAGGATTGTGATGTGGAACTCACTGACCAAGAAAAAAACTTTATTCCGCAATTGACACCAAGCCATGTGCTGTTGTTTGCCACTGGGGCTGCTAGCATACCATCTATAGGCTTTGACCCAAAGCCTGTAATTAATTTTGTGCATGATAGTGAAAAAGCAATCCCTTGTGCACAGACATGCACAAATACATTGAATCTATTTGTAAATAGTAGAACCAAGGATGGTAATTTGTCACATTACCTTCTAACAGCATTGATGAATGGTGGCATCTTTAGTAAATTGTAAAATACATGCTTTTCTTACACTATGACATTAAATTTTTCTATTTAAACTTTAATTAAGTATTTATACTTGAATTTTAAGTGGTATGTCATTCCATGCCTTGTGAAATCTGACACAACCTATTATATTGGTCTAAAGCTTCTCTCCAATTTGTTGGTTTGGCAAAGCTGAGTTGTTGTGCAATCTCTGCAAAGTATTCCTGATAAAGGCTTTCCTCTATATATCCATTACAATATTCTGACATATCATGAAATTTTTCATCAGAAATACACTTAATATGATTTTGAACACCTGTGCATTCTGGCAAAAAGAACATTTCATCTGGTCGTCCAGCAACAGTTTCAAACCTAGACCTCCGTATGTAATGTGTGTTCCAGTGTAGTTGGACTGATGTAAAATCTGACTGAAGAAGTTCACTGAAGCAGAACCACAGACACTCTTTCTGCAATTGATTTGATAGGCAAAGTTGACCAATTTCAACAAGGTCTTTAAAAAAATTCATCCACCAACTGGAACGATTCTTGCGCAAGTAGGACCACCAGCATTCAATACGCTGATTAGAGGGTGAAGTGCCATACCTGTGTGATTTCTCACCAGCAAATTCATCATCCCCATCACATCAAAAATAAGATTGAATGGCAGCCAAAATTGTATTTTCAGTTCCATTGTCGGTTCTAAGTACAGTGGGACAACCTCCAAACTCCTTCACAGCATTTAAAAAAAAGTGTGTCCAATTACTGCAGGATCATTGTTAGTTCTGCAGACCTTAAACCACAGGACCTTGTGGCTGTAGCCATCAATGCACCCATGAACTGGAAAACCATAAGGTTTTAACTTATCATATCCATCCACGTGCCATGTATAGTTTGGGCCTGGGGTGTGATAAATTCGACGACGAAGAGTTTTGGACTTTCTTTGTTGTACACCTTGAGGATCAAGTTCCTTTAGGATAACTCTAACGACATCTCGTGGAACCTGCATACCTTCAATTCGCAATGTATGCCAAACCGCACGATAACCGCCAGAACAGCCAGGACCGTCAAGCTCTTGCTGAATACGAGTTTTAACATTATCTAAGTTATAGTCAATGTTCTTTCGTTTAAGCCCAAGATAGTGAAGTTTTGTATTTAAGGTTCTCAAAGAAATTCTGATGCCATGGTATTGAGACAAAAAACAAAGTATCTTTTGGTAATCAAAGCCTTGTTTAAAGTAACGCGCTATAATCTCTTCGCAAGATGGATTTTCAGCGCGACTCTGACTATTCATTTTCCAAAATAAAATGCGCTCGAAAACGCTGCGTTATACGCTGTAACTGTGATTAATCTAAGTAGTTTCTTCGTTTTGCAATCGTTTTATGGATAAATGGCAGTAACAGGACTATTCGTAAAGTGTTCCCTTATGATCGTTGATGTTCACAGATGCGACATTTTGTTGTGTATTGAGAACAATATATTTGTGCATAAAGTATTTATGTTAATGTTTATATAAAAGGAGTTGGTATATAGTGAAATATTTAGTTGTGTATTTTCCAATTTTCTCGTGCATTTAAAATTCTTTATGCGAGAATATATTTTGAATTTTGTACTGAAAAATTTATTTATGCATTTCAACTTTAGTTAGTGCGCTCATATATTTATTCGTGTATTGCACATACGGGCCACCGTAAATGGGCGCTTGTTTGGAACTGAGCAGTGAACTCTACAACAACTTGTTGTTATGGAGTTCATTGTGTATTGCACATACGGGCCACCGTACCCATTCGATTCAAAATGGCGACATTATCCATCGCTTTGCTTTTTTCTTTCATCTCAGAAGAAAAGAAATCTATAAAAAAGGGGGAAAACGACTTTAAGTCAGATAAAATTGTAGCATTTACTTACCAGCAGAGTGTTGTACGAGGAGAAGTACACGCAAGAATGAAACAAAAGGTTTATAAAGTGACGGTGAATGCTAAATATCAATATTACGTTTTAGACTGTTTTTGTTGCCCAAATGAACACGAGGGCGTGATTTTATCTATTAGTGAAATAAAAAAAGGCTTGTTAACGAACGATGTTTTTTAAAAAATAATGATACTCGTCAGTTTTCAGTCCTCAAATTGACCTACCACTACTAGTTTGGTGTGAGGGAGTTGTGGTAACAGGCTATACACATATTTGCATTTTTATAAATAAACACAAGGATAACATGGTATTTAAAAGACATGGAAAAATGGTACATCATTCAATGTTGTTTTCCTGGGGGGAAGGGAAATTCCCATATAAAAGTGATGGGATGCTCATGGGAAATGTTCAGAAAGACCGCTCAATGGTAACTGTGGACAGTACTTGCTTTTATTTTTACCCCAAAAAGACATCCATTGTAAAACATATGTCAAAACTTCTTTTAACTTCTGTTCTCCTAAACATGATAAAAGAATTCTCGCAGTGATCTAATTTGACACCCTATGTACACCCAGGCTGTACCAGATGATAAATATTGTAATCCCTAGGAGGTAAAATCATCCCTTTACTGTTATATTAGAATGCTAACCCACCACCCCCCACCCCTCTAGCTGTATTTTCTTCTAAGTAAGCCTCAGTCTACAAATTATTTTATTTCTATTTGAACTACAATAATTATTAAAAAACTGTCCAATGAAGTCTTCAAGCATAAAACTACTCAAAAACCATATCTTCACATCCCTCTTTGATGGATGTGAAGATATGGATTAAGCATACCATAAAGGTTTTTAAGGAAATAAGTAGTTGAAGGAAAATTAATTGCAAATCACATGAATACATTCTAGAGGAAAATTAAAATGTTTGTTTTACATTTATCTGTTTGCATTATTGCTATTTTCTAAAGAAATAAAAGATGATTGTGTTTGCACTGGCTTAGGTAAATCGAGGAGACGTTTATGAGAAGTACAAGCCGGTGCAAGGTGCAACCGTCAACCACTCGTCCTTCGGTCTCAAGCTTTCACTGATTTTCTATCAAGTTCTCCTAAGTCTCCTCAGTTTGTATAAGCCTTTAAATAAAAGCATAAATAAATCAGAAAACTGCGTAGAGACAGGCAGACTGAGGTCAAGTCAAGGTCTCCAAAAAAGTATTCCTAAAATTAAAATGTTGTGTATTGAAATATTCAAAAGATGAAAGGTCTATTTTTTTAACCATCCTGTGCAAACATATATTTTATATTATTTTTTAAACAAGATGAGAAGAGCTATGACTTGTATATTGGTAACAATACCAGACAGGACACAGCAGTTAGTGGAACTGAGGAAGGTGGACAAACCTTATAAGGAACTGTTGTGTTACACAACGTGACTGGGCACATTGAGCAAATGTTTCCGGATCTTGTGGTGTGTGGATAATTTCTTTGTTGATTGTGGCAAGAGATAAATCATAAGACCACAAAAAGATTTTTGTTAAGGACTGAATTTAAATTTTGTGTATAGGTGTAACATATATATAACGAACGTTAGGTTGTTGGTTCATGAATTGACCATCAAGACCTGAAGTTAATGTCTGTATTCTGTAAAACTGTAGCCGCTGTAAAACATACAGAACATAAAAGATATTTCGTATGAAGTGAAATATTTACATTCACAAACAGTACGACAAACACTGTCATCAAAGACAACCTCTTGAACCCTCTTCCATACCATAACTGACCAGTCTTACTTTCTGGCCTATTATCTGGATTAATAGCCTTTCTTCAGGAAATTATATGAAGAATTATCTCATTTAGCAGTTCCAATTCGCAAGAGTGACGGAGGAGTAAGTGTAGAATTGAAAATCTTATACGAAAAAAGACAGGAAATAGAAATGATTCGTAATAAGATTATTTCTTTTTTTCTAGAACTGCTATTCACTCTTCATAATATATAACAAAAAAATTGCCTAAAAACATGAACTATGAATAATATTACGATCTTGAAAACAAGGTACTATTCTCAAGATCTAAAGTAATTTATAACATCTTCATAACCAGGTTCTTTATTTCCTTGCCTTGACAGATAATTATCTTTTTTATTCATTTTTGATAAACCAATCTTTATAAGTTTTATCAACAGAATTTCTCCCAGCTTCAGCAGACGGAAACTGAAATCGCCAGGTCAAAATGACGTTGACAAGCTTAAGTGTATTCAAAAGCTATATTTGTGACAATCTTTATTTATTATTAACGGTATTTCAAAAGCTATATTTGTCTCTCATAAGACTTGTAAGTTTATTTTTCATGATTTAACAAAATGACTGGCACCAGTGTTAGGGATAACAAAACCAAGCCCTTACCTCTAGACAATAATTTACAGTTTTATAAAACTTTAGATTTTCGTCTGTAAACTCGGAAGTATTTTTTTTTATGAAAATACTTCCTGGTATCGTGGTGTGAAATTATTCATTTCTTTAATGATTGATTGTTTAATTTCACTACGTCAATGCAATGGGAACTGGCAAGTAACAAAAAATGCTCTTTCATTTCGATTGTAAAGATTCCAAGCATCCTGACTTACAAAACACGTCATCATAGATAAAATATCGCGCAAATTTAGCCATTGCCATATGTTGTGTTGTGAACTTCATCTCCACTGCCTTTCAAATTTGAATCATGGACCCATAGCGTCGTTAGAGTATGTCTCTTTACCCCACCCCACCCCCGAACAAGATTTAGATACTCCTCTGTTTAGGGGAGGAGATGTAAAATAGCAAATCGTCAGTGAGGAGCAAGTAAGGACTGAAATAAAATAAAAATACACCATATTATGCTGAAACACAAACGACGTAGATGACTGTTTTTGTCAATAATTTATTGAAGAGTTATAGACCAATGTTTTAGGTATAACAAACACAATCATAAAATATACCTAAAATCCTAAGTACATTCAAGTTACGCATGCTCAGTATGAGTGAAGAAAGTGGTAGACTAAGTTACATACAGTCAACACATTTTACACTACATTAACTATATCATTGTTTGGTTATAAATCTAAGCGAATTGGTCAATTCCATGCTATTGGACGGTATAATTTGATAGCTTCTAAACTAGTAACGTCGCCAGGCTGCAAGTTTTGGTCCTGCTAAGTACATTTCAGAACATTATGATAATCATTAATTTCTTTAGAAATCTAATGTTTTGTGTTTTTTTTGCAGTAAAGAAAGAGAAATTTGCTCTACAGGACAAAATTTAATTTCTGGCTACGAAACCGTTCTTAACTAGGAACTGTCGTTGTCAACGCTAGTCAAAATATGCATAAAGTGCAATTAAAATCAAGACCATTACAAGATATAGAATAATCATAGATAAAATAGGTAAATAAAGTATTAATTATTTCTCATTTGACAGAACAGCCCCATCATCAACGACAATACCCCTGTTGCCTTTTCTTGTAAAAAATCGTAAAACTTGCTGTAAAGTTTTCATTGTCTACTCGTGAATTATAGTGAATTTCTTTTCTGAAGTTATTTCTAAAAATGAAAACGGACAAAAATGATATAAGGAAGAGATTGACGAAAACAAAAATAATCCATGCAGTCCCAAAGCAAATTAGCTACGATGTTATTTTAAAAGTTGGACAGACGAACTTTTCCATTCAAAGGAAGCGAAGAACACATTAAGTAGATTATAATGAAAATAAAAAAGTCTATAGATATATGCAATGTTATAAAAACTAATAACGTAAAACATACAAAGAGTTTATACAAGTAAAAAATAAAAACTCATCGTAATAACATGAATCAAAAGAAATGTTACTTAAAGAAAACAATCACAAACATTTTCACACCAATAACAAAGAACGATGAAATTAAGTGAACACTGCATTCGTATGTCAAAAAGAAAAGGCGACAATTTGTGTTTCCGAGATCGTTAATTAAAGGCGAAAACGTGGCTAAGCAATTTTTTGTTGGTTACAGAAAATCTAAAAATGTTTGTGTATTAAAGGGCGTTTATGTCTTCCATTTACAATGTATTGCCAATTGTAACAATATATACAGCACGCTGCATTAACTGTGATATTGCTCTCTTACGTCAGAACACTTGAATGTAAATAATGTTTTGAAGAATAGAATGCACACAGATGCCAGACATTCTTTTCTAATTCACGAACAATATGAATAAAATAGCTGCTTGTAGAAATATTAGTATTTTTGCAGCCAGCCTAACTTTACAGATAACCCACTAGGTCTAACAAAAGTCTAACTATTTGCGCTAATTCTTAATTCTTGTTGACTCAAACTCAAGAAACTTAAATAGTATACTTTCTTAACTAAGAGTGCATAGGTTCTGTTAACCAAGGTTTGCAGTTAGCGCGCCTACCTAAGATTCTAACATCTTAAACTCATGATACGAAAGGGTTTATGGTAGACGAGAAGTTTATTCAAAATTCAACCAATTTAGCCTACCCTTTCTAACCTTGCTCATACAAGATCAGCCTTTGTTGATCCGGTAGCACCATGATCAATGCTGGCATATTGAGTCTGTGGTGGAGGTTCATCTGCACGTGGCCTGCTACCACCTGCGTTCAATGCAACTGGATCAAGGGCAGCATAATGCTAGATAAAAATGTTTTAACCATTGATATGATGATAAAATGACACACATTCAATACTTCATGTAATAATAATGAAGTACACCAATGGGGTTATGATTAGAAACTGTATAGAGATAAAGTCAATAGTTTCAGCTCAAGAGTATGTTAGGATGTTAGTAGAAGTACATCGTGTAGGTTAGTACAGTCCTCAGAAGACATCTTCAAAGTGAAAAGCACTAATGCCAAGATTCCTAAAATGTCAGTCAATACTAAAACACTCCTTCTCTGGACTGCATTACTGTGGAATATCAACATTTACCAAGTACTAATGTGGGAGTGATTGAATGAATGAATGAATGAATGAATGAATGAATGAATGAATGAATGAATGAATGAATGAATGAACGAATAAATGAATGAATGAATACATAAGAGATAAAAGATATCTGCATACAGTATCCTTGTCTGCACTATCTGCAGCTTTGCTGTACTCAGCATTACTCTTTGAGTTACCCAGTCTACAAAAAATGTTGAAAAATATGTTCATTTCATAAAAACAGCAGGAATGGTTTTATCCATACACAATTGAAGATGTTTTTAAATTGCTGAGAACTTACTGACCTGTTGTCTTTATCTAAAGTGAAAAATAAACAAAAAAAGAAACTAATAAGCAAAATGATGAAGGAATGAACAATCATCAATAAAAAACTTACTTTTCTTAACTACACAAAAGTAAACAACAACGACAATGATGATGATGACAACCAAAACACCAATAACAATACCAGCTATAACACCACCACCAAGACCACCCTCACTACTTTTTATGGCCTTTTTGTCTAAATGAATAAAAATACAGTTAAATCTAACAACACATAAAGCAAAAATAGACAAACTACTATGATGTCAATAGCTACAAAATCTTTGTTGATGGAATCCTAACTAGCATCTACTCAAAAAAAAACAACCACAGAATAGGAAAAAATATGATGTGACACTAAAATAAATGAGCATCTTAAGTGTATAACTAGTATAGAACTAATAATTTGTTCACTGTGTTGCAATAACAATCTTGTACCATCTACCATTAATTAAATAAAACATTATAACAAAGTAGGAGATTGTTTTGTTCAAAAGATCACTAAGATATTGTCGTTTACCACCATTAATTATCTATGTATTGGATGAATTTTAGTTTTCTTAAAATATTGTAACAAATTTCAAATTATGAAACCAGCCAAAACTTTCTCACAATACCAGCACATCATATTTAATCAAAATATTTTGACTTGACTGTCAGATTTTTCAATGTAATGGTGATTGCAAGCAATTGATAGAGCGTCTTAACAAGAAAATACCTGTATTATTTGAGTTGGGAGTCAAGAGTATCAATACCAACACATGCCATGTATATTGGAAAATAATATGCGTAAAAGTATAGTTGGTAGTTACCTGTGTCATTTGCTGATGGAGTAGTTGTGCTCATGCCTTGAGTAGGTAAAAAGAAAAATAGCTTTACAATCAAAGCTTTAAAAAACATTTGTTTAGATGACTCATTAAGACGCTTTATCAAAAAACAAATGCACAATAACATTTCATTTAAATGCAAACAAGATGAATTTTATAACATTACTCAGCTAAAAAATTTAACTTGATACTCAATGATATATATTCTCACCTTTAAGAGGTAGATTCACTTTTTGTGACAATTGGCTACCTAGATTATTGGTTGCTCGACAAGTGTAATCACCAACATCTTTTGTGGAGACTTCATTTATGACAAGTTCTGATCGATTGACAACACTTGAGCCATTGAGAAATATTTCAAATTGCGGTTGAGGATTGCCTTTAGCAGTGCAGGTCAATGTTGCTTTATCACCTTCTCTTTGAAGAGTCAATTCAGTGTTGAAAGGTTCAGCTAAACAAAAGCATGTGCAAACATTATCCACACAGAAACTTTCTTCATATGATGACGAAAGTACAATTTCAGTTCTTACAGTTAACAATTATTTGAACAGTTTTTTCAGCTTTAGCTTTCTCGTCACCCTTTGCTTCACATCTATAAGTGCCATTGTTATCACGCCCAACCCGAGCAATAGTTAATGTTGCCATTTCTTCTCCTGAGATAATCCTTTGACTACCTTTATACCATGTGACCACAGCAGGAGGATTACCATCAACTCCTTTACATTCACATGAAAAATAATCACTTACATTGAGAATTGTTGTGTTGGAACAATTGATAGATATTTTCGGTGCAACTGTGATAAAAAAAAAACAACATTTAACACAATAAAACAGGTATCCATCCAAGTACAGACAGATCAACACACAAACCTGCAATGAATACATGCACAGGTGAAGAAAGTGGTCCTGACGCACGTCTAACTTCCATGATATATGTTCCATTATATGTTTGATTTACATTTTTCAGAATCAAAGTTAAAGGTAGTACAAATTGAAAGTCTACACCGTTTGAAACACGGTCTACAACGTTTCCTCTTGCTACTAAAACCAGATGTGTAGAGGCACCAGTAAAACTCAATGTTTGAGAAGTAATTTCATTTGTGTCTCCATTATATGTCCACACAATTCTCCCATCTTCACCAGGAGCAAAAACCAATCTGTCTGAAGGTGCATTCAGTTGAGCTATGGCAAGATAAAAATCATTGAAGTTAAGATAATCAAAATACAGTTTATTATCCAAGGTATGTTACGGACTAAGGAAGTTGCAGTTGCCATGTTAATGACACACTTGAATATGTTGTAATTTCAAAATTCAACCAGACATGTTAAATAATGGGCAAACCAAAACACAACACTATAATTTCCGACTAAAAACATAAATTAGCTATGAACTATAATCAATGCAGAGAAAATTACATTTTATATAAAAATATACATAAAGCAGGACGCAAATTGATGAATATAAACTAACATAAAGTGTTGAATAAAGTTATTGCACAAATGCTCTATTTTAGCCAAATACAATGCTTCCTTACCCCCACTATAGCAAAACCAACAGATGACAAAATATAAAAAAAAGAATCCACGAAGAGTGAACATATTACTCTCTAAAATAAAAGATATACATGGCATTGACCCACTACTGCCGAGTAATAATGTGAAAATAGGTCTTCATAGTCATACTATATTTCTCCTTATCTACATAACATAAAACCTTTTCTCATACACCTTCTCAGAAAGTTTCCAAATATATTTATCACAATTAAAACTTCTATTTTCCTAGTTGAAATAATCTCTAAACATATAAAATACAAAAAAAACGCATTGACGCCCTTTATCTTCTTAGTATAATACATTTTATATAATACACGCCACATCAATGGTCACCAACGTTAAGGCCACGTCTTAAATCGAAAGTTTGTCAACTCAAGTTTATGTAAATAGTTTATCTAAAGAATATAGCTCAACAACACAACAAACTTACTTTAAATATGAACTACCCCAAAATATGGAAGACGTACTTTCACAACAGCGTAGGTAAAAACTAAGTATTTAATGGTAGCTTTTACTTCCGTTTACATAAAGGGAGAGGCCGTCGTTCTTATGAATTCCTAACACGCAACATGACAAAGAGTTCACATTTCGTACATCAACTATGCAAAAATGCGGACGAACGGCTGGCATATTAATAATTCATCATCTTCCATACATAGTATAGCCCCAAGCTGGTGTTCGTAATCTTATAACAGTATTGAAAAGAGTAATGTGATTGTTAAGTGTGATGTCTTCAGCATTATCAACAGTTTTCAATGATATGCACCAAACAAAACAGCAAATAAATAAATTAATACAAATTTTAAAGGCCATTGTTCATATTTAGTTTATAAATGAAAGACATATTTGACGAACCAAAGGACTTATTCTAACTCAGATTTCATGAGATTGTGTGATTGACAGAGTTCAAGAACGTTGTTTTATGGTCAGCAGGATTTGCTCTGGCTTCATAATTACAAATTGTAACTTCATGTCTGTGAGCCTAAAAGAGCAAAACAAAAACTTTTGTCATAGTTTGTGTATGTAGAGGATCATTATAAAGATTAATTGGCATACATTGTAATTTACATCTTGAAATTCACCTTTTAGACCAATATATGTAACTATGGTTGTTTCTGCACCATAATTTAAGGGGAAATACATTGACAAACATTGAATACTTGAAAATCTTGGCACTCTGTACATAAATTACAGTGTTACAGTGGTTAAAGTGGCTAAATTCACAAAGATTTCAACATGCTAAAATCTAGTAGTTGAACTAACTTTGTATAAAACAAATTCCGAAGAAGCAAGACATCTTGAGATCGCAAAATGTGCATCAAAACAAGACGAGAAGTGAACTGTAAATTTTCGACTTTATTTCAAAGCCATCCTCTCTGTCTTGTGCTAATAAGATCATTGTATGAAATTTTATAGGTTGAACAAATTCTTCCCATTGATGAGCGTGGAACATATGCTGCATCTTTAGTATCTCCTACCACCAACATTACGTCATTACCTTGCGTCATCACTGGTATTTTTAATTACTATTGTTTAGTATAGACAACGTCATTCACCTTAATATATGGAGGATATCTGGGGAAGACGGGCGCTCACGTGGAACATTATCTACAATCGTAAATATTGAGGAAATCAACTTTTAATCTTTTAACATTCAACTTTGAGTATCTTTCCTTGAGGAGGGCATCAGGGGAAGAAGGGCGTTCACGAGGGATATTGTGGTACACAATCGTACCAATTAAGGAAATCAACTTTAAACGTTTACCTTTGAGTATATTTCCATGAGAGGGACATCTGGGGAAGAAGGGTGTTCACAGGGAATATTGTGGGACGATTGAGAGAAACTACTTTTTATATCTAACTTTGAGTATCTTTCCTTCACAAGGTTATCCTGTTCTATGAAATAAATTAGAGTTCAAACGACCAGACAGGGCAGCTAACAAAGATTCGTGGAATAAGTTTGTTATGGCTACAAAGGTAGAAGTATTTTTATACATTTCATACGGTATAACTTTATCAACTTTAATCTTTAATGTACAATCATTCCATATGTATCTCAGGTATCGCACAATCCTGAGTGCCAAGATGTGTTGCGCTTTCTCGGTCAGTACTGTGGTGTACCACAAAATCTTTCTTTCTCATTTGGATGAAAATTGTATTGTTTGCTGTGAAAACCGCCCTCGTGATCTCGGAGTGGATTATTTATTTGTATAAAGTACAAAAACATCACTTATCTAGTTCGTATATATGACTTCTGATAATAGCATTGTCGATATCATAAAATTTTAAATTATGTCCTTGAGTGGATAATCACTTAGATGACTGGAAAGGAAAACTTATCCAGTGATCTACCTTAGTTAAATTTATATAAACGTAATGTCAGTTTGAATGACTTATGATTAAAGGACAGTAAAATTACAGTATATAGTTTTAAATGAAGTTCTTTGTTTTGTTCTTAAGATCTCCTAAAGATGATTTAATTTAAATACTCTTCCTTAACTAACCATTATAATAACATAAAAATAAGACTAAATAATTTTTTACATCATACCCACGCAATCGCGATCATTCATTCTCAGAGAAGTTTACGGTTTTCTCCTTCATTTGACGTTTAGTTTTTTCATAATCTAAGAATGAAAGACCAAACTCTCTTTCCTTGACATTAGTTGACTTTTTAAAGAAAACACCTAAAAAATGTAACAACAGAAAAACAACAATATCGAAACGCGTTGACTTGAAGCACACCCTATTGGCAAAAATGAGAGAAAAATAGCAAATAATAAGTATTTAGATATATTTATTGAGCTAAACGAAAATTGTTCACATTTTTTTCATGTTTAGTTACGCATACATACAGTAAGAACATATAATAATCGAAAGTTTCTACTTGTGAATGAACATGAACTGATCCTTGTACAATCTCACGGAGAAGCCGCCAAACTGTATATGCGATTCATCGATATTTCTTTTGAACACATGTTCAGTAGACTCCGTGTTATTAATGGATTATTTTTGTATTGAAACCTCGTCCTCGCTAGAGCTTTTATCGTCGTCAACATGCTTGGAATCATTCGTGTTTTCACTGGTCCACGAGTCATCATTCAAAACTCTTGAGCGTACGCTAGGTGCTTCAACTACGTTCAATTTCATCAAGCTATATCTTCAATCTGGCGTCGTTGTTTCTCCTCTGTCATGCTGGATTTTGTTTCGATGTTTGAAGTTTCATTTTCAAGTATTTCTTCTACCTCAATGCACGAATTACAATATCTTTCATAAATATATCAGAGCATTGTTTTTGCACGAAATTTGCAGACACAAAGTTATGGAGAAGAAACAACTGAGAGAGTACTTTATCTGCACTTTTAGTGAAATCTACCTTCTTTGCTTTTATACAAATGAGTTTCTTTAACGTTAAAATGATAATTTTTTGTATTTTTATTACAACTGCTTCAAAAGAAATAATCTTAGCATTCTGAAATGGAAAGATATGCTTTCTTGCGTATTTCATCTTCCTATCCACCAGCCATCAATGTCAAATGTTCCAAACCATCAATTCTCAATTGAAGTGCATAATTTTCATGTAAATATAAAGAAGAGAATGGTAATCCACCTGTTATCACATGATGTCACATGGTACAAATGCAATGTAGTGGTCAGCTCAAAAAAGAACTAACCACTATCCCTTTTAAAAGTTGATAGAGAGAATTTCATGCAGAAGTAAAATAATTTGCAGAGTGCTGCTAAATATCGTATATGAATCCAAATGAGTGTGACGAATTTTCACAATGACCTTCAATGAAGGCATTGAAAAATGAGAATTGACAAACGGCTCAATTGGCAAGAACAACAATGAAATATGTTCTGTTATAACTTGCGTTACATTTTCATTCACAGTGGAGCTGGTTGTTGACATTTGAATTCTAATTTTGTTTAATTTTATTTTTGTAGCCGTTCAATATTTATTTTTGCCACAAATACATTTTAGCATCTTTACTCGATGTAAACACTGATATTGATCTTTCGATGACTTGAGATGAAGTATGGGGAAAAAATGAGCAAAAACAAGATCAAAGGTAAAGTATTTTTTCATGGTTATCTATTGTAGAACAATGTTTTTTTAAACTATTTCACAAAATTTGTTATATGTTTACTCAATAAAACGGATGTCTCTCGTCATCACATTATTACACATTGAGAGTGCACGAGTTTCATTTTGCACCAAGGAAAGAACAAATTTTCCATGTTTTAAGTAACTGCATCTAGGAAAATGTTCTTTGTACTTTTACCGCAGGTTCGTTGTGTTACCTGAAAATGATTGGTTTTAACAATTTTCTGGTATCATTATAGACACCAGTGTAGAGTAGATGTACAGAACAGTACATCATACATAAAACTAAGCAAATTACAAAATTCTCACATGGACCTGCAATAAAGACATCGACAGTGGAGAAAATGACAAATAACTAAGGTGCTAAGAACAATATATATTCCATTGTAACTTGCATTTTTGGTAATCAGCATTAGCGATGGTTAAATTGGAAACTCTACTCTCTCGTTTTTCTTTATTTTGTAGACGTCCTTTGTCTATTTCTACAAAAACATTCATTTGAGTACTTTCATCCGAAATAAACATCGACATTGATCTTTAGGGATATAAGGGATCGCAAAGGGATATGAGTTGAGTTGAACTGTTGAAGAACGGAAAGAAAAATGAGCAAAGGCAAGATCTAAGGTAAATTAACTGACGACTTTTTATCAGTTGATTATTTTTCGTTTTTATTGTCACATACCATACTACATTCATCTCAAAATAACACTTTCGTGTACTGTAGATTTATTTATTATCATTTAAGCACTGGTGTTGGGAATTTCATAATGGTCTCCTTTATAACTTCGGTCAACTGTGTTATTCTTACTTAGCAATGGTTGATAATTTTTATCTTCTTTATTCATTTTTGATACATCAAGTCCTTGATAAGTTGGGTCAATTATGTCATCCTTGCCTCCGTCATCCATATTTGATAAATCTATCTCTTGACAAGTTGTATTCGTCGTATTTGTCCTTGCGTCATATGACTGAGACATTTGACTTTTCTTAACTAACCATCGTTGACCATAACATAAAAATATCAAACAACAAAACAAAATCCCAAAAATAATTCCAGATATAAAAGAGATGGAGGTAACGAGCCAGTCCGTTTTACAATCAACAATGCTCGTGGTTGAGATTTTCATATCTAAAAAGAAAGCCAAAATATTCTTAGAAAACCATTTCGTCTGACAATTTAAACCACAAGATAATTAAAAATAATTTCAATACATAAAGTTATCTTTAAATGTTTGCACGTGTACGTCATGTGATATGGCACTGCCTAAAATGTTTGTCGCTTTACAAGTATAATTTCCAAAATCACAAGATTTAACGATGTCAAATGTGTAGGTGGAGCCTTTATAGACAAGTTTAGAGCGCTTTGAAAATATTTCAAAGTTTGGTTGTGGACGGCCTTCAGCAGTGCAGATTAACGTTGCTTTATGACCTCTTTGGAGAGTCAACCTAATGTTGGCAGGTCTATCTAAAACAAAATTGTAACAAATATGTTTCATATTTTTTATAATCATAAGCAATGACTGTCATATTACTGTATTGTACAATTTCGTACTTACAGTTGATAATCAACTAATGTGGCCTGGATACTGGACAAGTCAGTGCAGCAGACAGCCGGTCCCAAGCCCGGATAAACACAGAAGGTGGATGTCAGGAAGAGCATCCGGTCCTTAAAAGAACATGCCACATGATAATATGCCGGAGACAATCAGAAGAGAAGACAATGCTAGGGCATACCCCGTAAGCGATGCGCAGCGGCACTACTGTCTTGACGCTGTGAAAAGAATGCAAGCGAGACAGAACAGACAGAAGAACTTGAGAGTTGCGATCCTAAACATCGGGACGCTGACTGGAAAGAGCAGAGAAATAGCAGACATGATGAAGAGGAGGAGGATCGACATACTATGCTTACAAGAGACAAGATGGACTGGTGGGAAATCAGGAGGGAAGGCAAGAAACATCGGAGAGAGCTACAAGCTGTACTACAGCGGAGGGGGAAAGCCAAAGAATGGAGTGGCTATATGCCTGAGTGAGGAATGGCAAGATAAAGTGATAGAGACCCGGAGAAAGTCCGATAGAATCATAACTATGAAACTGGTAACACCTGACAAGACGTTCAACGTCGTGACTGCCTATGCACCTCAGCAAGGTTGTGAAGAAGAAAGAAGAAGAAGAAGACGAGAAACAGAGATTTTGGAACCAACTTGAAGAAGTGACCACCAATGTGAAGGAAACAGAACAGCTGATTGTGGCAGGAGATCTCATTGGGCACATCGGAAGAGAGAGAGTAGAGGGATTTGAGAGATGGCATGGAGGAAAGTCAATCGGAAGAAGAAATGAAGAAGGAGATAAGATCTTGGACTATGCAAGGAGCAAGGACCTCGCAGTGGTAAACACATTTTTCACACAGAGGGATGGAAACACCTACACGTACAATAGTGGCCTTAGCCAGACCGTGATAGATTTCATCATGATAAAGAGAGATGACCTAGGCGATGTTAAAAATTGTAAGGTTACCCCTGGTGAGGAAATTGCACTGCAGCATAGACTCGTTGTGATGGATTATAAGATCAAGAAGAGGAGAAGAATAAGAAGAGAGCGACCGAAGAAGATCAACTGGTGGAAACTACATAATGAGGAAGGAGATGAGCTGGAAAGTAAGATCACAGAAATGCTAATGGAACAAAGCATGGTGGGAGATTGGAAATGGAATGAAACATACCCCAATATACTAGAAGCAGCAAAGGAGACACTGGGAGTTAGTAGAGGTGGGAAATAGATAGAAAAAGAATCCTGGTGGTGGAATGAAGAAGTACAAGAGGCTGTGAAGAACAAGAAAGAAGCTTTTAAGAGATGGAAGAGATCTGGTTTGGAGGAAGACAGGGAGACTCTGAGAGAAATGAGCAAGATCAGTAAAGAAAAGTGTGCGATTGTTAGAGAGAAAGGCCAGGAACAACTATACAAGGATCTGGAGCAAAACGGACCGAAAAGAATCTACAAGTTAGCTAAAACTCGACAGAGAAGAGCAAAGGACATTGACAAGATCACTTTTGTCAAGAATGAGCAGGGAAAGATCGTGAGCGAAGATGAGAAAATCAAAGAGCGATGGAGGGAATATTTTGATAGACTTTTGAACACGAAGAACAACAGGAAAGAACTGGACCATCTTGAACCAGTCCATGGGCCAGTACCAGAGATTACGGAAGATGAAGTGAGAAGACAACTCAAGAAGATGAAGAACAATAAAGCAAGAGGACCGGATGAGCTCCCCATCGAACTAGTGAAGAAATTGGGAAACACAGGAACAGAGTGGATGACATCATGCTGCAGAGAAATAATGAAGACAGGAATACCAGAAGAATGGAGAACAAGCAGAATAGAGCCTCTTTACAAACAGAAAGGTGATCCCCTAAGCTGTGGAAACTATCGAGGCATTAAACTCCTCTGCCACTCACTGAAATTATTTGAGAGAGTGATAGAGGCGAGACTGAGAAAAATAGTGAAGATAAAGGACAACCAATATGGATTCCAACGCGGAAAATCAACCACTGAGCTGATGTTCTGTCTGCGGATGCTGCAAGAGAAGTATAGAGAATTCAACAAAGAGCTACATATGGTTTTCGTGGACCTTGAAAAGGCATATGATACAATCCCGAGGGAGCTACTATGGTACTGTCTAAGGAAGCGTCAAGTCCCGGAGGCCTATATTGAAGCCATCAAAGATATGTATAAGCGCTCTACCACTAGTGTCGCAACGAACGTTGGTGAGACTGAGAAAATTCAAGTAGAGGTCGGATTACATCAAGGCTCGGCACTAAGCCCCCTACTCTTTATTATCATTATGGATGTAATCTCGGACGACACGACAGAGGACACACCTTGGAGTATGCTGTTTGCAGATGATTTGGTCTTGTGTGATGAGAAGAGAGAACATCTGGAAGGAAGACTAGAAGATTGGAGAAGAATATTAGAAGATGTTGGCTTGAAAGTTAGTAGAGCCAAGACGGAGTACCTCCCACCGAGTAGCTGCATAGGAAACATCAAGCTAAGAGAATATGCTGGACCCGGAAATACAGATCTACCAAAGTGCGAGACATTTAACTACCTCGGGACCACCATCCATCAGGATGGCGGATGCAAGACTGAGGTTGAACTACGGATTAGCCGGGCATGGAATAAATGGAGGGAGTTAACGAGAGTGCTTTGTGATAAGAAGATGCCGAAGAAACTTTAGATCCTCATCTACAAAACGGTGATACGCCCAGTGCTTCTGTATGGGAATGAAACATGGCCTGTTACAGACTACCTAGCAGAGAAGATCAGTGAGATGAGAATGATATGCGAGATGAGAATGATACGCTATTGTCTTGGAGTCAGCCTAGAGGAGCACAGAACAAATGAAAGCATAAGAGAAGAAGCGAATGTCATGAGTATACTGAAATTGATGAGAAGAAAAAGACTGCAGTGGTTCGGACATGTGTGCCGGCGTGAAGAAGATGTAGACATTCGGAGAGTTTATGAGATGCAAGTGGAAGGGAGACGGAAACGAGGACGCCCAAAGTATCGGTGAAAGGATACCATCAGGAGAGACATGCAGCTATGTGGTGTCAAAGAAGAGGATACCCAAGACAGAGCAGCCTGGAGAAGTCTGATAGAACTGGGTCTCCGGCAAAGACCCGCTACCCGAGCAGGACACAGCGGAGAAAGGTGACCAAAGGTGACCAAAGTTGATAATCAACTCAACACTTTTTTCATCTTCAGCTTTCTCGTGTCTCTTTACTTCACATCGATACAGTCCTTTGTCTGATCGATCAACCTGAGGAATAGTTAATGTAGCCATTTCTTTCCCTGAAGCAAGCACTTGACTACCTTTATACCATGTGACATTAACAGGTGTATTAAAATTCCCTCCTTTACATTTATACGAGAGCGATTCATTTGAATTGAGAATTGTTGAATTAGAACAGTTGATAGATATTTTTCGAAAAACTGTGACAAAAATGAAAAAACTGTTTCACACAAAGAAAAAGATATCCATTCATGTACAGGCAGATCCCTCACTCAAACCTTCGATGAATACGTGTACGGATAAAGTCAAATAAATGTCCGACCCATTAATCAAAAACATTATTCAGCTAAAAAATTTAACTTGATACTCAATGATATATATTCTCACCTTTAAGAGGTAGGTTCACTTTTTGTGACAATTGGCTACCTAGAATATTGGTTGCTCTACAAGTGTAATCACCAACATTTTTTGTGGAGACTTCATTTAGTATTTGAGTTGGGAGTCAAGAGTATCAATAACAACACATGCCATGTATATTGGAAAATAATATGCGTAAAAGTATAGTCGGTAGTTACCTGTGTCGGTTGCTGATGGAGTAGTTGTGCTCATGCCTTGAGTAGGTAAAAAGAAAAATAGCTTTACAATCAAAGCTTTAAAAAACATTTGTTTAGTTGACTCGTTAAGAGGCTTTATCAAAAAACAAATGCACAATAACATTTCATTTAAATGCAAACAAGATGAATTTTATAACATTATTCAGCTAAAAAATTTAACTTGATACTCAATGATACATATTCTCATCTTTAAGAGGTAGGTTCACTTTTTGTGACAATTGGCTACCTAGATTATTGGTTGCTCTACAAGTGTAATCACCAACATTTTTTGTGGAGACTTCATGTATTATTTGAGTTGGGAGTCAAGAATATCAATAACAACACATGCCATGTATATTGGAAAATAATATGCGTAAAAGTATAGTCGGTAGTTACCTGTGTCATTTGCTGATGGAGTAGCTGTGCTCATGCCTTGAGTAGGTAAAAAGAAAAATAGCTTTACAATCAAAGTTTTAAAAAACATTTGTTTAGATGACTCATTAAGACGCTTTATCAAAAAACAAATGCACAATAACATTTCATTTAAATGCAAACAAGATGAATTTTATAACATTATTCAGCTACCTAGATTATTGGTTGCTCGACAAGTGTAATCACCAACATTTTTTGTGGAGACTTCATTTAAGACAAGTGTTGATCCATTGACAACACTTAAGCCATTGAGAAATATTTCATATCTTGGTGGTGGATTGCCTTTAGCAGTGCAGGTCAATGTTGCTTTATCACCTTCTCTCTGGAGAGTCAACTGAACATTGACCGGTTTATCTATACAATAAAACAATGTGAAAGACTAAATTATTTTCAAACTTTTCAACTAGTTACAGCGAAATGTTGGACAATGAACTATGCGTGAGAGAGTTGTGTAATGTAGCGAACGAGGTTTTGAGGGGCTCAAAGATGCCGAGTACATGGAGAAAGAGTCTAGTGGTCCCGCAGTACAAAGGAAAAGGAGCAACGACGGTATGTGGGAATTACAGGACTATTAAGCTGATGGAGCATGCGTTGAAGATAGTAGAGAGAGTGTTTGAAAGAAGGTTGAAGGAAGTTGTTCGGATGGGGGAAGAGCAGTATGGATTCATACCGGGGAGAGGAACGACGGATGCGTGTTTTGTGTTGAGGCAGCTGCAGGAGAAATTTTTGGAGAAGGACAGAGAATTGTATATGGTGTTTGTAGATTTGGAGAAGGCGTTTGATAGAATTCCGAGAAAGGTGATCGAGTACGCGCTGCGTAAGAAAGGTGTGACAGAGAATATGGTTCGGGCAGTTATGGAGACTTATGAAGGTGTAGAGGCGGTGGTTACGGAGGAAGGTGTTAGATCTGGTGTTTTGAGGTAAAGTTGGTGTTCATCAAGGTTCAGTCTTGTCGCCGTTACTGTTTGCTTGTGTGATGGATGTACTGACAGAGGAAGTGAGAAAAGAAGGATGCTGGTGTTTGTTGTATGCAGATGACATTGTCTTGGTGGCGGAGTCGAAGCAGAAAGTCATGGAATGGTACCGAGAATGGAAAACGGCAATAGAAGGGGACTGAAAGTGAATGAGGCAAAGACGAAGGGCATGAGATGCTCGAGGCAGGTGGAGGTGAAGGACAGTGATAAATGGCCATGTGGTGTGTGTGGGAAAAGAGTTGGAGTGAATTCGATAATGTGTGGAAATGCAGTAAGTGGGTTCATGAAAGATGTTCAGGTGTCCGTGGTGCATTGACAAGAGTAACTGATTTTGAGTGCGGGACGTGTCGAAGTGGTGGGCGAGTCGCGATTGAACGGTTTGAACTGGGTGACGTGAGTTTGGAAGGTGTATTGGAGTTTAAATATCTGGGCGACGTGTTAAATGATGGTGGAGGTGCGAGCAAGCGGTGAGGAACAGAGTTCAAGCAGCGTGGTGGAGTTTTAGAAGTTGTCGGGAATGTTGTGCGGAAAGTCGACTTCGTTGAAGCAGAAGGAGAATTGTACAAGGCATGTGTTAGAAGTGTTTTGGGATATGGAGCAGATTGTTGGGCGCCGAAAGCAGAGGACCTAAGAAGATTGGCGTCGACGGAAAGGATGATGTGTGGTGTAACGTTGATGGATAGGATTTGAAGTGAAGAGATTAGAGAAAGAGTTGGTTTTGAGTGTATCGAGAATTGGGTAAGGCGCCAGCGTTTGAGGTGGTTTGGGCATGTGGAAAGGAGGGAAGAAAGTGCTGAAATTCGTAGAACGTTGCATATGAATATTGATGGAGTCCACAAACAAGGTAGACCGAGAAAAAGATGGATGGATGCTGTGAACAGTGATATGAAGGCGATGGGTATAACGAGAGATATGGCGAGAGATAGAGACGTTTGGCGTGGAAAAATTCATGGACTGGTCAACCCCCTGGCGGGGATTAATACTGGCCGGTATACAAATGTTGTTTGTTTGTTGTTTGTTGTTTGTTCAACTAGTTACAGCATTTACATAAGCCTTAAAGTTTGATGAAAATTTGCTGACTAGCAAATTTTTTTTACAAGAGCAAAAGTTAACTTACAGTTAACAATCAATTCAATTGTTTTTTCTGCTTTTGATTTCTCATGACCCATTGCTTCACATTTATACTGGCCATTGTCAAAGCGATTTGCTTGCTCAATTTTTAATATTGCCATTTCTGTCCCTGAGGAAAGGACTCGAGGATCTTTATACCATTTGACTTCATTAACAGGTGGATTTCCATTTTTTGCATTACATTGGCAAGAAAAAGATGCACTTGCATTAAGAGTTGTTGTATCGGAACAGTTGACGTCAATTGTTGGTGGAACTGAAAGAAAAATGATTCACTGATAAGAAAAAATGTAAGAAAATTTTGAAAAATGAAGAAATTTTTTCAAAAACAGAGACAAAAATAAAAATCTTGAACTGAGTAGAGTCAGCAACAAAATGGCATCAACATTGTAATAGTCATATTTTTATGATGAAGAAAATAATGACTTTAGTTGAAATTTTGGTTGCCATGAAATAAGGGTTGACATTTCTATACTTCTGTTTAAAAAATAATAGTTTTTACAAACCAGCAATAAAGACATCAACTGTTGATGTTTCAGAGCCTGTTGTAATTGAAAACACATTTAAGGAATATGTTCCATTGTATGTTTCATTTACATTCCTCAATACCAAAGTGAAGGGTTTTATTATTCTAAAGTCTATGTTGAGCTCTTGAAATGTTTGTAATCCACCAGAATCTATTCTTGCCAGAACTTTTCTGCCATTGACACCACTGAAAATCCAACTCTTAAATGTAAACTCAGGCACCAGACCATTATACCTCCATGTTATCGATTTAGTTTCACCAGAGTTAAGAACAATTACCGAATCCTCTGAAGGAGGTTGAAGTTGAGCTGCAGTAAAACAAAATCATGAAAGTATCTACATGACTAGTTAAGCAATTGAAGACATTCAATCTTACCATCACTGAAAGCCAACCAAAAGACTGCAAAATATTTCAGGAAGAAACAGCTGAAGCAAGACATGACTGTCTGTCAAAATAAGATGGAAAAGTTGACTAAAACGCCCTTTATATTCCTAGTATAATACATTTTATACAATACACGCCACATCTATGGTCGCCAACGTTAAGGCGAAGTCTTGAATCGAACGTTTGTCAACACAAGTTTATCTAAATAGTTTATCTAAAGAATATAGCTCAACAACTCAACAAACTTACTTTAAATATGGACTAGCCCAAAATATGGAAGACGTATGCTCACAACAGAGTAGGTAAAACTAAGTATTTAATGGTAGCTTTTACTTCCGTTTACATAAAGGGAGAGGCCGTCATTCTTCTTATGAATTCAGCCTGGGCCACACTATCGTCTATATTGACGAAAACGAAAATTCGTGCACGAAATGCATGCCAGACAAGACGAAAAATTACAAGCATGTTTGCAAAGCCAAAACTTTTTTGGCCAATAAGCAAGCGGCATTTTTGACAGATTAGAAAAAATAGCGATCTCTAAAAGAAAAAGATTACTTCTTCTTAAGAAAAAGTTACTGCCTTTAAAGTTGAAAACAAGCAACAGCAAACGTCGATACTGGATTCATCCAATTAATAAACGAGAGCCGAACAATGAAAATAGACACATAAAATACTTGCGAATGACGACGACAAATTTTGACTACATTTTGGATTCAATTAGACCTCACATCACTAAAGTTGGCACACATCTTAGAAAGTCTATTAGCCCTGATTTATCAAAATCTCTTGCCACTCCGCCATGTTTGGGCACAAAGTCTAATATTATTAGCCAATAGTATGCGTTTTCGTTGACGAAAAAGGTCAAAAGTTTAATTCTTTTAACATGCACGAAAACGAAATTTTCGTCGAGTTTTCGTTCAAAATTTTCGTTGCGGCAGTTTTCGTTCTGATTTTCGTCGATATGGACGATAGTGTGGCCTAGGCTTTCCTTTCCACGCAACATGACAAAGAGATCACATTTCGTATATCAAATATGCAAAAATGCGGACGAACGGCTGACATATTAATAATTCATATCATCATATGGAAATACATAGTATAGCCCCAAGCTGGTGTTTGTAATCTTATTCATAACAGTATTGAAAGGAGTAATGTGATTGTTAAGTTCGATGTCTTCAGCATTGTCAACAGTTTTCAATGATATGCACCAAACAAAACAGCAAATAAATAAATTAATACAAATTTTAAAGGCCATTGTTCATATGTAGTTTATAAATTAAAGACATATTTGACGAACCAAAAGACTTATTCTAACTCAAGTTTCATGAGATTGTGTGATTGACAGAGTTCAAGAATTTTGTTTTATGGTCAGCGGGATTTGCTCTGGCTTCATAATTACAAATTGTAACTTCATGTCTGTGAGCCTAAAAGAACAAAACAAAAACTTTTGTCATAGTTTGTGTATATAGAGAATCAATATAATGATTAATTGGCATATATTGTAATTTACCTCTTGAAATTCACCCTTTAGACCAATATATGTAACTATGGTTGTTTCTGCACCATAATTTAAGGGGAAATACATTGACAAACATTGAGTACTTCAAAAATCTTGGCACTCTGTACATCAATTACAGTGTTAAATTTAAACCTTCAATAGTTGGTCAAAAAAGTGGTTAAAGTTGCTAAATTTACAAAGATTTTAACATGCTAAAATCTAGTAGTAGAACGAACTTTGTATAAAACAAATTCCGAAGAAGCAAGACATCTTGAGATTGCAAAATGTTCATCAAAACAAGACGAGAAGTGAACTGTAAATTTTCAAATTTATTTCAAAGCCATCCTTTCTGTCTTGTGCTTATAAGATGATTGTATGAAATTTTATAGGTTGAACAAATTCTTCCCATTGACGAGCGTGGAACACATGCTGCATCTTTAGTATCTCCTACCACCAACATTACGTCATTACCTTGCGTCATCACTGGTATGTTTAATTACTATTGTTTAGTATAGACAACGTCATTCACCTTAATATATGGAGGATATCTGGGGAAGACGGGCGCTCACGTGGAATATTATCTACAATCGTAACTATTGCGGAAATCAACTTTTAATCTTTTAACATCCAACTTTGAGTATCTTTCCTTGAGGAGGACATCTGGGGAACAAGGGCGTTCACAAGGGATATTGTGCTACACAATCGTACCATTTAAGGAAATCAACTTTAAACGTTTACCTTCGAGTATATTTCCATGAGAGGGACATCTGGGGAAGAAGGGTGTTCACAGGGGATCTTGTGGGACGATTGAGAAAAACTACTTTTTAAAGTCTAACTTTGAGTATTTTTCCTTCACAAGGTTATCCTGTTCTACGAAATAAATTAGAGTTCAAACGACCAGACAGGGCAGCTAACAAAGATTCGTGGAATAAGTTTGTTATGGCTACAAAGGTACATGTATTTTTATACATTTCATATGGTATAACTTTATCAACTTTAATCTTTAAACTACAATCATTCCATATGTATCTCAGGCATTGCACAATCCTGAGTGCCAAGATGTGTTGCGCTTTCTCGGTCAGTACTGTGGTGTACCACAAAATCTTTCTTTCTCATTTGGATAAAAATTGTATTGTTTGCTGTGAAAATTCCCTCGTGATCTCGGAGTGGATTATTTATTTGTATATAGTACAGAAACATCACTTATCTAGTTCGTATATATGACTACTGATAATGGCATTGTCGATATCATAAAGTTTTTAAATTGCGTCCTTGAGTGGATAATCACTTAGATGGCTGGAAAGGAAAACTTATCCAGTGATCTACCTTAGTTAAACTTATGTAAACGTAATCTCAGTTTGAATGACTTATGATTATAGGACTGTAAAATTACAGTATATAGTTTTAAATGAAGTTCTTTGTTTTGTTCTTATAATCTCCTAAAGAAGATTTAATTTACTCGCGACCGCACTCTCCCTGCGTACCCCGAGCAAAGCTTATCGCAGGTGATCTCGGGGTCTGATGGGCGGAAGCTTGCTATTGCATCTCCCAAGTAGGATAGCGTGGAGGGGCCAAAATCTCCTACCGAAACGTTAACATGCGGCGTTCTAGTGACTTACGCTTAAAAAGGTATCGGGAAGCATGGACCGAAAACGGGTTTTTTTGCTTTCGAATTTTATCTTTTTGTTTACACGCAAACCATCAAAGGGCTTGAAAAGAAAATGAGTGAAGACAAGAGGGAAGGTGAAATAGTTAGTGGTGTTTATCGAATGAAAAAACAATTTAAAATATTTCACAAAATTTTTTATGTTAACATTAACTCAACAAAACTTGTGTCTTAGGATTTCTTGCGTATTCAAAACTGTTTTTTTGGTCGGATGTGCATGATTTTTAAAATCAATTAAAATGAAAATTTGAAAAGTTTCAAATCATGGTTTATTCAAGGATTGGTAATTGTTTTCGGGATGTCTGACTTTATTCAGCTCCTGATATTGATTATCGCCATCATTATTCTTCCTCAACGATTCATATTTATCTCGGTCGTCTCTTTTTGATAGATCTAGTTCCTCATAAGTTGTATTCACTGTATTTGAATACAAGACTGAACTGTTACAAAAATTCTTTCTTTGTCAGAATTATCAAACCCTGGAATAATCTTCCTAATAATTTATTTAATTTTTGTGACAGCCCTAACGTTCGAGAGTTTAAATCAAAATTGAAGAAACACATGAATATTTATTGAATCGTCAGTTAATAATTGATATTTAGCTGTTTCTTATTTGACATTTTTTTTATTTATTTATTATTTACTATTTTTTTTTTATTTATTATTAGCTAGTTCTGTAAGATTTTTTACATAAATAGGAGACCCTTGATATAGGGCTAACCTCTGGGTTTCCTTTTTCTTAATAATGATGTATTTACATGTTGTTCTGAAATAAAGTATTGTAAAAAAAAAAATGACTCATTAAGAGGCTTTATCAAAAAACAAATGCACAATAACGTTTCATTTAAATGCAAACAAGATGAATTTTATAACATTATTCAGCTAAAAAAATTAACTTGATACTCAATGATATATATTCTCACTTTTAAGAGGTAGGTTCACTTTTTGTGACAATTGCCTACCTAGATTATTGGTGGCTTGACAAGTGTAATCACCAACATTTTTTGTGGAGACTTCATTTATTATTTGAGTAGGGAGTCAAGAATATCAATAACAACACATGCCATGTATATTGGAAAATAATATGCGTAAAAGTATAGTCGGTAGTTACCTGTGTCGGTTGCTGATGAAGTAGTTGTGCTCATGCCTTGAGTAGGTAAAAAGAAAAATAGCTTTACAATCAAAGTTTTAAAAAACATTTGTTTAGATGACTCATTAAGAGGCTTTATCAAAAAACAAATGCACAATAACATTTCATTTAAATGCAAACAAGATGAATTTTATAACATTATTCAGCTAAAAAAATTAACTTGATACTCAATGATATATATTCTCACTTTTAAGAGGTAGGTTCACTTTTTGTGACAATTGGCTACCTAGATTATTGGTGGCTCGACAAGTGTAATCACCAACATTTTTTGTGGAGACTTCATTTATTATTTGAGTTGGGAGTCAAGAATATCAATAACAACACATGCCATGTATATTGGAAAATAATATGCGTAAAAGTATAGTCGGTAGTTACCTGTGTCGGTTGCTGATGAAGTAGTTGTGCTCATGCCTTGAGTAGGTAAAAAGAAAAATAGCTTTACAATCAAAGTTTTAAAAAACATTTGTTTAGATGACTCATTAAGAGGCTTTATCAAAAAACAAATGCACAATAACATTTCATTTAAATGCAAACAAGATGAATTTTATAACATTATTCAGCTAAAAATTAACTTGATACTCAATGATATATATTCTCACTTTTAAGAGGTAGGTTCACTTTTGTGACAATTGGCTACCTAGATTATTGGTGGCTCAACAAGTGTAATCACCAACATTTTTGTGGAGACTTCATTTATTATTTGAGTTGGGAGTCAAGAATATCAATAACAACACATGCCATGTATATTGGAAAATAATATGTAAAAGTATAGTCGGTAGTTACCTGTGTCGGTTGCTGATGAAGTAGTTGTGCTCATGCCTTGAGTAGGTAAAAGAAAAATAGCTTTACAATCAAAGTTTTAAAAACATTTGTTTAGATGACTCATTAAGAGGCTTTATCAAAAACAAATGCACAATAACATTTCATTTAAATGCAAACAAGATGAATTTTATAACATTATTCAGCTAAAAAATTAACTTGATACTCAATGATATATATTCTCACTTTTAAGAGGTAGGTTCACTTTTGTGACAATTGGCTACCTAGATTATTGGTGGCTTGACAAGTGTAATCACCAACATTTTTTGTGGAGACTTCATTTATTATTTGAGTTGGGAGTCAAGAATATCAATAACAACACATGCCATGTATATTGGAAAATAATATGTAAAAGTATAGTCGGTAGTTACCTGTGTCGGTTGCTGATGAAGTAGTTGTGCTCATGCCTTGAGTAGGTAAAAAGAAAAATAGCTTTACAATCAAAGTTTTAAAAAACATTTGTTTAGATGACTCATTAAGAGGCTTTATCAAAAAACAAATGCACAATAACATTTCATTTAAATGCAAACAAGATGAATTTTATAACATTATTCAGCTAAAAAAATTAACTTGATACTCAATGATATATATTGTCACTTTTAAGAGGTAGGTTCATTTTTTGTGACAATTGGCTACCTAGATTATTGGTGGCTTGACAAGTGTAATCACCAACATTTTTTGTGGAGACTTCATTTATTATTTGAGTTGGGAGTCAAGAATATCAATAACAACACATGCCATGTATATTGGAAAATAATATGCGTAAAAGTATAGTCGGTAGTTACCTGTGTCGGTTGCTGATGAAGTAGTTGTGCTCATGCCTTGAGTAGGTAAAAAGAAAAATAGCTTTACAATCAAAGTTTTAAAAAACATTTGTTTAGATGACTCATTAAGAGGCTTTATCAAAAAACAAATGCACAATAACATTTCATTTAAATGCAAACAAGATGAATTTTATAACATTATTCAGCTAAAAATTAACTTGATACTCAATGATATATATTCTCACTTTTAAGAGGTAGGTTCACTTTTTGTGACAATTGCCTACCTAGATTATTGGTGGCTTGACAAGTGTAATCACCAACATTTTTTGTGGAGACTTCATTTATTATTTGAGTTGGGAGTCAAGAATATCAATAACAACACATGCCATGTATATTGGAAAATAATATGAAAGTATAGTCGGTAGTTACCTGTGTCGGTTGCTGATGAAGTAGTTGTGCTCATGCCTTGAGTAGGTAAAAGAAAAATAGCTTTACAATCAAAGTTTTAAAAACATTTGTTTAGATGACTCATTAAGGGGCTTTATCAAAAAACAAATGCACAATAACATTTCATTTAAATGCAAACAAGATGAATTTTATAACATTATTCAGCTAAAAAATTAACTTGATACTCAATGATATATATTCTCACTTTTAAGAGGTAGGTTCACTTTTTGTGACAATTGGCTACCTAGATTATTGGTGGCTCGACAAGTGTAATCACCAACATTTTTTGTGGAGACTTCATTTATTATTTGAGTTGGGAGTCAAGAATATCAATAACAACACATGCCATGTATATTGGAAAATAATATGCGTAAAAGTATAGTCGGTAGTTACCTGTGTCGGTTGCTGATGAAGTAGTTGTGCTCATGCCTTGAGTAGGTAAAAAGAAAAATAGCTTTACAATCAAAGTTTTAAAAAACATTTGTTTAGATGACTCATTAAGAGGCTTTATCAAAAAACAAATGCACAATAACATTTCATTTAAATGCAAACAAGATGAATTTTATAACATTATTCAGCTAAAAAATTAACTTGATACTCAATGATATTTATTCTCACTTTTAAGAGGTAGGTTCACTTTTGTGACAATTGGCTACCTAGATTATTGGTGGCTTGACAAGTGTAATCACCAACATTTTTGTGGAGACTTCATTTATTATTTGAGTTGGGAGTCAAGAATATCAATAACAACACATGCCATGTATATTGGAAAATAATATATAAAAGTATAGTCGGTAGTTACCTGTGTCGGTTGCTGATGATGCTCAGTAGTTAAAAGAAAATAGCTTTACAATCAAAGTTTTAAAAACATTTGTTTAGATGACTCATTAAGAGGCTTTATCAAAAACAAATGCACAATAACATTTCATTTAAATGCAAACAAGATGAATTTTATAACATTATTCAGCTAAAAATTAACTTGATACTCAATGATATATATTGTCACTTTTAAGAGGTAGGTTCATTTTTTGTGACAATTGGCTACCTAGATTATTGGTGGCTTGACAAGTGTAATCACCAACATTTTTTGTGGAGACTTCATTTATTATTTGAGTTGGGAGTCAAGAATATCAATAACAACACATGCCATGTATATTGGAAAATAATATGTAAAAGTATAGTCGGTAGTTACCTGTGTCGGTTGCTGATGAAGTAGTTGTGCTCATGCCTTGAGTAGGTAAAAGAAAAATAGCTTTACAATCAAAGTTTTAAAAACATTTGTTTAGATGACTCATTAAGAGGCTTTATCAAAAACAAATGCACAATAACATTTCATTTAAATGCAAACAAGATGAATTTTATAACATTATTCAGCTAAAAAATTAACTTGATACTCAATGATATATATTCTCACTTTTAAGAGGTAGGTTCACTTTTGTGACAATTGGCTACCTAGATTATTGGTGGCTTGACAAGTGTAATCACCAACATTTTTGTGGAGACTTCATTTATTATTTGAGTTGGAGTCAAGAATATCAATAACAACACATGCCATGTATATTGGAAAATAATATCGTAAAAGTATAGTCGGTAGTTACCTGTGTCGGTTGCTGATGAAGTAGTTGTGCTCATGCCTTGAGTAGGTAAAAGAAAATAGCTTTACAATCAAAGTTTTAAAAACATTTGTTTAGATGACTCATTAAGAGGCTTTATCAAAAAACAAATGCACAATAACATTTCATTTAAATGCAAACAAGATGAATTTTATAACATTATTCAGCTAAAAAATTTAACTCGATACTCAATGATATATATTGTCACTTTTAAGAGGTAGGTTCACTTTTTGTGACAATTGGCTACCTAGATTATTGGTGGCTTGACAAGTGTAATCACCAACATTTTTTGTGGAGACTTCATTTATTATTTGAGTTGGGAGTCAAGAATATCAATACCAACACATGCCATGTATATTGGAAAATAATATGCGTAAAAGTATAGTCGGTAGTTAACTGTGTCGGTTGCTGATGGAGTAGTTGTGCTCATGCCTTGAGTAGGTATAAAGAAAAATAGCTTTACAATCAAAGTTTTAAAAAACATTTGTTTAGATGATTCATTAAGAGGCTTTATCAAAAAACAAATGCACAATAACATTTCATTTAAATGCAAACAAGATGAATTTCATAACATTATTCAGCTAAAAAATTTAACTTGATACGCAATGATACATATTCTCACCTTTAAAAGGAAGGTTAACTTTTTGTGACAATTGGCTACCTAGATTATTGGTTGCTTGACAAGTGTAATCACCAACATCTTTTGTGGAGACTTCATTTATGACAAGTGTCGATCCATTGACAACACTTAAGCCATTGAGAAATATTTCAAATTGTGGTCGAGGATTGCCTTCAGCAGTGCAGGTCAATGTTGCTTTATCACCTTCTCTTTGAAGAATCAACTGAACATTGACCGGTTTATCTATACAATAAAACAATATACAAGACTAAATTATTTTCAAACTTTTCAACAATTTACAGCATTTACATAAGCCTTTAAGTTTGATTGAAATTTGCTGACTAGCAAATTTTTTTTACAAGATCAAAAGTTAACTTACAGTTAACAATCAATTCAACTGTTTTTTCTGCTTTTGATTTCTCATGACCCATAGCTTCACATCTGTACTGGCCATTGTCAAAGCGATTTGCCTGCTCAATTTTTAATATTGCCATTTCTGTCCCTGATGTAAGGACTCGAGTACCTTTATACCATGTGACAGCATTAACAGGTGGATTTCCATTTTTTGCATTACATTGGCAAGAAAAAGATGCATTTGCATTAAGAGTTGTTGTATCGGAACAGTTGACATCAATTGTTGGTGGAACTGAAAGAAAAATAATTCACTGATCAGATAAAATGTAAGAATATTTTGAAAAATGAAGAAATTTTTCAAAAACAGAGGCAAAAATAAAAATCTTGAACTGAGTAGAGTCAGCAACAAAATGACATCATCATTGTAATGGTTATATTTTTATGACGAAGAAAAAAATGACTTTAGTTGAAATTTTGGTTGCCATGAAATAAGGGTTGTCATTTCTATACTGCTGTTTAAAAAATAATAGTTTTTACAAACCAGCAATTAAGACATCAACTGTTGATGTTTCAGAGCCTGATGTACTTGAAAACACAACTAAGGAATATGTTCCATTGTATGTTTCATTTACATTCCTCAATACCAAAGTGAAGGGTTCTATTATTCTAAAGTCTATGTTGAGCTCTTGAAATGTTTTTAATCCACCAGAATCTATTGTTGCCAGTTCTTTTCTGCCATCGACACCAACAAAAGACCAACTCTTAAAATTAAACTCAGGCACCACACCATTATACCTCCATGTTATTGATTTAGTTTCACCAGAGTTAAGAACAATTACCGAACCATCTGAAGGAGGTTGAAGTTGAGCTGCAGTAAAACAAAACCATGAAAGCATCTACATGACTAGTTAACCAATTAAAGGCATTCAATCTTACCATCACTGAAAGAAAACCAAAAGACTGCAAAATATATCAGAAAGAAACAGCTGGAGCAAGACATGACTGACTGTCAAAATAAGATGGGAAAGTTGACTTAAACGGGCTTTATATTCCAAGTATAATACATTTTATATAATACACGCCACATCTATAGTCGCCATAGTTAAGGCGACGTCTCGAATCGAAAGTTTATCAACAAAAGTTTATCTAAAGAATATAGCTCAACAACACAACAAACTTACTTTAAATATGAACTACCCCAAAATATGGAAGACGTATGTTCGCAGCAGCGTGATAAAAACTAAGTATTTAATGATAGCTTTTACTTCCGTTTACATCAAGGGAGAGGCCGTCTTTCTTCTTATGAATTCCTAACCACGCAACAAGACTAAGAGATTACATTTCGTACATCAACTATGCAAAAAGGCGGACGAACGGCTGGCATATTAATAATTCATCATCTTCCATACATAGTATAGCTCGAAGCTGGTGTTTGTAATCTTATTCATAACAGTATTGAAAAAAGTAATGAGAATGTTAAGTGTGATGTCTTCAGCATTATCAACAGTTTTCAGTAATATGCACCAAACAAATAAAACAGCTAATAAATAAATTAATATAAATTTTAAAGGCCATTGTTCATATTTAGTTTATAAATTAAAGACATATTTGACGAACCAAAGGACTTATTCTAACTCAGATTTCATGAGATTGTGTGATTGACAGAGTTCAAGAACGTTGTTTTATGGTCAGCAGGATTTGCTCTGGTTTCATAATTACAAATTGTAACTTCATGTCTGTGAGCCTAAAAGAACAAAACAAAAACGTTCGTCATTGTTTGTGTATATAGAGGATCAATATAATGATTAATTGGCATATATTGTAATTTACCTCTTGAAATTCACCCTTTAGACCAATATATGTAACTATGGTTGTTTCTGCACCATAATTTAAGGGGAAATACATTGATAAACATTGAACACTTGAAAATCTTGGCACTCTGTACATCAATTACAGTGTTACATTTAAACCTTCAATAGTTGGTCAAAAAAGTGGTTAAATTGGCTAAATTCACAAAGATTTAAACATGCTAAAATCTAGTAGTAGAACTGACTTTGTATAAAACAAATTCCGAAGAAGCAAGACATCTTGAGATTGCAAAATATGCATCAAAACAAGATGAGAAGTGAACTGTAAATTTTCGACTTTATTTCAAAGCCATCCTTTCTGTCTTGTGCTAATAAGATCATTGTATGAAATTTTATTAAACGTAATGTCAGTTTGAATGACTTATGATTAAACGTAAGTTAAATTTATATAAACGTAATGTCAGTTTGAATGACTTATGATTAAAGGACTGTAAAATTACAGTATACAGTTTTAAATGAAGTTCTTTGTTTTGCTCTTACGATCTCCTAAAGAAGATTTAATTTACTCGCGACCGCACTCTCCCTTACACTCAAGAAGGTATCGGGAAGCATGGACCGAAAACAGGGTTTTTTTGCTTTTAAATTTTCTCTTTTTGTTTACACGCAAACCATCCAAGGGCTTGAAAAGAAAATGAGTAAAAACAAGAGGGAAGGTGAAATAGTTCGTCATGTTTATCGAATGAAAAAAACAATTTAAATATTTCACAAAATTTTTTTATGTTAACATTAACTCAACAAAACTTGTGTCTTTGGATTTCTTGCGTATTCAAAACTGTTTTTTTTGGTCGGATGTGCATGATTTTTAAAATCAATTAAAATGAAAATTTGAAAAGTTTCAAATCATGGTTTATTCAAGGATTGGTAATTGTTTTCGGGATCTCTGACTTTATTCAGCTCCTGATATTGATTATCGTCATCATTATTCTTCCTCAACGATTCATATTTATCTCCGTCGTCTCTTTTTGATAGATCTAGTTCTTCATAAGTTGTATTCACTGTATTTGTCCTTCCATCATGTGACTGAGACATTTGACTTTTCTTAACTAACCATCGTCGACCATAACATAAAAATATCAAACAACAAAACAAAATCCCAAAAATAATTCCAGATATAAAAGAGATGGAGGTAACAAGCCAGTCCGTTTTACAATCAACAATGCTTGTGGTTGAGATTTTCATATCTAAAAAGAAAGCCAAAATATTCTTAGAAAACCATTTCGTCTGACAATTTAAGCCACAAGATAATTATAAAAATAATCTCAATACATAAAGTTATCTTTAAATGTCTGCACGTGTACGTCATGTGATATAGCACTGCCTAAAATGTTTGTCGCTTTCGCACAATCTGCGCGAAGTGCTGGTTCACTGCTCTCGAAACTTCACTCGAACGATGGGACTGTATTTTGACAATTGTATTTAACACTTGATAGGATATTTACAGTGGTTTGTGCACGATTTATGATACGGAGTTCCAAACGTTGGTTCTTTGCGACACAAATATGTTATTGAAACGTTGAGATTACGGCCAACCGTCAATCTTTAAACTTGAAACTTATTCAAACGCTATCGCCTCCTGCAATACGATTTCCAACTTATCACTTTTGTACGTCTAACAACGTCTGTTTTTCCGAATGCCGAACCAACGCTTGCAAGCTCTTATTTATATTATAATTATTAGGATATGATTTTTGGGCGTTTGCATGACTTGCAACACGCCATTCCGTTTATAGAGTACCGTCATTACCTACATCCTACCGCAATGCCACATTGGGTAGAAAAGGTGTTCCTAAATATTTTAAATTTACGTACAGGATTTCCACTGAAACCACAGTTTAATAACTATATGCGTATTTTCCTATTTGTCTAGTAATATATGACTTAACATTTTACATAAACATAATATCCGTTATATCTTAGTATCAAAAATATGACACAGTCACACTCTACATAACATAACATGACAATTTACAACAGTCGCTTTACAAGTATAATTTCCAAAATCACAAGATTTAACGATGTCAAATGTGTAGGTGGGGCCTTTATAGACAAGTTTAGAGCGCTTTGAAAATATTTCAAAGTTTGGTTGTGGACGGCCTTCAGCAGTGCAGATTAACGTTGCTTTATGACCTCTTTGGAGAGTCAACCTAATGTTGGCAGGTCTATCTAAAATAAAATTGTAACAATTATGTTTCATATTTTTTATAATCATAAGCAATGACTGTCATATTACTGTATTATACAATTTCGTACTTACAGTTAATAATCCACTCGAGACTTTTTTCATCTTCAGCTTTCTCGTGACTCTTTACTTCACATCGATACAGTCCTTTGTCAGATTGATCAACCTGAGGAATAGTTAATGTAGCCATTTCTTTCCCTCAAGCAAGCACTTGACTACCTTTATACCATGTGACATTAACAGGTGTATTAAAATTCTCTCCTTTACATTTACATGAGAGCGATTAATTTGAATTGAGATTTGTTGAATTAGAACAGTTGATAGATATTTTTCGAAAAACTGTGACAAAAATGAAAAGAGTGTTTCACACAAAGAAACAGATATCCATTCATGTAGGGACAGATCCCTCACTCAAACCTTCGATGAATACATGTACGGATAAAGTCAAATAAATATCCGACCCATTAATCAAAAACATTACTCAGCTAAAAAATTTAACTTGATACTCGATGATATATATACTTACCTTTAAGAGGTAGGTTCACTTTTTGTGACAATTGGCTACCAAGAATATTGGTTGCTTGACAAGTGTAATCACCAACATTTTTTGTGGAGACTTCATTTATTATTTGAGTTGGGAGTCAAGAGTATCAATACCAACACATGCCATGTATATTGGAAAATAATATGCGTAAAAGTATAATCGGTAGTTACCTGTGTCAGTTGTTGATGGAGTAGTTGTGCTCATGCCTTGAGTAGGTAAAAAGAAAAATAGCTTTATAATCAAACCTTTAAAAAACATTTGTTTAGATGACTCATTAAGACGCTTTGTCAAAAACCAAATGCACAATAACATTTCATTTAAATGCAAACAAGATGAATTAAATTATAACATTATTCAGCTAAAAAATTTAACTTGATACTCAATGATATATATTCTCACCTTTAAGAGGTAGGTTCACTTTTTGTGACAATTGGCTACCTAGAATATTGGTTGCTCGACAAGTGTAATCACCAACATTTTTCGTGGAGACTTCATTTATGACAAGTGTTGATCCATTCAAAACACTTAATGAACCATTAACAAATATTTCATATCTTGGTGGTGGATTGCCTCCAGCAGTGCAGGTCAATGTTGCTTTATCACCTTCTCTCTGGAGAGTCAACCGAACATTGACAGGTTTATCTATACAATAAAACAATATACAAGACTAAATTATTTTCAAACTTTTCAACTCTTCACAGCATTTACATAAGCCTTTAAGTTTGATGGAAATTTGCTGACTAGCAAATTTTTTTTACAAGATCAAAAGTTAACTTACAGTTCACAATCAATTCAATTGTTTTTTCTGCTTTTGATTTCTCATGACCCATTGCTTCGCATCTGTACTGGTCATTGTCAAAGCGATTTGCTTGCTCAATTTTTAATATTGCCATTTCTGTCCCTGAGGAAAGGACTCGAGGATCTTTATACCACTTGACATCATTAACAGGTGGATTTCCATTTTTTGCTTCACATTGGCAAGAAAAAGATGCACTTGCATTAAGAGTTGTTGTATCGGAACAGTTGACATCAATTGTTGGTGGAACTGAAAGAAAAATGATTCACTGATAAGATAAATGTCAAAATATTTGAAAAATGAAGAAATTTTTCAAAAACAGAGGCAAAAATAAAAATCTTGAACTGAGTAGAGTCAGCAACAAAATGACATCATCATTGTAATGGTTATATTTTTATGACGAAGAAAATAATTTTGGTTTCCATGAAATAAGGGTTGTCATTTCTATACTTCTGTTTAAAAAATAATAGTTTTTACAAACCAGCAATAAAGACATCAATTTTTGATGTTTCAGAGACTGATGTAGTTGAAACCACAAGTAAGGAATACGTTCCATTGTATGTTTCATTTATATTCCTCAATACCAAAGTGAAGGGTTCTATTATTCTAAAGTCTATGTTGAGCTCTTGAAATGTTTGTAATCCACCAGAATCTATTCTTGCCAGACGTTTTGTGCCATCAACATCAATGAAAGACCAACTCTTTACTATAAAATCAGGCACCACACCATTATACCTCCATGTTATTGATTTAGTTTCACCAGAGTTAAGAACAATTACCAAACCATCTGAAGGAGGTTGAAGTTGAGCTGCAGTAAAACAAAATTGGGGAAATATCTACATGACTAGTTAACCAATTGAAGACATTCAATCTTACCACCACTGAAAGCAAACCAAAAGACTGCAAAATATATCAGAAACAAACAGCTGGAGCAAGACATGACTGACTGTCAAAATAAGATGGTCGTCATTTTATATAATACACGCCACATCCATGGTCGCCAACGTTAAGGCGACATCTTGAATCGAAAGTTTGTCAACACAAGTTTATCTAAAGAATATAGCTCAACAGCACAACAAACTTACTTTAAATATGGACTAGCCCAAAATATGGAAGACGTATGTTCACAACAGCGTGATAAAAACTAAGTATTTAATGGTAGCTTTTACTTCCGTATACATAAAGGGAGAGGTCGTTCTTCTTATGAATTCCTAACCATGCAACATTACAAAGAGATGACATTTCGTACATCAACTATGCAAAAAGGCGGACGAACGGCTGGCATATTAATAATTCATCATCTTCCATACATAGTATAGCCCCAAGATGGTGTTTGTAATCTTATTCATAACAGTATTGAAAAGAGTAATGTGAATGTTAAGTGCGATGTCTTCAGCATTATCAACAGTTTTCAATGATATGCACCAACAAAACAGCAAATAAATAAATTAATATAAATTTTAAAGGCCATTGTTCATATTCTAACTTATTCCAAGGACTTATTCTAACTCAAGTTTCATGAGATTGTGTGATTGACGGAGTTCAAGAACGTTGTTTTATGGTCAGCAGGATTTGCTCTGGCTTCATAATTACAAATTGTAACTTCATGTCTGTGAGCCTAAAAGAACAAAACAAAAACTTTTGTCATAGTTTGTGTATATAGAGGATCAATATAATGATTAATTGGCATATATTGAAATTTACCTCTTGAAATTCACCTTTTAGACCAATATATGTAACTATGGTTGTTTCTGCACCATAATTTAAGGGGAAATACATTGACAAACATTGAATACTTGAAAATCTTGGCACTCTATACATCAATTACAGTGTTACACTTTAAACCCTTCAATTACTTGGTCAAAAAAAGTGGTTAAAGTGGCTAAATTCACAAAGATTTTAACATGCTAAAATCTAGTAGTTGAACTAACTTTGTATAAAACAAATTCCGAAGAAGCAAGACATCTTGAGATTGCAAAATGTGCATCAAAACAAGACGAGAAGTGAACTGTAAATTTTCGACTTTATTTCAAAGCCATCCTCTCTGTCTTGTGCTTATAAGATCATTGTATGAGGTTTTATAGGTTGAACAAATTCTTCCCATTGACGAGCGTGGAACATATGCTGCATCTTTAGTATCTCCTACCACCAACATTACGTCATTACCTTGCGTCATCACTGGTATGTTTAGTTACTATTGTTTAGTATAGACAACGTCATTCACCTTAATATATGGAGGATATCTGGGGAAGACGGGCGTTCACGTGGAATATTATCTACAATCGTAACTATTGAGGGAATCAACTTTTAATCTTTTAACATTCAACTTTGAGTATCTTTCTTTGAGGAGGACATCTGGGGAACAAGGCCGTTCACGAGGGATATTGTGCTACACAATTGTACCAATTAAGGAAATCAACTTTAAACGTTTACCTATGAGTATATTTCCATGAGAGGGACATCTGGGGAAGAAGGGTGTTCACAGGGGATCTTGTGGGACGATTGAGAAAAACTACTTTTTAAGTCTAACTTTGAGTATCTTTCCTTCACAAGGTTATCCTGTTCTATGAAATAAATTAGAGTTCAAACGACCAGACAGGGCAGCTAACAAAGACTCCTGGAATAAGTTTGTTATGGCTACAAAGGTACATGTATTTTTATACATTTCATACGGTATAACTTTATCAACTTTAATCTTTAATGTACAATCATTCCATATATATCTCAGGTATCGCACAATCCTGAGTGCCAAGATGTGTTGCGCTTTCTCGGTCAGTACTGTGGTGTACCACAAAATCTTTCTTTCTCATTTTGATGAAAATTGTATTGTTTGCTGTGAAAATTCCCTCGTGATCTCGGAGTGGATTATTTATTTGTATAAAGTACAAAAACATCACTTATCTAGTTCGTATATATGACTTCTGATAATAGCATTGTCGATATCATAAAATTTTTAAATTGCGTCCTTGAGTGGATAATCATTAGATGACTGGAAAGGAAAACTTATCCAGTGATCTACCTTAGTTAAACTTATATACAAACGTAATGTCAGTTTGAATGACATGTGATTATAAGACTGTAAAATTACAGTATATAGTTTTAAATGAAGTTCTTTGTTTTGTTCTTAAGATCTCCTAAAGAAGATTTAATTTACTCGCGACCGCACTCTCCCTGCGTACCCCGAGCAAAGCCTATCGCAGCTTATGATTATAAAAAATATGTTTCATATTTTTTATAATCATAAGCAATGACTGTCATATTACTGTATTATACAATTTCGTACTTACAGTTGATAATCAACTCAACACTTTTTTCATCTTCAGCTTTCTCGTGACTCTTTACTTCACATCGATACAGTCCTTTGTCAGATCGATCAACCTGAGGAATAGTTAATGTAGCCATTTCTTTCCCTGAAGCAAGCACTTGACTACCTTTATACCATGTGACATTAACAGGTGTATTAAAATTCTCTCCTTTACATTTACACAAGAACGATTCATTTGAATTGAGAATTGTTGAATTAGAACAGTTGATAGACATTTTTCGAAAAACTGTGACAAAAATGAAAAAACTGTTTCACACAAAGAAACAAATATCCATTCATGTACAGACAGATCCCTCACTCAAATCTTTGATGAATACAAACAACAAACAAACAAACAACATTTGTATACCGGCCAGTATTAATCCCCGCCAGGGGGGTTGACCGGTCCATGAATTTTTCCACGCCAAACGTCTCTATCTCTCGCCATATCTCTCGTTATACCCATCGCCTTCATATCACTGTTCACAGCATCCATCCATCTCTTTCTCGGTCTACCTCGTTTGCGGACTCCATCAACATTCATATACAACGTTCTACGAATTTCAGCACTTTCTTCCCTCCTTTCCACATGCCCAAACCACCTCAAACGCTGGCGCCTTACCCAATTCTCGATACACTCAACACCAACTCTTTCTCTAATCTCTTCACTTCGAATCCTATCCATCAACGTTACACCACACATCATCCTAAGCATTCTCCTTTCCGTCGACGCCAATCTTCTCAGGTCCTCTGCTTTCGGCGCCCAACACTCTGCTCCATATCCCAAAATACTTCTAACACATGCCTTATACAACCTTCTGCTTCATCGACTTTCCATTCCACTGCCCTCCATTTCGCATCCACCATCCCATGAATATTACACCTTCCAAACTCACGTCACCCAGTTCCTTTTCCACTCCACTTGTCGCACTTCACACCCGGACACCTGAACATTTCCATTACTGCATTTCCACCATCGATTCATCCAACTCTTTTCACACACCACATCCATCCACTTCACCTCCAGCATCTCATGCCCTTCGTCTTTGCCTCATTCACTTTCAGTCCCTTGACTTCTATTGCCGTTTCCCATTCTCGGTACCATTCCATGACTTTCTGCTTCGACTCCGCCACCAAGACAATGTCATCTGCATACAACAAACACCAGCATCCTTTTCTTCTCACTTCCTCTGTCAGTACATCCATCACACAAGCAAACAGTAACGGCGACAAGACTGAACCTTGATGAACACCAACTTTTACCTCAAAAACACCAGATATAACACCTTCCTCCGTAACCACCGCCTCTACACCTTCATAAGTCTCCATAACTGCCCGAACCATATTCTCTGTCACACCTTTCTTACGCAGCGCGTACTCGATCACCTTTCTCGGAACTCTATCAAACGCCTTCTCCAAATCTACAAACACCATATACAATTCTCTGTCCTTCTCCAAAAATTTCTCCTGCAGCTGCCTCAACACAAAACACGCATCCGTCGTTCCTCTCCCCGGTATGAATCCATACTGCTCTTCCCCCATCCGAACAACTTCCCTCAACCTTCTTTCAAACACTCTCTCTACTATCTTCAACGCATGCTCCATCAGCTTAATAGTCCTGTAATTCCCACATACCGTCGCTGCTCCTTTTCCTTTGTACAGCGGGACCACTAGACTCTTTCTCCATGTGCTCGGCATCTTTGAGCCCCTCAAAACCTCGTTCGCTACATTACACAACTCTCACGCATAGTTCATTGTCCAACATTTCGCTACCCACTTCACTCGGTCCGTCGCCTTTCCTTTCTTCATCTTGCGCAGAGCCGCCGCCACCTCATCAACAGTCACTATTTCCCACGGCCCCAAAACTTCATCCGCTTCCTTCTCCATTCCACTCATTCTCTACATTCATCAAACGGTCACAGTACGCCCTCCACACTTGTAACCTGTCTTCCAATAACACCTTCAACTCCCCATCGTAGTTCTGCACGCCGAGCACCAAAATATCGTTCCTCTCCTTCTGCTCCTTCTAACAGTTCTAAACAACGCTTTTCGTCCATTCTCCTGCATTTTTACGAGAAGCTCTTTCTGATGCCTTTCTATCGCTTTAGCCACCTCCTTTCGCGCCTTTTTCTTGAATCGGATGTAATCGATTCTATCTGCTTCAGTCCGCGACTTTCTCCACCTTTTAAATGCCAACTTCTTCGCGCCAATCACTTCGCTGACTCGTTGATCCCACCACCATGCCTGTTCTTCTACTACCCGCCTTCTCCACTACCTTTATCCTTTCCCTCCAGCACGTCCATCCTTCCTCTCACATTCAATGTCAATTTCGTCACGGAAACACTGCTTCCCTTCATTCCTTCCAGCTTTGCCTTTCTCAACCTTTCTTCCACCTTCCTGATTCTCCAGTCCATGACCAGCAGCTTCTCCTCTTCTCTTTCCACCATCATCCTTCCTTCTTCTTCATTCCATCCACCACCGTCCTACTGTCACCAGATTCATACGTCAAGCTTGCTTTCTTCCTTTATAAACCACGTATTCACTACCACCATCCCACAACTCGCTGCTAACTCCATCGCCTCGCCTTCAGCATTCATATCACCAACTCCAAAACCTCCATGCGCACAGTATCCTCTTCTTCCACCGTTCCAATCACCAGCACATCGCCCTCTAATGTCTCCTCTGACCTGTCCAGAACTTTCCTCACAACTTCCCAATAACTACATCAACTCAGGACTCTGTCCGAAACTCTCTTCACTGCTACAACCGACTTCACCCAATCCTCTCTTATCGCAAAGCCAACACCATTCGTGCCACTTCCGTTTCCTTCCAAAACCACTTAAATCTCGCTCCATTATCTTCACCCTTTATGACTCTCGTACCTTCACCTTTAAACCTTACCTCCTGAAACCCACACACATCAACTTTCCTTCTCTTCAACATGTCCGCCACTTCTGCACTCCTTCCTTCATTGTCCCAACGTTCACTGTGCCTACCCGAAGGGTGACACTTCCACCAACATTCGATCCGGAGATTCTTCGCACCCCCTGCCCACTGAAGGGCTGCCGGGGACTGGGGGCCATATCTTCTTTTCCAAAGTTCATGAATTTTGTTGGAGCAAAGGTTTTACGGTAGGATGCCCTTCCTTACACCAACCCCTTTTAGTCGTCTTTTACGACACGCAGAGGATACGTTGGCGCAATTCTAAGCCGGCAACCACACGGCAATGTGGTTGATGAATACATGTACGGATAAAGTCAAATAAATGCCCAACTCATTAATGAAAAACATTACTCAGCAAAAAATTTAACTTGATACTCGATGATATATATTCTCACCTTTAAGAAGTAGGTTCACTTTTTGTGACAATTGGCTACCTAGAATATTGGTTGCTCGACAAGTGTAATCACCAACATTTTTTGTGGAGACATTTTTTATGACAAGTGTTGATCCATTCATAACACTTAATGAACCATTAACAAATATTTCATATCTTGGTGGGGGATTGCCTTCAGCAGTGCAGGTCAATGTTGCTTTATCACCTTCTCTCTGGAGAGTCAACTGAACATTGACCGGTTTATCTATACAATAAAACAATATACAAGACTAAATTATTTTCAAACTTTTCAACTATTTACAGCATTTACATAAGCCTTTAAGTTTGATGAAAATTTGCTGACTAGCAAATTTTTTTTACAAGATCAAAAGTTAACTTACAGTTAACAATCAATTCAATTGTTTTTTCTGCTTTTGATTTCTCATGACCCATTGCTTCACATCTGTACTGGCCATTGTCAAAGCGATTTGCTCGCTCAATTTTTAATATTGCCATTTCTGTCCCTGAGGAAAGGACTTGAGTACCTTTATACCATTTGACATCATTAACAGGTGGATTTCCATTTTTTGCATTACATTGGCAAGAAAAAGATGCACTTGCATTAAGAGTTGTTGTATCGGAACAGTTGACATCAATTGTTGGTGGAGCTGAAAGAAAAATGATTTGCTAAGAAGATAAAATGTAAGAATATTTTGAAAAATGAAGAAATTTTTCAAAAACAGAGGCAAAAATAAAAAGCTTGAACTGAGTAAAGTCAGCAACAAAATGAAATCATCATCACAACAAACAAACAAACAACATTTGTATACCGGCCAGTATTAATCCCCGCCAGGGGGGTTGACCGGTCCATGAATTTTTCCACGCCAAACGTCTCTATCACTCGCCATATCTCTCGTTATACCCATCGCCTTCATATCACTGTTCACAGCATCCATCCATCTCTTTCTCGGTCTACCTCGTTTGCGGACTCCATCAACATTCATATACAACGTTCTACGAATTTCAGCACTTTCTTCCCTCCTTTCCACATGCCCAAACCACCTCAAACGCTGGCGCCTTACCCAATTCTCGATACACTCAACACCAACTCTTTCTCTAATCTCTTCACTTCGAATCCTATCCATCAACGTTACACCACACATCATCTTAAGCATTCTCCTTTCCGTCGACGCCAATCTTCTCAGGTCCTCTGCTTTCGGCGCCCAACACTCTGCTCCATATCCCAAAATACTTCTAACACATGCCTTATACAATTCTCCCTTCTGCTTCAACGAAATCGACTTTCCGCACAACATTCCCGACAACTCTCTAAAACTCCACCACGCTGCTTGAACTCTGTTCCTCACCGCTTGCTCGCACCCTCCACCATCATTTAACACATCGCCCAGATATTTAAACTCCGATCCAAAGTTCATGAATTTTGTTGGAGCAAAAGTTTTACGGTAGGATGCCCTTCCTCACACCAACCCCTTTTAGTCGTCTTTTACGACACGCAGAGGATACGTTGGCGCAATTCTAAGCCGGCAACCACACGGCAAAAAATGACATCATCATCGTAATGGTTATATTTTTATGACGAAGAAAATAATGACTTTAGTTGAAATTTTGGTTGCCATGAAATAAGGGTTGTCATTTCTATACTTCTGTTTAAAAAATAATAGTTTTTACAAACCAGCAATAAAGACATCAACTGTTGATGTTTCAGAGCCTGATGTAATTGAAAACACAACTAAGGAATATGTTCCATTGTATGTTTCATTTACATTCCTCAATACCAAAGTGAAGGGTTCTATTATTCTAAAGTCTATGTTGAGCTCTTGAAATTTTTGTAATCCACCAGAATCTATTTTTGCCAGAAATTTTCTGCCATCGACACCACTGAAATACCAAGTCTTAAAATTAAACTTAGGCACCACACCATTATACCTCCATGTTATTGATTTAGTTTCACCAGAGTTAAGAACAATTACCGAACCATCTGAAGGAGGTTGAAGTTGAGCTGCAGTAAAACAAAATCATGAAAGTATCTACATGACTAGTTAACCAATTGAAGACATTCAATCTTACCATCACTGAAAGCCAACCAAAAGACAGCAAAATATTTCAGGAAGAAACAGCTGGAGCAAGACATGATTGTCTGTCAAAATAAGATGGGAAAGTTGACTAAAAAAGTCATTCCAACAAATAAAGTATACTGGAAAACTTTGATAAACCATTATACAATTGAATGTTTTGTGCAGTGCGATGTTTGAAATTAAATGAGATATGATCTTCGCACTTTGCTGGACAATTTAAGCAATCGTCTCAGGACTTGAAAAAATCAGGTGACTCAACGGGATTTTTTCAGGTCCTGAGACGATTGCTTAAATTGTCCAGCAAAGTGCGAAGATCATATCTCATTTAGCATTATACAATTGTTATGTATGGGTGTGCTATTGTAGTCGCTCTCTTCTCTGAATAAAACAAACACTAATAATTTCGTATTTTTCTACCAAAAGATTGCGTTTATTCTACAAAACTTTGATCAACGATACTTTGAGAAGTCATCTTCTTCGACGTATAATTATCTCAAGAAAAAAATTGCTGTTTGAGAGCAATAGACAATAAAATTCTCAGCTGAGTTCAGGAACAAAAAATTATTGGTGGAAGTCGTCATAATTTCATGACTTAACAAGCAGATACAAAAAGAAAGTGAAGCTTACTTTGATATGAAGCTGGCGTAACGAACACACAAAATGTCCCCAAAATGTTCACGATATATTCCAACGACGTACGTAAGCTTATACGAATTTTATGATATTAGTATCTTAGTTATACTTCCGTTTACATGGAGGGTGTTGCTGTGCTGGCGTAATTATGAATTCCTCGAGCCACGCATGGAACATCGCAAAAAGATCGTATTTCCTTATAAACAATGCAAAAATGCAGGTTGTATAACAACGGCTGGCATATAAATAATTGATCACCTTTCCATAAATAGCCCACAGCTGGTGTATTGTAATCTCATTCATAACAGTCTTGTTGACGGGAGAAATATGATATTTAGGTGTGATGCCTGGATACAATCAAAGAATAGATACATATCTATTCTGTGATACAATTATACCAACTAATTTTATTGACATGCACTAAATCAAATAACAAACAGTGAAATTATACAGTTAAATAAACATCAGTAGTTATTTTTCACATTTACAGTATAAATTAGAGACATATTTCATGAACTTGCTGTAAATCAGATTTCATGAGATTGTGTGATTGACAGAGTTCAAGAACGTTGTTTAATGATCAGCAGGATTTGCTCAGGTTTCATAATTACAAATTGTAACTTCATGTCTGTGAGCCTAAAGAACAAAACATTGACAAACATTGAATACTTCAAAAATCTTGGCACTCTATACATAAATTACAGTGTTACATTTAAACCTTCAATAGTTGGTCAAAAAAAAGTGGTTAAAGTTGCTAAATTCACAAAGATTTTAACATGCTAAAATCTAGTAGTAGAACTGACTTTGTATAAAACAAATTCCGAAGAAGCAAGACATCTTGAGATTGCAAAATATGCATGAAAACAAGACGAGAAGTGAACTCTAAATTTTCGACTTCATTGCAAAGCCATCCTTTCTGTCTTGTGCTAATAAATATCATTGTATGAAATTTTACAGATTGAACAAATTCTTCCCATTGATGAGCGTGGAACATATGCTGCATCTTTAGTATCTCCTACCACCAACATTACGTCATTACCTTGCGTCATCACTGGTATTTTTAATTACTATTGTTTAGTATAGACAACGTCATTCACCTTAATATATGGAGGATATCTGGGGAAGACGGGCGTTCACGTGGAATATTATCTACAATCGTAACTATTGAGGAAATCAACTTTAAACTTTTAACATTCAACTTTGAGTATCTTTCTTTGAGGAGGACATCTGGGGAACAAGGCCGTTCACGAGGGATATTGTGCTACACAATTGTACCAATTAAGGAAATCAACTTTAAACGTTTACCTATGAGTATATATTCCGTGAGAGGGACATCTGGGGAAGAAGGGTGCTCACAGGGGATCTTGTGGGACGATTGAGAAAAACTACTTTTTAAGTCTAACTTTGAGTATCTTTCCTTCACAAGGTTATCCTGTTCTATGAAATAAATTAGAGTTCAAACGACCAGACAGGGCAGCTAACAAAGACTCCTGGAATAAGTTTTTTATGGCTACAAAGGTACATGTATTTTTATACATTTCATACGGTATAACTTTATCAACTTTAATGTTTAAACTACAATCATTCCATATGTATCTCAGGTATCGCACAATCCTGAGTGCCAAGATGTGTTGCGCTTTCTCGGTCAGTACTGTGGTGTACCACAAAATCTTTCTTTCTCATTTGGATAAAAATTGTATTGTTTGCTGTGAAAATTCCCTCGTGATCTCAGAGTGGATTATTTATTTGTATAAAGTACAAAAACATCACTTATCTAGTTCGTATATATGACTTCTGATAATGGCATTGTCGATATCATAAAATTTTTAAATTACGTCCTTGAGTGGATAATCACTTAGATGACTGGAAAGGAAAACTTATCCAGTGATCTACCTTAGTCAAACTTAAATAAACGTAATGTCAGTTTGAATAACTTATGATTAAAGGACTGTAAAATTTGCTCGTACCCCGAGCAAAGCCTATCGCAGGTGATCTCGGGGTCTGATGGGCGGAAGCTTGCTATTGCATCTCCCAAGTAGGATAGCATAGAGGGGCCGAAATCTCCTACCGAAACATTAACATGCGGCGTTCTAGTGCCTTACATATCAGAAGGTATCGGGAAGCATGGCCCGAAAACGGGTTTTTTTTGCTTTTGAATTTTATCTTTTTGTTTACACGCAAACCATCTAAGGGCTTGAAAACAAAATGAGTAAAAACAAGAGGGAAGGTGAAATAGTTGGTCGTGTTTATCGAATGAAAAAACAATTTAAAGTATTTCACAAATTTTTTTTATATCGACATTAACTCATCAAAACTTGTTTGTCTGGATTTTTGCGTATTTAAAACTGTTTTTTTGGTCGGATGTGCATGGTTTTTAAAATCAATTAAAATGAAAATTTGAAAAGTTTCAAATCATGGTTTATTCAAGGATTGGTAATTGTTTTCGGGATCTCTGACTTTATTCAGCTCCTGATATTGATTATCGTCATCATTATTCTTCCTCAACGATTCATATTTATCTCGGTCGTCTCTTTTTGATAGATCTAGTTCTTCATAAGTTGTATTCACTGTATTTGTCCTTGCATCATGTGACTGAGACATTTGACTTTTCTTAACTAACCATCGTCGACCATAACATAAAAATATCAAACAGCAAAACAAAATCCCAAAAATAATTCCAGATATAACAGAGATGGAGGTAACAAGCCAGTCCGTTTTACAATCAACAATGCTTGTGGTTGAGATTTTCATATCTAAAAGGAAAGCCAAAATATTCTTAGAAAACCATTTCGTCTGACAATTTAAACCACGAGATAATTATAAAAATAACTTCAATACATAAAGTTATCTTTAATTGTCTGCACGTGTATGTCATGTGATATGGCACTGCCTAAAATGTTTGTCGCTTTACAAGTATAATTTCCAAAATCACAAGATTTAACGATGTCAAATGTGTAGGTGGATCCTTTATAGACAAGTTTAGAGCGCTTTGAAAATATTTCAAAGTTTGGTTGTGGACGGCCTTCAGCAGTGCAGATTAACGTTGCTTTATGACCTTCTCTTTGGAGAGTCAAACTAATGTTGGAAGGTCTATCTAAAATAAAATTGTAACAATTATGTTTCATATTTTTTATAATCATAAGCAATGACTGTCATATTACTGTATTATACAATTTCGTACTTACAGTTGATAATCAACTCAACACTTTTTTCATCTTCAGCTTTCTCGTGACTCTTTACTTCACATCGATACAGTCCTTTGTCAGATCGATCAACCTGAGGAATAGTTAATGTAGCCATTTCTTTCCCTGAAGCAAGCACTCGACTACCTTTATACCATGTGACATTAACAGGTGTATTAAAATTCTCTCCTTTACATTTACACAAGAACAATTCATTTGAATTGAGAATTGTTGAATTGGAACAGTTGATAGATATTTTTCGAAAAAAACTGTGACAAAAATGAAAAAAGTGTTTCACACAAAGAAACAGATATCCATTCATGTACAGACAGATCCCTCACTCAAACCTTCAATGAATACATGTATGGATAAAGTCAAATAAATGTCCGACCCATTAATCAAAAACATTACTCAGCTAAAAAATTTAACTTGATACTCAATGATAATATTCTCACCTTTAAGAGGTAGGTTCACTTTTTGTGACAATTGGCTACCTAGATTATTGGTTGCTCTACAAGTGTAATCACCAACATTTTTTGTGGAGACTTCATTTATGACAAGTGTTGATCCATTCATAACACTTAATGAACCATTAACAAATATTTCATATCTTGGTGGTGGGTTGCCTTCAGCAGTGCAGGTCAATGTTGCTTTATCACCTTCTCTCTGGAGAGTCAACCGAACATTGACAGGTTTATCTATACAATAAAACAATATACAAGACTAAATTATTTTCAAACTTTTCAACTATTTACAGCATTTACATAAGCCTTTCAGTTTGATGGAAATTTGCTGACTAGCAAATTTTTACAAGATCAAAAGTTAACTTACAGTTAACAATCAATTCAATTGTTTTTTCTGCTTTTGATTTCTCATGACCCATTGCTTCACATCTGTACTGGCCATTGTCAAAGCGATTTGCTCTTTCAATTTTTAATATTGCCATTTCTGTCCCTGAGGAAAGGACTTGAGGATCTTTATACCATTTGACTTCATTAACAGGTGGATTTCCATTTTTTGCATTACATTGGCAAGAAAAAGATGCACTTGCATTAAGAGTTGTTGTATCGGAACAGTTGACATCAATTGTTGGTGGAACTGAAAGAAAAATGATTCACTGATAAGATAAAATGTAAGAATATTTTGAAAAATGAAGAAATTTTTCAAAAACAGAGGCAAAAATAAAAATCTTGAACTGAGTAGAGTCAGCAACAAAATGACATGAACATTGTAATGGTTATATTTTTATGATGAAGAAAATAATGACTTTAGTTGAAATTTTGGTTGCCATGAAATAAGGGTTGTCATTTCTATACATCTGTTTAAAAAATAATAGTTTTTACAAACCAGCAATAAAGACATCAACTGTTGATGTTTCAGCGACTGCTGTAATTGAAAACACATTTAAGGAATATGTTCCATTGTATGTTTCATTTACACTCCTCAATACCAAAGTGAAGGGTTCTATTATTCTAAAGTCTATGTTGAGCTCGTGAAATGTTTTTAATCCACCAGAATCCATTGTTGCCAGACCTTTTGTGCCATCAACATCAATGAAAGTCCAACTCTTAAAATCAAACTCAGGCACCACACCATTATACCTCCATGTTATTGATTTAGTTTCACCAGAGTTAAGAACAATTTCCGAACCATCTGAAGGAGGTTGAAGTTGAGCTGCAGTAAAACAAAATTATGAAAGTATCTACATGACTAGTTAACCAATTGAAGACATTCAATCTTACCATCACTGAAAGCCAACCAAAAGACAGCAAAATATTTCAGGAAGAAACAGCTGGAGCAAGACATGACTGTCTGTCAAAATAAGATGGGAAATTTGACTAAAACGCCCTTTATATTCCTAGTATAATACATTTTATATAATACACACCACATCCATGGTCGGCAACGTTAAGGCGAAGTCTTGAATCGAACGTTTGTCAACACAAGTTTATCTAAATAGTTTATCTAAAGAATATAGCTCAACAACTCAACAAACTTACTTTAAATATGGACTAGCCCAAAATATGGCAGACGTATGCTCACAACAGTGTAAAACTAAAGAATATAGCTCAACAACTCAACAAACTTACTTTAAATATGGACTAGCCCAAAATATGGAAGACGTATGTTCACAACAGAGTAGGTAAAACTAAGTATTTAATGGTAGCTTTTACTTCCGTTTACATAAAGGGAGAGGCCGTCATTCTTCTTATGAATTCAGCATGGGCCACACTATCGTCTATATTGACGAAAACGAAAACGAAAATTCGTGCACGAAATGCATGCCAGACACGACGAAAAATTACAAGCATGTTTGCAAAGCCAAAACTTTTTTGGCCAATAAGCAAGCGGCATTTTTGACGGATTAGAAAAAATAGCGATCTCTAAAAGAAAAAGATTACTTCTTCTTAAGAAAAAGTTACTGCCTTTAAAGTTGAAAACAAGCAACAGCAAACGTCGATACTGGATTCATCCAATTAATAAACGAGAGCCGAACAATGAAAATAGACACATAAAATACTTGCGAATGACGACGACAAATTTTGACTACATTTTGGATTCAATTAGACCTCACATCACTAAAGTTGGCACACATCTTAGGAAGTCTATTAGCCCTGATTTATCAAAACCTCTTGCCACTCCGCCATGTTTGAGCACAAAGTCTAATATTATTAGCCAATAGTATGCGTTTTCTTTAACGAAAAAGGTCAAAAGTTTAATTCTTCTAATATGCACGAAAACGAAATTTTCGTCGAGTTTTCGTTCAAAATTTTCGTTGCGGCAGTTTTCGTTCTGATTTTCGTCGATATGGACGATAGTGTGGCCTAGGCTTTCCTTTCCACGCAACATGACAAAAAGATCACATTTCGTACATGAACTATGCAAAAATGCGGACGAACGGCTGACATATTAATAATTCATCCTCTTCCATACATAGTATAGCCCCAAGCGGTGTTTGTAATCTTATTCATAACAGTATTGAAAAGAGTAATGTGAATGTTAAGTGCGATGTCTTCAGCATTATCAACAGTTTTCAATGATATGCACCAACAAAACAGCAAATAAATAAATTAATATAAATTTTAAAGGCCATTGTTCATATTCTAACTTATTCCAAGGACTTATTCTAACTCAAGTTTCATGAGATTGTGTGATTGACAGAGTTCAAGAATGTTGTTTTATGGTCAGCAGGATTTGCTCTGGTTTCATAATTACAAATTGTAACTTCATGTCTGTGAGCCTAAAAGAACAAAACAAAAACTTTTGTCATTGTTTGTGTATGTAGAGGATCAATATAATGATTAATTGGCATATATTGTAATTTACCTCTTGAAATTCACCTTTTAGACCAATATATGTAATTATGGTTGTTTCTGCACCATAGTTTAAGGGGAAATACATTGACAAACATTGAATACTTGAAAATCTTGGCACTCTGTACATAAATTACAGTGTTAAATTTAAGCCTTCAATTAGTTGGTCAAAAAAAGTGGTTAAAGTGGCTAAATTCACAAAGATTTTAACATGCTAAAATCTAGTAGTTGAACTAACTTTGTATAAAACAAATTCCGAAGAAGCAAGACATCTTGAGATTGCAAAATATGCATCAAAACAAGACGAGAAGTGAACTGTATTCCTCAGACAGAATGATTCTGAATGAGGATGACTTTGAAATAAAGTTGCTAAATTCACAAAGATTTCAACATGCTAAAATCTAGTAGTAGAACTAACTTTGTGGTGTATTCAATTGTGCCATTGAAATCGTGAACAAGCTCAAACATTTGATCTTGTTCCATTTCCGTTTCATCAAAGGTCATATGAGGTCTGTTCTTATAACTAAAGAAAAATCAACATTATAACACTTGAACTAAAAATAAAAGTACGAAACCACTCACAGTTTTAAAACTCTCGGATGTTGCTCTCCTTCTCCTCCCATTACAATGACACCTTTTAGTTTCACATTACCGGTAAATCTGTGATAACATTTACAGATAAAACAATGACATGATTCCTTCTAAGCAATTCCTTCTCAGATGAGTAATGTCAACGAGATGCTTACGGAATGTTAAATAATAGCTCTTGATCAACGTCACTTTCTACAAACTGACGAACAAAAGTATAAGAGTTGGCTGAAAATCAACAATTATTACCTTCAACTACAAGTTTTTGACGGTTTGACCTTATTTCTATCTAGTCTCTCCTCCCACGGTTTAAAAACTGTTTTTCCTGTTCCTTCTTCAGCTTCATTTAAAACTTCAACATGTGTAAAGTCAATTTTCGTGAACAATGAATATTGTACTCCTTTTTCTTCGCTGATGTGATTGTGACCAGAGCAATTGTGACCATCGCAGTCGGCCATATTAAATTTTGATATATACTTCATGTAACGAATCTTATAGTATACATATGTTTTATTCATTACAATGCAACAAAAATAAATCGTTATTTTCAAAAACATCAGTAATACAGTGTATTGGATCATTGATTATTGCAAACTTTACAGTTTTTAATCCTTTCACTTCTCTAATCTTTGCAACCCATCCCTCAATTATCGTTAACTAATTTAAAGCTCAAGGTTAGGTGACATTCTGCCACCTCTCGCGCAAGATGGCCACGCAAGCCAAGAGACCATGGAAAATGAAACATAATGACGAAATGCGCGTAACTACAAACTGTCTCCCACGAATTGAAAACTGACTTCACTTCTCTGTGATCTCATGGTAGGAAATTTCTTTAAAGTAAGAATGTTTATTCTTACCGTGATCAACTAAATAGTTTTCTCTGTAAGATGAGACGGTCGAGGTTGCTAATTTTTTATGCTGTTAGAAATGCGTGGCTGTTATAGAATAATTCCACTAAATTTTTTACGAATATTTAGTCCTGGTCTGTCGGCAGCAGAAAGATAACACTGATTGTTACACGATCAGCTGTAAAAATAAACACGCTTTATTTATTTTCATAGGCACGATGAAACATGAAATTATGTTTACCTATCTGTGTCTCTACTGTATTTGAGGAAGTTTAGTGACAAGTTTAAAACACGTGAAACAAAAAGAGGTGTTGTTAACGCAATCCACATACACTAGTAGTGTTGTGACTTGTAACCAATCAATCAAAGAGGAATACAATAGATGGCTTGTTTCAACAAGCTAGGGCAGGGGTCTCCAAACTACGGCCCGCAGAGACACTTAAGAAAAATAATATTATTAAACAAAATAAACTTTGTTCAGAAAGTTCACGTTATGACGCAAGCCAACTAGCAAGAGTGGCTTACGTCAATTTTTGTCCCAACTTCCTACTGAGACAGAATCTGTTGACATGCCATATTACACTGCAGTAAGATGGCTAAGTTGTGGAAAAGTGCTTTCAAGGGTTTTTGAGCTAAGGAAGAAGCTATTTTCTTAACTAATGAAGCTTGTGTTATATACTTCGTTTTATTAAAATATTCGCTCTTTGACCAGCGGTATACGGTTCGTCGGCCCTCAACATGCTGGATGAAAGTTCATGTGGCCCTATGGCTGTAAAGTTTGGAGACCCCTGTGCTAGGGGAAAAATGCAACCTGTTTTATGGACGAAACTACGAAATATACCAAAAGAGAAATCTTTTCATTAAGAAAAATATAATTTTACATTTATACGCAATGTAACAACATCGATACGCAAAAAGATTAACTCGTCTCAAGTGAATTGAATCGACTTCGCTTTTAAATTTTTACTTCATTTTCGCACTTGGATCTGTCATATTTCCTGTATTTTTCCTGAAATGTCTGTGTTTTAAAACACAATGCTGCGCTAACGTCACATTCACAGAGGCCATCACGACATTTGGAGTTGTTTTTTGCTAAATGAAAAAACAGAAAACAAAACTAATTTCCATCGATGCAATTGTTATTATGTATTGAAAAATATAAGTTCACGGACTTACCACAGGTCAATGGCAATGTGGTTTTGTAGGACAGTAGGTACACTTCCAAAGACTTGCAATGCCCTTTCTTTTTTAAATCTGAGTAACAAGTATCATGCATTTGACAACATCTACACAAAATGATCAAAATCAAGAGTAAAATGTGACCAGATTTATTATAAGAAACCGTCGACGAAATCTCCTTAACATACCTATCAATACCATCAAGCGGTGTACCTTTACCACCAAAGCCACAGTAGCATCCGTAACCATTAAAATCCAAAGGACTTCTCCCTGTGGCAGTAAATATCATCACACCAAAGTTAAGAAGATTCCTCTTAGAGCGATTGTTCCCTTAAACGATACAAACAAACTTGAAATCCACAGAAAGCAGACTGTATGACCAGAAACCAAAATATATGTAAAAAAACTGAACATTCATCATCCTTTAGGGTACCATTTATACCTATAGTTGTCTTTGCGCTCCAACAAGAACATATGGCTGCCGCAAACACCAACACTAGCGTCAAGTTCTTCATAACGAGACAGGAGGCTAGATGACAATAAACATAAGAAAATTTCAAGCACGCACAGAGATCTTATACTAACAAAATGTTTACGGATTTAACTTACCTTATTTAGAATGTTTGTGATAATGTAGAAATTCTTTATATTTGTATTGCACATATACCGTATCAGCGTATCGTATTTTTGTAAACTTTTATAATTTACACGATATCTTAAAGTGTGTACCTCCACAATTTAGCTGTGTCAATATAGTTAATGAAGCATGATATTCTCTTCAATATTGAAGAATAGAAGACTAACATATGTTGGTATTCACCGATTTAAGCTTGGTCAGCTAACCGTAAAAGATAATTCTCAAACAAAGTAAAGGTTTTGGTTAAGTTTTTCGATATGAATTAGTGCATAAGGGAGAATGAGAAATCGATGCGTAAGAGACGAATTCTCAAGTGAATAATGGGGAAAATTCTGCGGTGTGTGAGAATTGTGATGAAAATGATAATAAAGTAACTTGGTTTTTTTTTGACGAAAAACACGTTACAACGAAAGATTTCGATTTATTAATGAATTATCATCAGAGAAGCTACTACATAGAGAAGCTAACAAAAAACTACACTATTTAATTCATTCTTCCTATACATGCTTAAACAGATGCACAAAAATTGTCTGTTTTTCTTAAACATGACATATGTCTCTGTCGATACGCAATAATCTACTGTTGTATTTGCTTTGGTATTTTTTTTAAGGCAATTAGCAGCATCGCTATCACAATTGCACAATTCTCGTGAAAAACCTGTATTGCTCGAGTCTAAAGAAAAGATGACGATATTAATGAATGTTTTCACACATTGTTGAAAACATGGAAGTTCCCGTTTGGAAATTCATACCACAACTAGAACAAGAATGTCGATAACTGGATAAATAAATAGTCAACCAATTGAAAACTACGTTATTTGTAAGTCGTGAATAGCATTGATCGTGATTCTTACAGCATCTAAACGATATTAGAACAATATAATCTTTGCGCAATGATTTTTTTCTTAGCGTGGTGTATACAACATGGAGAAGATAACGAAATAAGGTAAGGTCTCCTTTGACATAGCTATATGTCAGAAAAATTTTACTAAGTATGGAATGATTTGAGAAGTTTTATTTTTACTATATATTGTCGGCGGCTATCGATAGTTTCAATTACGAAATTAACTGTTCTAATATCAAGAAGGTTGTGAAAGAAGAGGATGAAGTAGGTAGCACGTGGTTGTGCACGTGATTGACGGCATGGCTACTGTCCAACTGATAAATCATGCCTCCTTCAATTTCTTTCTTAACTTATTTGAACATTTATCTTGAACTGAACTGCATAGTTATTTTGAAATGTCAATCTTTATAGGTCCAAAAATAGTATTTTATAATGCAACAGTTTTATTATAGACCATGACAACAGATCGAGCTCATCTGTCATAATTGTCCAATGCAATCCCTCCACCACCCAAACCACAGTAAACATCTATAACCCACATGTCAACATCATCCAATGCAATCCCTCCACCACCCAAACCACAGTACACATCTATAACCCACATGTCAACATCATCCAATGCAATCCCTCCACCACCCAAACCACAGTAAACATCTATAACCCACATGTCAACATTATCCAATGCATCCCTCCACCACCCAAACCACAGTAACATCTATAACCCATCTGTCAACATCATCCAATGCAATCATAAGATTAACGTAACTTTAAATTAAGTCCATTTCTATATTTTTACTATAAATTCACTACTTTGTATTACATCATAACTCGTGGTGTTAATTACGTCATAACGTATTGCATTAATTACATCAAAACTGATGTCGTTAAAATGTTTGACGAATTCTGATGTTCATTTCCATTATTAGGTGCATTCAAGCCATCGTCGAGAAGAATTAAAAGAACATTTTATACAATCATACAGAAATATGAATTTTTACAGTTTTTTAAAAAGAATTATTCCACTTTATAATTTCTCCGTCAGCAGTCGATGTCTTCGTTGAATACAATGGTTCTTTGAGAGCCTATGTTAACGTAAAATAGTTAGAGATCAAGGCACCATACATATCTAGTTCAACTGATACTTAGAATTCTCTTTTCAAAGGATGGATGCATAAAAGACAAAATTCGCGAAATATCCTTTAACTCTTCATTAAATCCTCGACGTTTAAAGGACGATAGTTCTTATTTCTTGACGGACATTTAACGTCATCTAAATTCACGTTACATGATTTTTTTGATAGAAAAAAAACTTGTACATTATTTTTATGAGCATTTTGCTGTCTACAAGTCGTAATATTGGCATATTTGGCTCACGAGAAAATTACGTGACTGATAAACAAAGAAATGGAAATCAAAGAGGGATAATAATAATTAAAATATAATAACAACAGGCAAAGATCACTTACTTGCGCTAGTATTACGTCGTGGTAAATCAATATCTGTTTGTGAAATAAAATAAGACAAACCACTTGCTGTGCAAACTGCCAATAATAACCAAACATTGTAGGTCATGACCGCCAACATGACAAAATAGTTTGCAGCAACTAGTGATGGCAGAATAATAAAACTGTTGAACATACGTAGCGTTGTAAATACGTTTTTAATGTACACATTGTGAGCGAATACGATGGTTATTGTGTTTTCTCGTGAAGAAGCAATTGATGGCACTTCGTTGTGCCGTTCACAGCTGCCATAATCCACATTTTCTGGCAGAGAACGATCGCCATTCCTAGAAACGACATCTCGTTGCCGAAACCATCTTGTTTCAAAATACCGAAGAATTTCACTGAGAAATTGGAATACAAAAAGACCAAAAAATGCACCAGTTAAAGCACCATCGTTGTCTATTTTCCATTCTTTGAACAACAGTAAAAACCCAGTTGAAAAAAAGAAATGACTATGCATCGTCAGACGTGACTTGCCTTAATCCTACCACTGATTATTGATGTTTCGGCACGAATTGAATTTCTAGGTGTTTCCATTTCGTGAAGTACAAATTCAAATGCAAACTCATTTCTTCATCTATCCAATCGAAAGGTTTTTGCTAAAATATTTCAAATCAAGCAATCAATGAATTAAACAACAAAAAGTATTTATGAGAAGCCCACTTTACTCCATGAGTATAAATTCTGAACACACTAACGCTAAAATACAAACAAAAGAGTGAGAAAATTTCCCCTGTTTACTATGGACTGGATGTCTACCTTATGTCTACCTTTGTGTTTACCTTTATGTCTACCTTTATGTCTACCTTTATGTCTACCTTTATGTCTACCTTTATGTCTACCTGTCTACCTTTATGTCTACCTTTATGTCTACCTTTATGTCTACCTTTATGTCTACCTTTATGTCTACCTTTATGTCTACCTTTATGTCTACCTTATGTCTACCTTTATGTCTACCTTTATGTTTATCTTTATGTCTACCTTTATGTCTACCTTTATGATTACCTTTGTGTTTATCTTTATGTCTACTGATCTGAAAGAGAAGAGAAGAGAAGAGAAGAGAAGTGAAGAGACGAGTGGTCAGCAGTGAACAACCAATTGTATAAATACAAAACTGCTATCTCCTCTCTCTCTCTTCTTTTGTGAAAACGATCCAACATACTCTATTATCTCTAAACTGCAGTTCCTAAAGATCAATTTAGGAACATTTCCTACTTATTTGATGTTTTTGCAGGAAAGTTATATTTTTATAAACTTTCTCCCTGTCCTCCTATCTTTCGTCAGACTGTTTAAATAAAACTTTAAAACCAATAACGATAGTTCATACCTTCACTTTTATCCGTTTTTAAAGTTAGACTTTTGCAGGTTATTCTTTGTTCATTATTTAAATTGTCGTCCATTTCTTTTCTTCCAACCAAAGTTCAAGAGTTTTCAGTTTTTTGGTCCAAATGGCTAAAATGAAATGCATAAAATAGTTATTTAACAATAACAAACGATGATGCACATTATGAAAATACTGTATACAAAAAATGAAAAAGCTTAAAAATATCAAAAAAAAACTATCATTTTATCCAAATTCCTCAAAAATGCGTTCCCGTTGATGTATATTGGCATAGTCTGGTTTGCATAAAAGTAAAAATAATGAGAAACATTAGTCCCGAAAGTTGAAAAGCGAGCGATCGGTTTTAAAGAGCCTCAATTTTATTTCGTGCCAAGAAAACGAGAGATTCTGACGACACAAAGTCTCCTTGACCTACCTTGCATTGTCTAACAGTACGAATGACGTCAACTTAGAGTATTTTTTAAACTAACAAACGTCAACACTTGTCGTGTATGAGGTTTGAAGATGTCGTTTTATGAAACTCTGTTTGGCAGTCGTTACTATGAGATAAAAATGCGGAAAAGTTGATTTCCAGTCAACAGACGCACCGGACACTGAAGACTAACAAACTAACATGTGAATATAGTGTTTCACTGCATGCACCAAATGAAATCATGTTTTGGAAAACTGAGAATGCGTTCGCCACGATTGCACGTGTAGTAAACGTGCCAATCTTACATATCACGCGTTTTCTAAATCTTCGTTTTTTTGACGTAACAAGTTCAACCTGTTAAGCCCCAGTAAATCGAAGGGTTTAAAACAAGCGGGAAAAGTCGGGTTTCTCGGAAAGATCTTAACATTCTTCAACAAATGTATGAAAATATTGTCTTAGAAAGTCATGCCATAGTTGCTTCAACTCACGCGATGTTCACGCTTGCGTCTATTTTTCAATTTGTTTATCACGAGAGGTCAAGCAATAACAACTATTTTTTATTGAAGTTCATGGTCAACACGTGTAGAGAGAAAATGCGTTAAATACTGCATTTCTTCTTGGTTTATAAGTAATGTTAAATATTTCATCAACAAAACTATTTAATCAACAAGTTGTCCTAGATTTTTTCCTTTTGTTCCAAGACGTAGTACAATAGCATTGTTTAAATCCTATCACAGGTTATCCAAGGTGTCGCCCTGCGGGTAATAACAAGATCCATTTAACACGTGAACTTCAAAAGATACAACTATGAATAACAGCATACGATCTCAAATTGTTCATTTTAGAGTTGACTACGTTCGAGCGAAGAGTAGCGAGAACATTTGTTCGACAATTTTCTTCTCAACACTTTCACTTCAAAAGTTTTAATCGCGTCAAAGAAAAGATGATGAAAAACAACGTCTTGATTTTCGCCGATCATATTGTTTTCCCCAAAGGGGAAATCAGAGAGGGACCGTTTTATGTTGTCGCTAAAAATGGGAAAATCACAAAGATATCAAAAGCAGAATCGTCTATCAATTCTGTGGCGCAGTGTGAGAGATGCGATGCTGTTCCATGTCATCTCCTCGCTCCAGGTTTTGTGGACATTCATAACTATGGCTTAGGTAAGAAAACTGGCAAGTTAAAAATCACTATTCTAAAATTGGGTTTTAACTTTTCAAAATTATTGAAGTTGTATGGAAAGCAAAGCTTTTCAATAACCTTCGTCGATAGTGTTTGTACAAATATTATAAGTACTTTAACATACATCTGCACTTTTTTCAAAAACATCGAGATGCATTGGGGTACATGAAGGTATTTTGAGGAGTATCTTGTTGCATTTTTGTGCATTACGTGGCACACATAAAATAGAAATTCCAGACAAACAAACTGCGCGATTGCATCATAGAATATCGTTGACGAAAACTGTTAAGAATTTACTGTTCAAACAATGAAGGCAATAACAGACGAGACCTTTAACCTCAAACTCGTAAAACAAGTTTCTCAAGAAGAAGTTAAATAAATATAGCAAATAAATCAAAAACAGACGACATGATATTTACAAAGACACTCTAAGGTCTTAATTGTAGGGTACACGATCTAAATGACGACAATTTGATCGTGCTGCGAGCCATGAAAATGTGGAAAAGTTTTTCAAGCACAGCAGGGCGCAGAAACTTGTCAATAAATCATAAACATTGAACGACCTTGAGTTTCTAGAGCATTTTTACAAATCAATTGAAAGGAAATCATCATCGTCTGCGCAAAATATGCTAATGAGATTAACGAACATTTGAAAGACATAAAGCCTGTTTTAGCAAGCCGAAAGTCTGATGGGAAAATTAAAATCGAACAAAAATTCAGCAGATTTTGTCTCGAGATTCCATATAAAAAGCTTAAGTTCTTGTGAAGACGGAAATCTTATATTAATCTTTAAATGTGACTGCTGAAGCTAATTATGAAAATAAAAGATGAAAGCTCGCGCATGACTAATCAATGACCAACTTCAAGAAGGAAATTGAACTAAGGAGTCAAATGACTTGCCGATCAATTAACTACCCAACAGAGTCCATACTTAATTCACGTGCCTTTATGGAAACACTTCATGATGCACGAGACAGAAATACAGACTGTTCACGTGTAATGTTTCGCACTCATTTTTTTCCCTTATCGAGTATAGAAAAAAATTCTTATGGACAACATATTTCCCGTAAAGACTAAAGGTCTATGAAAAGTAATCTTATCTAACAACCAAATCAATCCGTATCATTTTCTAGGAGGCAGTGACGATATCCTCGATTACTGGAAGAAACCAGGTAAACAAATATCAACTGTAATATTACTTTTTTTATTTAAAAAAGCGATTTAATAGAGCTAATTTGAAAATACACGCGATTTAGAATATACCTGCGCAAAGGCTGTCACAACAGGTACGACATCATTGCTGGCGAGTGTCGTCTTTCCCGAGGAAAGAGATGAAGAAACTCGATCATTGTTGAAAAAAATCACAAGCAGAATTGGCGATAAAGTTGCTGGAGCTGTGATCGAGGGCGTGCGGGCAGAGGTAAAGTAGCAGTAAACAGGAAGCACAGTACTATTTTTAACATAAATTGATCAGACGATAAGCCTGTAGTCAGTCACGGTGAGCTATACTTGTTTACTCTTATGTAACCTTAAAGACATGAAGAGGGAAAATATTTAGTCAACAAACGACTTTTTTTTGCAGGGTCCATTAATTGCTGATTTCGGTGGACTACCAAAAAGCTCAACTGAATATGGAGAAAATGAATTTGGCAGTCTGTTGGACTCAATGACCCAGCTTAAAATAATGACGATCAGCCCAGGTGTTGCATCTCAATTGAATTATGAACCAATCAAAATGATTCGCCAGAGGTAAACACTTACTTCACAGCAGGAATAGAACTTTGCATTGACATGACGTAATCTTGGATTAGACATGACGTCATTATTTTTTCAGAAACATCCTTCCGTCGCTTGGTTATGATCGTGAAGCTGACGAAGAAGCGATCCTTGATGCTTTATCTATGTGTAAAGACCAACAATGTCATATAACACATTTATTTAACGTCTCAACCTTCCATCACAGGTAAAGTACAATGATATTTAGAAAGGAGCAATTCAAATACAGAAAAAAGATAGCCATGTAGGAACACGGGTAAAAATGAACATGAACGACTTATTTTTTTGCGAACAGAAATCCCGGGTTGGTCAATTTTGGATTACTTGACAATTATCCTTCGCAAGCAAAATACGCTGGAATTATTCCACCAACAGTAGAGATCATCGGCGATATGATACACGTGTAAGTATGGAGATGCAGGGTTATCGTTAGTTGCAAAACACGTAAGAAAGTTACTTTTATCCCCAGTCGTCACTTCTATCCACAGTAGTCACTTCTATCCCCAGTAGTCACTTCTATCCCCAGTAGTCACTTCTATCCCCAGTCGTCACTTCTATGCCAGGTAGTTTTTAAAAATCTAAAGTTAGAGAACAAAGATCTACCATCTTCACAAACTAACACGAGATTAACCTGCAGGCATCCATTCGCAGTGAAACTGGTCTTAAATTCCCGTAATTGGAGAAACATTGCGTTCGTAACAAGTGGCGTTGGTTATCGCTCCCAACTTCAAGAAACAATTAAATATGGTGGCCAAGATGGTAAGTAAGAAAAAACACCCAGAATCATGTACAAAAGTAGACAAAATCTTGTCTTCTTAATTTTAATCATCGCTCACAGTTCTGCCAGAGATGTTCAGCATCTCGGTAATATAGCAATTCTGCGTGATGGACTTATGTGAATGTAAACATTTCCCCAAGACAACCATTGTTTAATATGTGCTTGATCATACATGAAAATTGTTTTAGTTAAAGTGGAAGATGATGTCGTAAAACGATGCGATGATGATACGATTGTGGGAAGCTGTTGCAGTATGTTGGATATCTTCACGTCCTTAACTAAGAACTTTGACGTTTCCATTGGAAAAGCTTGCATGATGCTTTCAGAGAATCCTGCTAGGTGAGAAAATAAACACGAAATAAAGGCAACACACAGATGCCAATGCACGCATTTATAATTGCAAAGGAACGCGAAATAACTTAAAGAATTTAAAAGTATTCACCTTCTGAAAAGAACCTCATACGGATCTTTAGTTAAACGCTTACCACAGATTGATGGGGTGCATGTGTGTGTGTGAAGGATCTTTTAGTTAGATTTCACAATGGACTGGGGGGAGGAAGGGTGTATAGAGGAAGCTGAAGTTTCATTATTTCACGATTTCTTATTTTCTTGCTAGAATTGCCAAACTCGATAATGTTGGCACGATCGAGGTTGGAAAAGACGCCAACTTCATCATGTTCGATCATAACTACAACCTTACAAAGACATTTGTTGATGGACGTATGGTGTTCAGAACAACATCTTGTAAAAAGAAAAGTGTCATTTCTACAGAGAGCATCGAAAAATCTGTTCAACTTATCATGTAGACAAGACATGAACAAGATTACAACATGATGAGCTTAGGTGGCATAGCGAAGATGCTTGCTTTGGCGAAGAAGGGGGGTGGGGTGGAGGCTCAGATGCAATGAAACAGGGGGGTGTATTTCATAAAATAAATGTTTGATGATGAGCTGAAAGTTTGCAATATTATACTTCGTAAAATGATAGCTTTAAATGAAAACCTGACGACAATAAATAAAATGTTAAAATAAATCAATAGTTAGTTCATTTTAATTCAAAACATCTGGTGTAAATTACAAATGACTTTATCATTAATCTGGCCGAAAATTAGTAATTTTATCACAGCAGATTGTAATTAATAGAGGAAAGCATTAAAAACAAGAGTATTTTTTTTATAAATATTCTTTTTTTATGAGTGTTCTATGTTTTATAACCAAACCAATGAGAAATGGAGATCTTGTTTAAAACATCTGCCAAAAGCTCATGATTTTATACATATCTGAATGTATCAAAGCTACGGAGTGTTGTCTGTTTGAACAAGACAATTATTACGATTTTCATCATCATTGTCAACAGATCCAATCACCATTCTTTCTAATTCCGCACCAGCAGTGGATAAATTAATGTCAGTTGGCATTGGTCTTTGAATGTTGAAGAACATATCCAATCCTTGATTGTTTGATGTTGGTCTTTGTCTGTTTGAGACATTATCTGATCTATCATTGTCTGATGTTATTCTCTGCCTGTTTGAAAGATTGTCCAATCTCTGAGCTCCGAACCTTACACCAGCAACACCTTTCTTCTCCGCATCAACAACATCCCGTTTAATTCTTCGTTTGCGGTTCAGTCTTCGAAACTGCACCATGTTTTCAAAATCCACAAAATATGAAAATCCCGCAATAAGAAGTTCACACAGTCTCTTTCCTTCCTTATGGGACTTCTCAATTTCAGCCGAGGATGATCTATCATACTGCCACCACCCATTTCGTCCTTCATAATACCACTGATATCCATCTAATTCCTCTGATGACTCCTCATGTGCTTCATTGTCTAAGGAAACTTTTGGATCAAGATGGACAATATCAGGATTGTCAAAATATTTCAAATCAACATCTTTCCTACAAAGGGCACATCTTCGGCTACGAAATGCAACGCCTTTTATACAAAGAAAACAGAATATATGTCCACAAGTAAGCTTCACTGGCAAGGTACACGTTTGTAAACAAACAGGACACTCAGGAATATATTGTAAATCTTCATTTTCTACAAAATAATGTAAAAAGGATAAAAAATAAAACGCCTATCAAGGAATGTAAACAATTAAAAAAATTAAACACTGTCCATGATAGCTATGCGAATATTTTATCGTTAAACATTACCAATTTTTTCTTTTTCTACATCCATAGATTCTACACGTTCTTCTTTCTCCATCCCTTCAACTTCTCGCTCAGCCATTACCGAATAAAGTCAATATTTTGAAAGAGATTCTCAAACTCATTTAACTGAAAACCACTATCACTTTCGATGATAAACGATCGCTATGTTTGTCGGGTAAAAAATGTCGAACAAGCATCAATTTGGCGAATATTTTAACAATGCAATTCAAGAATATTTTCCATAATATCCAAAGCTTAATTACAGCCCAAAGATTTCTTTGACTAGCTGTTAAACGTTCTATATAACTAAATATAGACGAAATGGTAATAAAAAGAATGAAATTTCTAGAACTCCTTAAAGGAGTTTTGTACAGGAAATATTTAACGCGACAAATATTTCCAGTAATCCGAACAAATCAAACGATTGAATGCAATGAATCATCACGAATTATGAAACAAAATTGACAAAAGTTGTCTCGAATTTCAAGCAAAAACAATGACGTTTAGAGAATCTTTAAGCAGTATATGAACTACAGTAATTTATATATTTTATCTAAAGACAAGAACGAGCTGCCAAGAAGAAATATGTATTGTTTGCAATGGCTTTTACCGTTGTTGTTGATACCTAAACCAGCGAACTTGTTCCTTCTTCAGCATCACTCAATGTTTATGACTTTATATTTGGCAAGTTTCTTCCTTGAACGCAGACCTTGTACTATTTGCACGATTATATTTATTGCCGCTATCGCCTTAATGTGCTACAGTGGCCTTGGGAATTGTTTTTTTTATACGGAATGCGACGCAACTACGAGATAGTGTATGTACACAACGAAATGAAGAACTGAGTTGGCAATGTTTTAAAAGAGTTTGTGATACGAGTCTGTATTGAAGTGTGTAATTTTCTTGGTTTAGCGAATCATCATATGGTCCTGAAGTGTTTCTCTTAAATGTACAGTTTGATAACGTTGTATTGCATGGAATGTGGGATATTGAAACCGTCTGACTGTTTAAGCTCGTGTCAGCTCGCAGTGTCATGAAGACAAAGAATAGACGGAAGGAAGACGAAAGAAACGCCAAGCTAAAGCCAAATGAAAGTGATTTCTGTTTATGCTTTCCCAATATAACTTGATGTCGTAATGCTGAATAATAGTTCAGCCGAAACTTGTCAATTCATGAATAAAGAATTAATCACTCGTCGAATTATTTTTAGAATATTTAATTGTGATTTTTTCAGTGTTGAATAAATTTAACGAGCACATTGCTAAAGCTGTGGAAAAACTTACTTCTTATAATATATGTGACCATTAAGGTAAAACTCTTATAACTTCCTAAAATTAATAAATATTATCATCAACAGATCTCGTTTTGAAACATGATATGTGGTGGTGATAGTATTGTAGTCGTTTTGGGGTCAAAGATTTCTAATAAACCCGACAATGAAGAAGTTGGTGAAGTAAATTGTTTGAACCCGGGAGTATCGTTACATGTTTGTAAATGTAGATCGTCCAGGTTGGTATAGCCCTGAGAAGGACTGTTTTTGTTGTTGTTAACTGACGTTTCGACAACCTTAGCGGTAGTCATCTTCAGAGTCAAAATGACCAGAGTCAAAATGAGTCATTTTGGCTCTGAAGATGACTACCGCTAAGGTTGTCGAAACGTCAATCAACAACAAAGCAGTCCTTCTCACGACTGATCTAAATTTATGAAAAAGAAGAGTGTTTAAACCAGGAAAACATACCCATATAGAAGGCGCGTGGGAGGTAAAAATAAGGTTCTTTTTCAAGGAAACCTTGAAATTTACGTGATATGAAAAAAAGATTCCCCGAAAACAAGGAGACAATACATGGAAGTCTGGAAGCCACTAATAACCCAGGGGGGTGAAGTTGATCAAATAACAAACCGGAAACAACGAGGAATTTTGTTACGTAGTAATTTAGAAACATGATCACCTACACAAATTACGTCCAACAGAGTTTTAAACATTTATTATTGTGAAGGCAACAACGCCTATAATTTCGAATTCAATCACCGCGATTTATTTAAATTTTTTTTGACAATAGTATGGAAAAGGTTAAGGAGCGCATCAGACTTTTAAAAGATAAGATCGAAGACGCTGAACAACGAGAGGCTGACGATGCATTAGCGACGAAAGAACTTGAGGCAAAGATTGATATACTGGGCGGTGAAAAGACGACTTTATTGAGCAGAATAAATGTAGTGAAAGCGGATTTACTTAAAGTGAAAAATCAGCTGGATGAAAAGGAAACGAAGCTAGATGACGCTTTAGCAAGAAATGAGAATTCAGAAATACGTGTGAAAGAGCTAGCCGATACCGAAGTGGATGGTTATGAGCGCTCTGATAAGATTGAGAGTACTTTGAAGGAGGCGGCCATTAATAAGGAGAGGGCTGATCACATGCTGGTAGAAGCTGAACGAAAAAGCATTCTTGAGCAAGAATTGGTGCGTATAGAGGAAAAATATGAGAAGGAACAAGAACGCGGCGATGAGTTGAAAAAAACCTTAGATGGCTACACAGATCAAATGCGTGACTTGGAAGAGAAAGATCGCGATGCCTCTGAACGGGAGGATGTTAGTGAAGATAGAATGAAGTTTCTGGAATCACAAATTCGTGTGACATTGAGCTCGGCAGAATCACATGAACGTGAAGCAGTTAAACTAGAGAATTTAAATGCTACATTGAACGATGAAGTCAAATCCTTCAAGGAGAAATACGAAAATGTACTACGAGAAATGGACGAAGGAATGGAAGATCTTATTAACGACGATTGACTTCATTCGTCCATTCAACTACGTCTTCATTGTCTCTCTCTATGTTCAATTTAACAATACGAATTTAAATGATGGCATATGAATCGTTGAGTTTAAGAAAATACGATAGTTTATATTTCAGGTGTTATAGATATTTAATAGATAGAAGATATTGCTCAGAACTGTGGAAATAAATTCAAACAGAAGCACACATGATAATTAGTCATCCTTGGATAATACTCATTGTTTTTACACTATGAAATGTGATATGCAATTTAACAGTGATTATACGTCCATCATTATGAAAGAAATCTTGATTGTACACATATATTTTACGTGTTGTCAAGTTAATTAGATCGCTTTACGCTGGATAAACTTTGAAATGTGCACTAGAAATTCTCCAAGTATTTGTAATTGATCCTCGCCTTCTCATATGATAAACACATTTGCATACCAAGAAACGGCTGCGTGAGATCAATTTTCAAAAAAATGTCGTTAATGATTGACTTACTGAGGGATTTGATCCGAAGTACCGCGCAAATGGATTGTAAATGTACATTCCAAACGTTTCACAGCCGATAATTTGAATCATAATTGTCGTGATGTTTATATAATGATCTCAGGTTTGCTGTAGGAGGTGTGCTCGAAAAGTCTGTGACGTAACAATGAAAGCAAAACAGAATGGAACTCGAGTTAAATAATGAAAATGAAATCTTACCTCAGTCGCTGTAATGTCTGGTTGAGTGATGCAAAATGGTCGTTTTTTCTACTGGAAAAAAATTGCCAATTGTTAGTCAAGAATGCATTGCAAACTATACAAGAAAACTAGATAAAGTATAACATATATTTAGTGATAATATGCGAGATTGAATTGAGAGAGTGAAGAAGGAAAATATTTAGATGTCCACAATATACTGGTCGATACTTTAAAGCAATAAGTTACTTTCCCATTCTGTAGAAAATCACATACCAGAACAGACCACGAGCCAAAAATTTAACTGCAGTTATCACTAACTACTGTAGTTAACTCCTTAACTGCGTCGTTATATCTAACTACTTTTTAACTGCAAAAATTGTTATGCAACAGGTCACAGATGCTTAGGAATTGGGAAATCATAAACAAGTAATTTGTGGCATCGTAAATGTGATGGGACTTTTATTGTCTTTCAACATAGTCTGTTATTGTCATTGATTACAGGATATATAATGAAAAAGATCATAAGATATCAACTGAACCGAAAGAGCTGTATGTATACAAAATTCATTTCATGGCGGAAAATTATTTGGTTATGTATACACCATATTAGAAAATAAGTGTCGAGTTATCCCTCATACACCTCAGGAAGTTAGTGTAAAAAAATAGTTTAATACAGCTTGATAAAACGTTATTTTTTGCATACATTCAAGTGAAATAATCTGAAGACTAAAGAAGCTTGGACACGCAACACTTTCGGACAAAACAATACAGAGACTCGATAAGATTTTACTCATGTAATTAATCACTGTCAACCTTTTTTGTGAGACAAGTTGTCATCTAATATACCCTTGTAATCACGCAAGCATTTCAGTTGATAGAAAGATTTCGTAGTTGTCATGTTGTCATGTTGTTATTTGTTATTTCCTTTTTACGTTTATAAGTCTATTTTTAATGTGCAGCAAGTAATTTTTTTGAAATGTTTACGTCAGCTTTTGCCATGAAAGAATCGTTTCAACTGAGAGATTTTTGAAAGGGGGCGATCTTAATATGTCTCAGTTACGTCAATCGTTGCATTGCCTTGATAGCGGAGAAGGAGTCCCAAAAATAAGTCGTAACTCAAAGTTTTGCCAAGAGTACTTCTGAAACCAATAGCGGGGATGGACGGTTAGACAAAAATACAGCTGCTAAATTTAGATTTTAGATTCAAATTAAATTCACCATACCATTGGTTATAAAGTTCAAAAAAACATCATACCAATAAATGGAAAATTGTCATGTATATATTCATCATAGCCCAGAATTCGCCCCAGTCTTAAAGGTTGTGATATGACGAAAATGACAACGTTGCGTGATCAACAAAAAACAACATAATGCATTCAGTCACTCCCACAAAACAATGCTCTGTGTTAATATTAGTTTATCGCTTTGTACAAAAACGTAAATAAACAGTTCAATCAAATCAAATAATGAATCTCCCGTTTTTTCTAGAAGAACAAAGAATGCCTTTTAATGTAGTCAAAAACACAAACAACGGTGGTCGGGGTGTGTGTCTTTTATGATAATTCTCTACATTCCCTGTTGGGTTTCATTTTCCGTGTCTGGTTCTAGCAGGAGAAAGGAGACATACCTAAAATCTCTGGGAGTGGAGCTTTTAGTAAGTCTGATTGTTACACAGTTATCACTAATAAGGCTCAATGAATCACTGGTAATATATTGTTAAACAATAACGCCTCTTTATTATAAGGCTTTTTTATCTGACGTTGACTTTGTCTTCAAATTTAAATCAATGAATGACAGAAAAAGTTAAAGTGAATGTTTTATGAAAGCTCGTTATAAGTCGTGTTGTTCTTTTATTTCTTCATTCAAATGTTTATCACGCTAGAAAGAATTATAATGTAACGGCTGGACAACTGACGCATTACAAAATTGCTCACAATTTTTTAATTACAAAGAGAAAGTCAAGACAAAGAACAGAAGATCTCAATAACGGATCAAAGTTAAAAATTGGTGCAAGAAAAGCAAATTAAAACATTTAGAGACAGTTAAAGCGATTGTTTCTTTAGAGTACCTTACATAAAGATCATCACACAATCAATCAACGCTGTTCTGGATCTTACAAAACTTTGTACTAAACCAAGTCAAATGCTCTTATTTTAACAAAGTATAAACCACGATAAAAACCAAAGTAGCTACATATTTATCAGAGAAGAGAATGTCGTGCAAGTCTGCATGAAATGCAATAAAATAGCTGATTACTGATTATCACGACATCATTTAAGCACATTACCTAAAATGAATATTTATATACGTATCATTTTTTGACATACCAGTGCTATAAGACGTTATCTTTGCTATTGAATATAATTGAAGGAGTAATAAACTCTTCATTTGTTTAATACTGTTGGAATTATTCAAACCATAGCAAATACGGACAACAGTATGGAACAACAGTTTATCAACTTCAACATTTGGACACGGAGTGGTTCATCCCCCCCCCCCGGAACTTAAAACGCGACGATGTAACACGCTAGATGCACGTGTTACGAAACAACATGGGGGAAAAGAAGGTTTATACACCTACATGAATATCATTATTTGATGAATTACTATTGGCTAAAAAGGAATTGCGTGTTGGCCAAATACGTTTTTCCTGTACGAAATTACTTCTAGCCTATCCAAAATATCCCCCGTCGGCATTTACTAAAGAATATAATTAGGGTATTAAAAAACAGATAAAGGATTTTGACAAGTAGGCGGTAACAGTATGTAAATGAAACAATCAAAATGTAAAGTAGGCTAACGAATAAAGAGAGGTACGTGCTAGTCTAGATGTGCATATTGACTTGTCGCGCAAGTTGTCAACATCAAGTAAAAAAAGTGAGGATTGATTTAAATGCATCCGAGTTTGAAACTGACTAAAAATGGCTGGAAAATTCTTAAATCTTTGGTCGTTAAGAAGCGTTACTAAAGTAGTCGCTGTTGTCATTATCGTAAGTAAAATAGCATTTACTTAACTGACTGATTTATTTTTTTGTTGTTGAAGCTTTTGATAAGCTCGTTCGAGTAATATTACACTAAAGAAAAAAAAGCACATATGATTTATCTTGGATTTCTTTACAACTTCTATAAAAACATGATCGATTTTATGCTTTTTGTAAATCTACACAGTTTTATTTTTTCGTGTTAGGGAAGTGAATTGATAGCTAAACAGTAAAAGCATTCTTCAAAATTATAATTTTGTTTCCCTTCATTTTAAATGTTACTTTTCGTTTTGCATTCTTATCGTGAGTTGATCATTCAACAGACATTATTTGTTTCAAAATAACTTCTTACTGTTTTGATAGAAATGATTCATGTCGTTTAGCTTAGAAACATAATCTCAATGTTTTATTTCGAGAGGACATCAACATTATACACACAGTCTAAAAACATGGACAAAAATAACCATGGTAACAGCAACAAGGTAGAGCCCCCATTAAATGAGCAGATCTCCCTTACTTCGTGGTTTTTTCAAAATGGACAAAAAAGTTTCTTTGGAGTGTAGAAAGAACTTACATTGTTGTAGTGTTTGATATTTTAAGCAATAGCACTTACAAGTATAAAAATAAGTCATAGTTTATCATGAAGCTTTCACGTGTTTCCAGCACGCGTAATTCAGGATGCACAAGGAAGTACGTGTTTCTAAGAAGAAACCACCCATAGCCAAACAAAGTTATGGGTTGTCTTTTCAATATATCCCTTACGTCAAAAAATGAATGTTATATAACGAAATAGCAAGTTATGTAGCAACCAAAAGTTTTGGAAAGTAAAATTTTCAGCTTATATAAGGCTGGTCATGTTTCATGCTATCTTCGGGACGTGTAAACACGCATGCACGCACGCTATCCAATCAGCTTACAACATTGTTCTGCAGGAAACAATCAAATTAACGCATTTGTTTATTTTTTTCGTGCTGCTTTTGTAGACAATAGTCGCTGTTATAATTTACGATACAAGAGAAATACCACAACGTGTTGAACACGATAAAGATGGTAGGTAAAATAACCGAAAATAGAAGGCAAAACTAAAGCTAAAAACGCGTCATTTTCAACTTTGTAACCAGTTATATAATTTTCAAAATATGGGCGCACAGGAAACGCATGCTAATTTTATCAAACAAAGACGTTGTTTGCCTGTCGTTAAGGTAAAAACCTTAACAAAACGACGACACCGGCGATGTTGGTCGTTGTTTAAAATGATTTTCCTGTCTTCAAAAAAACACCGAATATAGCAAACATAGTAATGATACATAATCATACATTAAATATGAAACCAATGCATCGACATTAATGTTAAAGATCGTCCAGCTGCTTCTGGAAAAAGAAAATAGCTAATGTTTGCAAAACTAATGTCTTTCTGGTGGATTTTTATTAAATTGAGTCGAGAATCATCTTTTTTTATTTCGTGGATTTAGATTAGTTGGATAAACCAAAATCACTTCGTTTATTTCTGTGCGAAGGTCTTTTACATTATAAATATTCACTTCCTTACAGTCTCAAAGTTGTTATCTTTTTTTCGTATGTTAACGATACAAAACAAAAGCGCATGTTTATATTTAAAACAGGAAATTAGTGCCGGGCATTTTAAATTTTCTCAATTTATATTGGATGAAAACAAGACAAAATGATCAGAAAATGTTTTAAATTGATAACAAAAAGTAGATTTGTCTATATCACTTTCAAATTTCAGCGTTTCGTGACTAAGATGTTTCACGTCTAACATGGATGCACGAGATTTATGCATCATTTTAAAGATAATAAGTTAATTGCAACTTCGAAATGAAAAGAGTACAACAATTAAGGTTCAACAGACCTAATCCAAGCAATTAAAATGTAAAGTTCGTTGAAAACAAAGAGAAAGACGTCTGGACAATCTTGTGCACACTAACTTGTCGTGTGAGCTTGCAACGTGAGCAGAAACGAGCAAATGTTGAAACAATTCTTTGTCTCAAACTGACCCGGGCAATTGTGTGGATAATTTTTCACGTGAACACGCTAAAAGCGGAACATTTATAAAATTACTTCACGTGAACACGCAAATTCGCCCCTTATACACAGTTTAGTCAAAAAACAAGTCACGTTTGGATCGTCTATTCATAAAGTTAACATATTTTATACCAATTCTTATAACTTCATCTTAGCTACAGAAGACAAGAAGGAAACATGATACAACTCAACATAGCAAAATCTTTTTTTGATTAGAGTGGGAAATTTGGAGAAATGTCGACTTTTCTGTCTCTGTTGTATCGCTGGCATTCGCAAGTGTTCTTCTTTATGGCGCAATTACGGTTAGTTTACACAAAACAGAAATGAAATAACATATTTATGAAACATCAATGTCATCATGAGTATAATGAGAACGTGTTTATTTTACTTCATCAAGGAATTTAAAATGTTTCTTCTCCTATGGATGATATGGAATGTCATCTTAGCAGCATTTTGGACCGTGTTTCTAGCATTGAAACAGGACGAAGTACGTATCGAAGATGAAGCAATTGAAAATACATGAAATCATTTGTGAATACGAACTAACATTATTCTTCACTTTTTAACAGCTTGTTGAATGGGAGAAGACATTCCGTATTGTGGCGATTATCGTAATGGTATGTTGACGTCGAACATGTTAAACATTTTAAATTATCTCACGCAACCTTGCTTCCACTCAGTAAAACGTTTAAATGGTTATTTCTAAAGTTATTTTTAACCAACTTTTTTTATTTGTCATATGTAGGCGTTAGCTGAATTGCCCGTCATCAACTATTATATTTTTCTTCGAGTCGAACACAAAGATGGCGACAAATCTGATTTATCTTGGGTTGAATCAAAAAATGAAGAAGTATGTGCCAATACCATACTTAATAATTTCTAGGCTAACGACATTTTTGTTAAAAGTATCGAAAATCAAGAAGCATTATCTAGCTAACATTTCAAACAAGAACCATTTATGATTTATCGTAAAGATGTTGCATTAAATCTTAAGCAGAGTGTTCATCGAATGCATGAAACAAAATGACAGAGCTTATGTGTGCCTCCTTTTTTAAAGCCTTCAAACCAAATTAACTTTTAAACACTCCAAATCGACGCTCGGTCCATAATGTACAAAGAAACCGTCGCTGAAAAACACGGACCCACAGACCCAACACTTATGAATAAAAATGATAAGTTTACATTTTCTCCTACAGATGTACCAAAGCTTGAAGGAAAACCGTTCGTTTGTTTCACTAAACTCCATGTTTATTGGCGACCTGAACCAAAGTGGCAGTCAAAACAAAGCTTATCAATCTGATTCGGGAAGAGAGTCGATGACTGATTCATCATCGTTGGAGGAAGCTGTGGAGATGAAACAAGATGAAAACGATGGTAGCGATGACAAGAATGAACATGATACAAATGACGACGTCAATTCTGAGACAAGTTTTGAGATTTCTGTTGTCGTACATAAAGAAGAAACAATCTCGGCTCCGGGGTATGGGAATGATTCCGAACGTGATGTAGAAGTTGGCAATACAGACAACAATGAAGATACAAGTCAACAATCGATGTCAACAAAGACAGACCAACAAGAAGCGACTTCACAACAAGAAGCGACTTCACAACAAGAAGCGACTTCCCAACAAGAAGCGTCTTCACAACAAGAAACGGCTTCACAACAAGAAACAGCCGTGAGTCTTGACAACAACGAAACAGAATTATCCAGCAATAAAACAGAAAATAACGACGAAAGCAACTCGCCAAACGAAAAGATTTGAAATCAACACGAAGAGGAAATTACCAAAGCAGCAGATAACATGACGAACACAAACAAGAAATACAACCTCACTCTCCAAATTTAACCTTCATATTAGAAAAATAGTTCGAGATAAGAAGCTCATTAGTGCTGCTGTGATAGAATGTAGAAATTCTAGAGAATTATCTCAAACAGAACCTTACTGAACGTTGTAGTAGTATAATCATGAATTGTACATTAGCATAAATTAATTTATATATAATTATTGTAAATATATTCATTTTCAATTAAAGGTGTGAACAACACAAATTATTTCCATTACTCCTCTTAGCAAAGAAACCATCAGACCCGGAAAATGAAATCTTCAGAATATTTGGTAATCCACTAGTATTGCATAGTCAAGTTATTTACATTAATGCAATGGTATAAATGATATAGTTCCTGTAACATGTTATACAAAAGTTTGTGATGAAAAGATACGGGAGTAGGTAGGTAATTAAAATAAACAGAAAAGTTTATTTGCAGTCAAAGGAATCACCTTCCTTCTCGCAACCTCTCAGGTAAAAGGCTGAAACCAGTGTTGCCAAACTGTATGCAAATTTTATAATAAATTTGGTTTGTTGAACTAAACCTCATCCACCAGCTTTAGACAGTTGCAAAGTTCAGAACAGGGGGGGGGAGTGTTTAAGCACATTCAAACTAATCTTGTAAAAAATACACATATGATCACACTAGCTGAGGCGCTTGCTGAGTCGCTGAAGTTATATAAAGGTATTTAAAAAAAACTATGTCAACGCTTAAGACCTTTTTTAAAATATAATGATGCGCACGTGTTGTCGTACTGGACTTTGCTTTTCTCTTTATGTTGGGCCCGGAAACACAATTAATTTAACAATATTAAAACTTACTTACAAGTTGAAGGACCAGCAGTAGATTTACTGCGCCATTAACACGTGTTCACAGTGAAATCCAACAACGAACTCGTAAAAATTCCAATGTTTTAATCCATAAAATACAACATTATTAGCTTAACTCGTTTAACCTTTGGTACTGCCAGCAATTGAGTCGTTTTCGACCACCTCTTTTGAGAATTTCCTGCATTTTATCCACAATTAAAGGAGGAATACCGGCGGTACGAAAGTTTTTCGCAAGTTTCAAAAAATAAATTTCCCGGACGAAGCCTACGCCCAGGCTCCACGCATCGACAAGGCAACCCGCAATTTATGCAAATTACTGCTGAAAGATGCGTTGAAAACAACGTTTATTCAATCACATATTATATGCTACATTTGAACATGATAGTAACTATAATACATTCAAAATGGTTACGTATATTTTGAATAATTTAATCCACTATACAAAACAACTTATTCATATTGAAAATTATGTGACATACGTAGATGTTGATATCATTTATTGTGCTACAGAACAAAACTACTTATTTCTAACATGACTCTTAGAGCCACTTGAACTCTGCACCTTATCCATAATTTCTTTTTCACTGATATCAGCGTGGCGATTTGCAAATATCGTCACATGAGCAGGCTGAAGGACAAGTCAAGGATTAAATTTCAACATTAAGTATTTAAAAATCTATCAAGATGCATTTTAAACTATGCTAAAATATTCAATGAAGCAAGGATACATGAAATATTTTCTCCAAGTCTGCTTTGTGTGTGCTTATTCTTGCCTTAACCATTGGTTTTACATTGTCACCAACCCATTGAATGTACACAAACTTAACTGTCGATATATCATCCACAACATCAGTCTGAGAAATTACAAATTCAATTCAATAAACATTTGATTAAACTTTATAAAATCATATGCCAGTATGCTCACACACATACACTACTAAGTGAGGTTTTAAAATAAGCTCAAAATTATTCGTAGACAGCATTTCACTCCACTGAATGCTTAATTTGAAATATTTTGGAGAAAACCCTACCCTAGCTGGAGAAAAGACTTTGCCAGTGATTACAGAGAGCAAGATTTTTAAGTTGCACTCAGTTAGTGTGAGTGCGAGCAAGCTTTTAGAATACCAGTGATAGTATTTTTTTTTCAACTTACAACTCTACATAGTGCATAGGCCACAATATCATTGGTCAACACTTCTATAATTCCATGTATACCATTATCTCCTGTCCCATGACAAACTAAAGGTGATTTAGGGTTACCATCTTGGTAAACAGCAACAAACCTTTAATTAAAGTATAAAAACTATACAATATCAAGAAGATATACTTGTTTGCTATTCTTAGTAACTTACCAGTTTGTATTGGATGAATCAGAGCGTACATCAGCCACTGCGTCAGTTATGGAATCATCAAAGTTCAAAGATGCTAAAAGAAAATTATTGTGCAACAGTGGGTACCAAATATCTTTTGGAATTGACCAGATGAAGTCAATCAACATACCACCACTCTTTCCCTGAACTCCCACAAATCCGGAAGTGACCTTCTTCTTGGTATTGCCAGTTTCATAACCAGTAAAGCCACGATCATAAGCCTTAACAAAAACTGAATTAAAAACTAATCAATAAACATGTATCTACGAAATGATGAAAAGACAAACCTTTCTCTCCGTAGCTTGATTCTTATCTAAAACTTTGTTTTTTGTAAAACTAACATAAGAATTAAAAAAAAGATACATATATTTAAATACAAATGACTGACAATGCTTTGAAGACAATGTTGCAAACCTGTTCTCTTCCACTTTGTTCATCAATAATTCATGATCTAATTCTGATCGATTTTCAGCCTCAATAAAAATATGATGTGGCTAAAAAAAGAAAATAATCTTAAAATCCTAATGACATTACAACAGAACATACATTATTGAGGGTATGAACTAAAATGAAACTCTTAAAATTACAATAAAAAAACTCTTCTCTTCTCACATGAAATCTTTTTTCAATGCTCCCATGGACTACACCATATTTACCACGTTTTGTAAAAGGAACCTCCTTTCCATTCCAACGAATGTAGATAAATTTCACCGTAACACTTTGATCAACAGGTAGTTCAAGGCGAACTGTAAAAAAGTTCATGGTATGATCCAATGTTATCCCTCATAAACAAAGTAATAAATCAACTTATATCCTACAATATCCATACCTAACCCATACATGACTTTATTATCTTCTAAAAATCCTTTCATTTCCTCAACACCGTTGTTTCCTGATGCTAAATAGGCAATAAGGGATGGGTTTCCATCGGCATGATGGGCCAAAACCCTAAAAATGAAATGTACAAATGGAAAGTTACTTCTACAACCACCTTTTTTTTGATGCTGGATGTTTGTAGAATTTCCCTTCATAACTGTATCAAATGACTAAGACAATGCTCAAAGCCTTAATTGCACTTTGACATGGATATTTGTATGCAAACAGCTCATTAACTTTCACAAAAGATGAAGAGGTTACATGCAAAGAAACTGCAAATAACAACTGTTCATCAAATATGTAAAAAGACGTTAAATGGACAAATCAATATAAACAAACAAATCGAATTTATCTCATGTAATCGACTGAATACAGTATACTTAAATATGGAAAATATTACAATGAATTAGAATCTAATTAAATGTTCCATTTATAAAATTTTCTAGACAAACTAACTGAAAAGAGCCTGCACATATATATTTACATTGACTCAGCTGTATGCCTGAAGCCAAAACTTCATAGTTACACAAATCATGTTAAGTCATATGCTTCCAACATTACGATAAACTATGCGAGACAATTAAACTGTATCGATTTTGAAACTTACCAATTTTTATCACAAGAATCTGAGCGACAATCTAAAAGCGCTTTCACGAAATCGTCTTCATTCTGAAATACTGCTTCTGTTGACATATTTCTTGGTATATTATTCGTACAAAATAAAGGTTAAAAGATTTTCGGCTACTTATAACAATAAACAACTCCTATTACTGGGAAAACCATCTGTTATAAAAATCAATAATTAATTTGCATTTGTTCAATACTGAAGTGGTGTTGAAGAATTTACCCAGCCCAAAAATAATTTCACGGGAGTAAGCGTCATTTCCGGTGAGAACAGCATCCCAAATATGGAATTAATGAAGGAGCAGACAGGAGAGTTGGTGAATACGTATGCAATAGCAATGAGGCTATTTCTATGAGCCGGGACAACTAGCCAGTGACCAGTCACTATGGCCCAATGCTAAAGACGGGTACCAGAAATTCGCCCTGGCTGCTCTAGACTTGCCCTAATGACCTAAACCATTTTCCCGATGACAGACAGAGGAACCACTGACCTTTTCATAGATTATGTCACAATTGGATTTGTTTTTTGATTGATATTATTGATTAGGATTAACTACGACTAGCAATGACTCAGTTCATTAGTTCATACGATAAATTTGAAAAAAAAATTGTTTAAGATACACCCATAAGCGCGTTCAATATCAGACTCTTGCCTGATTAAAGAAATATATACTCTCGGAGACGTAATTTCTACCAATACAGCCACAACATTCTATTTTCCAGTACGATTTGCAAGCTTCCTCAGGCGCATCCTTGACGTTACGTCATCTTTCTAATCTATCATATAGTATCGTCATATACAACACTGTCCCAACACCGCCGATAAGCCAAGTCTTTAAATATAACGATCTGCCATATTTGGTAGCCAGAAACGGTAACAAAATACTCGCCCAAAACACCGTCCATGGTAATGTTTGTGACAAAGGTACTTTCTGTCTTTTCTGTTTGCCAGGAAATCGTCCACGAATAGTATCATCTTCCGAGTAGAACTTGGATAATAATCTAACAATGATGAACAACAATGGATAATAGTTATGGATCATGATGGATGGTAATGGATTGATTATTGAAAAAAGCAATGAAAATCTTCAAAAAAGATTAATGATAATGTGACAAATCGTCACTACAAGGAGAACTGCTCAACGAAACAAATAACTTAACGTTGAAAAATCACAGATGATTAATGTGGAAAAACTTTTTCTTGATAAAGCATCCTTAACTGAGCCTTGATTAATGAAACTGAGCCTTGATTTAACGAAGGCAATAACGGCAAACTAATGTTACTACTTAACATGAAGATACAAGGTTCATAATTACCTGTCTTTCAAATGAAATGCTTCATATATCCATTTCTTACGTTCCTCGCAATTCTAAATATAAATGGATAATTTTTCCACAATTTCGTGATAGCACAATGGTTATAAGACATTCCGCTTTATCACTATAACATATTATCATGTAAACTTCCTGTATTTATTCACTTCGCACTGAAGATGGCATAAAGTATGCCGAAACATGTTTGCTATGAAGAAATTTGTCGTTTATTTTAAATGTCTTAAAACAATTGTTATGCCTATTGAGTTTATATCTATCTATGATCGACGAGAATCATACCTGTGGAATTTCAGCGATGGAAATTCGTCTTACGTGAATATGTATTTCAGGATGACGGAGAGAAAAGTATTCTAGCAAAAAAAAATGCAAGGAGTGACGCACAGCATAATTGATACAACACATAAAAATAACGTTCCTTTCTAATTGGCCAAACTTGATGTGCACAATCGTGACAGTTTAAGGGAAAGAAAGAAACAATGAACCATATGTTATTTACTACTCATGTTTTAAACCCCAAGAACACGAATTGTTTCAGCAGATAACAGTGCTAATATGAATCTTTTCTCTACGAGTTAATCTCGTTCAATAGTTGTGTACCGTGCAATTCTTTAGCTTTTCTTCGAGGTAAAACGTCTTCATTTGCTTCTTTATAGGCTACTGTGAGATCATAAACAGCATCGATATGATCTGATAACGTCTCCAACGCAATCTATTCCAACAATAGAAAATATACCAAAAGAAACATCGTTACAATGGCGTATTTCTTTTGAACTCTTTCAGTAGATTATGAACCTCGGTTGCTTTGGTTTTTGGTGTCAAAACGTGATTCAATGGTGGCAGACCTGAAAAACAATAAAATTCCTTCATTATTTGATTTTTAAACACGCTTTATTTATATTTCAACGTACTTTTCTTCAAGGCGTAATCATGACTACGCGTCAATTGCCCTGGTACTGCCAGGTTAAATCTTGTCCCTTCAGGAAATATAACAAGCCAGACCTTAAAATTAAAAAAAAATTTCACTTGACAGGAAAAGCAATGGAAGAACAAAAACCTTGCAAAAATTTGCTGTCATAAATGAGAGAGGGAGTTATCAAAAACGTACTGGTGTTTTGTTATCTTTAAATTGTTTCATCTTTCTAAAAAGAACAATAGAACTTTTAAATTCAGGAGTAATGTTGATTATGAGGGGAGTTTTTTTTTTGCAAACGTCTGCTATTCAACCTTTCCAAGTGAATCAAATCATGTGAAGAATTCCTCTTTACAAAGATGGAACCTTGCTATAAGAAAATGGAAGTAAATCATTAATAAGAAATGCCTAAAACTAAGCAGCCAACTAACCTGAGGAAAGTAAAAGCCATAAAAAGGCAGGTACTTTAAACTGTCTTTTAAAACATATCGAATCGATCCTAGACTTCCTTGTCTTATGGCTATTAAAGTTGCGACAACCCAGTCAACTGGAACAGAAAAATTACCACATTTTACACAATGCATGACATGACAACCTCAAACATTTAAAGGGGAACTCCATTCTCCCATTAATTTTGCTTTAAGACTTTGTCTGTCCCGTAGAAATAAATATACAGCAATTTTTTGTTTGTTTGGTTCAATATTTTCACAAAAATGAGTTGAAATGCTGTAGCTAGGGCATCCAGTGCATCGAAAAAGAAATATGTCAGTGGCTTGTATTTGACATCATATCATCAATTGCTCCTTAAAGCTTTATGTAAAGTCATTGCACAGTCATGACAAACTTGCATCAAAATGCTTCTCCTAATCACAAAATGTTTCTTTTCGAAACGTCAGAATTCTTTATTCATAGGTATATACACAAGCAACTTTTATAGCTTACATACAAGTATTGAGCTGGTTATTTGTCTTAAATGCATGCAGAGCTACATGGATGGCTGTCACTGTATGAATACCTGTGCTTTGGTGATTACTTATATACAGCACATTTTCTTTCTTGTAGAAAGGAATTTCGTCGCCATAGAATATTACCTAATGAAAATAAAACAATTGAAAGTTAATTGGGATAAGTGCTAAGAAATATTAGCCAGCGAATTCTTATTATATTCTTGAAGAAAAATGTCAAAGAAAGAGGTTTCAGGAGTCAAATAAACTGGCTGGTTAGGCTGCTGTGCGGGACATCAACGTCATTTTACTAACCTCAGTTCCAGCGTAATTTTCAAAGAAAAATACGACAATTCTGAAGTACATATCTTTCATTATATTGTGTACATAATCGTACACATATCTTGGTAATATGGATGATGCAACTCGCCATATTGACCATGTAATAAAATAGTTTGGAGCAATGCTTGTCGACAATACTATAGGAACGAATGCTCGCAAAGGAACCGAATGTTGCAGCAATGAATTCATTATTTATAGACCGTTTGGTTTTCCATGTAAAAGACGCAATTGTTGAATAAAAATAAGCTTTGTTTTTCATTCATTGTCGATGTTATGACTACATTCACCCGATTCGATAATTATGCTTCGGGCGACATATTAATGTGATTAATGTCGATTATTAAAATTATTGATGACAAATGTAACAAACACAAACTGATACAAAAGAACGTCATGCGAGGTCACATTTCAACTTATGACGTCATAAATATAAAATATTCTGAAATAGCGCTGTAATCATTTTGTTAGTTTTAACAAAAAATCTTCACATAAAATCATCAGAATCTGATCCACCATCCTAAAAAACAAAATTACACTTCATATATACGTAAGAGAATGGCAAAATTTAAGTGCAGGAAAAGACATACTAGATTTAGGCTGTGTTATTTCACAATGAAATATAAAATGTTTATCAATTTTACCAGATTTGATTTCATATTTTCTTCTTTCATGAGATGAGAATAACTCCTATTTTCAAAAAATATTTTTATTAGTGTCTTTGAATGTTACTAATATCCCGACATCAAGCCCTAACATCACCTCACTTCTGCTTCAGCTGCTCGTTTTCTTTCCTCTTCTTTTTCTTTACGTCTCTAACATAATGAATAATAATCTGTAGTATGGCGTAAATAAACACATAACATATGGTAATTCTAGAGCAAATCAATGTTATCATTAACTTGACCGTACTTTTTCTTGAATTTCCTTGTGTCTGCCATCTCTCTCCTCTTGATCGCGTTTTTCTCTCTCCGACCTCAAGTCTGGAAATTTTTCTGTTTTTGTCTTGTTTAGACGATTAACAATCTCGTTGATTCTTTTTTCGACAGACATTACATGGACCTAAGGTAATTATGCATAAAAGAAAGCCTGATCATAAATAAAATATGATTTTAACAAGTGCATTCACATCATTTGTTTGAAACTTAGATTATAGTGCATCACTGTTACCTGTTTCTGTTTATGAAATCCAACTTGTCCCACGTCCATATCATTTGTCTTTTTCAAGTTTTCCCAAAGTGTGTAGACTACACTGACATTGTTTTTCTTATTTCCTGCATAAAAATCATAGAAAAAAGTTGAAATCTCTTTCTAAAACCAGGTTATGTCAATATGTCATCACCAAACCTTGAATGCTGTTGGCTTTCACTAGTTGAGCACAATCATCTAACACAGATGTTGGGATATCTTCTATAGCCTGTCCCTGAGAATACAGAATGTTAAAAAGGTCTTATATGCTAATGATTTTGAAGGATAAATGACATTTTACCTTAGGAAGTCTTAAATAAACATGAGCTGAAGACATTTTGTCAACATGAAACCTGTTAAACAAAATCTATCATCACTAAAGTATGTTATAACTGTTGTACATTATATTTTTTACAAATTTTCTAGATTACCAGACATCTTCTGGCCAGCCGTATTTGATAAGATCTTCATCTACAAACAACATGCCGATTCAAGAATATTCTATCGTGCAAAACAATTTCATACTTTAAAGTTAAAGAACAGTACATCCCTTTCTACGCAATTTAATTACTTACTTTCAAACTTGTCCACTCCCATGTATATTGTGTAAGGTGGAGATACAACTAAAAGAAGATTGAAGTCTTGAAGTTGATGATTCACTTCATTCAAGTTTACATTTCATTTTACCGAAAAACACCTGACTTTTTATGATGACGTATTATATAACGAAATTTTACTTTATTTACTTTTGCATGCCCACTCACATATACCTGCACTCGTAAAATAAAACACCATTCTCGTAAAATATAGTTTTATTACATGTTTACAAGAAAATTCAAAACTTCCACCATATTGTTTTCGTTACCAGTCTTCACTTGCAAAGTGACATCACCACAATCACAGCTCCGTTGGAGATATTGCAATTATGTTACCATGGTAATTTAGCGTCCTGTTGCTAAGCACCGGTAAGCAGACAAAACTTAATACCAACAAGGACTTCATTCATTTACCAACAACGGTTATTGGCATTACTTCGTAAAAATACAAAAACAAGAAATACAGAAATGGCTACGACAACACAAAACACGGATAAATTTCCACCAAGATACAGTATGTCCGATTGGCATCAATCAAACGTCTTGGTTCGCACAACAGCTCAAAGATTGCGCGATTCTTCTCACCGTATCCGACAAGAAGGTCGTTGGCTAAGAAATGAAAGCGATAATCACACAAGATGGACTCAACACGACAGCGATACTCGTATGGAAGAAAGAATAGACGATGTGAACACCTGGAAGAAAGCGCTTGAAAAATGCCTCAACGATACAGACGAAGAAATTCGATGCTTGGAACGTGAAAAAGAACGATGTGAACGCGCTTTGGAAGCAAAGAAGGTTCCGTTGGACATTGCATTAGAATGTTTAATGCTACGAGAGCAGAGAATCGGAATTGACCTTGTCAGGGATCCTGTAGAAGCTAACTTAGGAAAGGTAAATTACATATAAGGTCTTGGAGTTTGCAGAAATCATATATTGTTTATAATTGATAATAGGAATGTCAAGGCGGCCTTTAATAGAGCTTAGATAAGATTAAAACACTTATTAATGTCTGGGTTTCAAGCTGCGATGCATCATCTTTGTGATTAGGCTAATAATTGAACCCATGCGTGAAAAATAACCGTAACTAACATTAAATAATTTGTGATAAAATTTTTAGGCAGATGTTTACAAAAGTGCAGGTGTTATGAATTTTTTTTATTATTCCGTATTAGCTATGCTTCAAAAGGTCGACATGAATTATTTAATTTTTTTTAATACTTCGTCATCTGTTTCAATGCGTTAACTTGTTGACTGAGTCCACTCTGAAAACTGTCAACATTATTTAATAAAGCCCGTTTTGAATCTCCAACGGATTCAACCCTCACCCCAACTATTTACAACTTTTCAAATTACACGCGATTTGGTTGGCAACAAGGCTCCAAACTTTCACGAAAAGAGCAATCAACCACTTTAAATCAAAAGAGAGTTCTCCATTTTGTGTACATAATGATGTTTTAGGTTAACACAGGCAAGAAAACAAATCCTCGAAGATAAAGCGCCATATTTACGTTTCCTCGGAAACGTAAATTCCTGTTTGTCCTTAATATCATACATTAACATTGTTGAAAATAAAACCATTTTTCCACTGTAATTTTTTTTCATATATAAACCACCTTTTCTTTTCTCAAACATTAAAGGAAGTTGAGGTAATCGAGGGATGTAAAGCACTACTTCAACAGAAGATCAATGAAGCTTCAGAACAATTGTGGTAAGCGTTAGGAACCGTATAAAAGCTGTTCTCTTTGTGACTTCCTCTAGGTATTCGAGAACCATGACGAACAACACCTAAGACTTAAAAAAGAGAAGGAGAGATAATAAACCTGTTTTTAACTCCTTTATGCATATAAATAAAGTTGATCCAAGTCTATTTTTATGTTTTTCTAAAAATGATGGTGATCGAGATCATTGAAATGGAAACAAGGGAAAATTGATGAAGATGCTAAAATTATGTTTAATTTGAAAAAATTTTCTTCTTTCTTTCTAGTTTACTTCAAGAAGCTCGTCAGCAGGTGTTCCGCGACCTTACTGATAAAAACATCGCGTTTGATATAGACGGTGAATGCTTAACTTTAAGTAACAGCTCAGCCAACATCTGTTTCCATCCCGATCCAACTAGAACTGTGAAGGGAAGCGTTACACCTGAGACCTGGGACCAATTCTCCAATTACAACAAACTGCGAGCTGAGGCAGAGATGCAGTCATCACAACGACTGCGAGAGGCCATTTTTACCACAATACAGAAAACGGCAAACGACTTAGAAGCACAAAGACAGGCAACGGAATTCAGTTACAGAAAACGTATTCATGAAACGGAACAAACAAAAAACGAACTGGAATGGCAACAGAAAACGTAAGTTGTTTGAGTGAAGTTGTCAATTGATGAATTGTTTATATTGTACACTTTTCATCTACAACTCCAGACCAAGCAAGAAATTGAAACTCTCGAAGGTGATATACTGCAAATAAAACAAGCCATTGAAGCGAAAAAAGCACCAATGATGGTAACTATGGAACAAATCTTCTTCACTCCTTCGACACTAAGACAAGTGAGATAGCTACTTAGTAAACTAACTTCACCCTTCCTCATTTAGGTTGCCCAAACAAGACTGGAAAACCGCACATATCGCCCTAACGTTGAGCTTTGTCGCGATGCAGCACAATACCAACTTTGTCACGAAGTTCGTGAGATTGAGGGAACAGTGAAGGCTCTCGTTGAGAAATTACAAGAAGCACAGAATGCTCACAATTCTCTGACTGACAACCTTCGACATATAGAAGATGACCTGGGCGTTAAGGTGGGTTGAAGCGTCAAGATAAGCCGGCATACGGAAATTGAAACTAATCCCGTCAACCACAAACACAAAGCAAGACGAGGAGATAAAATAGTTAGAGCATTAGCTACCATAGAATCATTACTGCATTCGTGCTTCTAGACACGCCTTGAAATTTCAATGATTGCAAAGCTTTTATTTATTTGCAGGTCAATTCACTGACATTGGACAACAGATGCATGAGTTCACGACAGAAGTTAAAGGAGACCCCACAAGATATGACACGCATGGAACTTTTTACGCCATTGAAAACCGAAGGTCATTTAAACCATAAACCAGCCACACCCATGACAACCACGGTGGATACCGCTGCCCAAGAGAATGCAGTGACGGGTCCAATGACAGTGACGGGTCCAATGACAGTGACGGGCCCAATGACAGTGACGGGTCCAATGACAATGACGGGTCCAATGACAATGACGGGTCCAATGACAGCGCCAGGGATGACTCCACAAAGTAATATAAATAGAACACCATTGCTGACAAACTAACTTTTATTAGCGGGAATTTTGAAGAGTGAAGACTGACAAGATGCTCAGTTAAAACTTTAAGTCCACATTTACTCCTAGTAGCCTCAATAGATTAATCATGGATAAATGGTATTTAATATCAGAATATAAGCATTTAATACGTATGCAGAATTTACTATCTGAAAGAAATGATTTTGTTTTTTACTACTGTGTGCATCAGTGAAGTTTAATCAATATGCTTTATGGTTCCTTCTTTTCAGGCTTTTATCAATGTTAGGCTGATATGCTGGGAAACATGGGTATTTCTGAAGGGTGGAAAGAATTTCAAAATAAAATCAGTAGACGCTATTTGATTTTCAAATTACCTTTAAATAGTGCGAGTTTATACAGGTTTATGCATTTTCTGTCGACACTCGTGTATTATCATTAGAATCGCAAGAATTACGAAATAACTTTACACAACACAAACAACAAAAGCATTCTGAAGTTTCCGAAACAAAACCAGCCCGTTGCGCGATAAATGTCTGACTGGAAGCTATGTATCACGCGATTTGAGGATGCGCCCTCAATTAGAATGACCGCAATAGTGCCCACGTGTGATCAAATACTGAAAATGATTAATCATAATCAGCTAATACGGCAGAGTACAAACGGTCAATTAAATACGACATTTCATGGGATCCTATATTATTCCACAAGATCCTCCGAAGATGGAACATGGATCCTACATTATTCCACAAGATCCTCTGAAGGTGGTACATACGTAAAGCCCAAAAACGCATCATCAGGATCGCCAACGCTGCAGCAAATATTCGAATTTTGTGATTTTCCAACAGAAGCTGAAATGTAACGCAAAACAATTTTATACACGTCAAGCGTTATTACTGTATGGTTACTAAAACCATAACTACTATGATTATATTATTCACCAATCATATTAAATAAAGTAAATGCTTCTACATTTAGAGGTATTCAGGGCAGAGGAATTCGCATCTCATCTAGTCCTGATTAGAGGGATGCAGGAAGGGGGAAATCCTGCTGCATGTACGTATCAAACAATCAAGCAAAGTAATAGCGAATAATGTTTAATGGGGTACAGCTTCAAAAATCTTTTAATCTCAATAATAATGTACCATAAGAGCACCCACCCACCCCTCCCTACTAATCTATCCTATCGTGAATCTATCACTGGCGGAATTACTTAAATTCATGTCTCTATCTTAAAGATGAGCACGATCACTTTACAATGACAAAATAAGACTATCAACTACCAGAATCCTTTTCTAAAACGACAGTAAATTGTACAAGACCAACAAATAGTTGCCGCAACTCATTCCCCTCGTGCTAAAAGATACTTAAAGACAGCTACAACTCACGTGGTACTGGCTCGCGAACAAATTCTGGATCGAAATGTTTTAAATCCATATGACCACTCTGAAAATACATAGTAAGTCGTCAGTAATACTTTTCCATTTCTCAAACACACTTAAATATGGGTGATTAACTTGTCATTAAGATACTACTGTAATCCTTTCCTAAAGTTATATGAAATTTACTCATTAAAACGAAAAAGTTTTTTACCGTATATTTGATAATGAAAACAACAAGTTCAACGTTTGTAGCAACGTGTTTTTAATTTTAAAATATGCGAGAAGTACCATCTTACCACGTTTGGATTATAAGGCGGTTCAATATTCTTGTTGTACAATGCGTCCCAGTCTATGGTTCTGAAGAAGGAATGGTTCTTTATTTCCTCCTAAAATGAGATAAAAAAAGAAAAATTAAAAAACTCCTAAAACATAGTTGTACATCTCGTTCAACATTAGCTATATGACCACTTACAAAGTCTCCATCGAGCGCTCCAAGGCGTTTGGCGCGATCTTTCTGCAACAACTATAACATGTTTGTAAAAGAAAAATACTAGAAATGCTTTTCGAAACTTCATCTACAGCACGCTCATGCAATAATAAAGAGTCCTGTAAGTGTTAGGTATTTTGCAACAAGATAAAAATACCAAAATAAAACTTACTCCTTCCAATAAAGATCTCGCGCTTTGTGAAATGTTCGTTCGTAATCGTAAAGGTTTGTATAAAATATTGTCGTACATTTCTGCTGTATCTCTGCTGTAGAATGGTGGCTAAAAAACATGGAAAATCTTCAATTAATAAACATTTCATAACAACTTGATAATCTTTACATCAGTTACAAAAATTTAGAGGTAAAAACACAAACATCTCTCAGTATGAGGTTACGAAGATTACATACAATATACTTGCCAAACCATACATAAATTTTTAAGCAAAAATGCCTCAGTATGTAGGGGTATAATGAGGTAAGTATTGATCACAAAGACTATACACAATATACTTACCAAACCATACATAAATTTATAAGCTAAAAATACCTCAGTATGTAGGGGTATAATGAGGTAAGTATTGACCACATAGACTAGACAATATACTTACCAAACCATACATCATTTCATACGTAACAGCTCCAAGACACCACCAGTCGACAGATTTATCATATTCTTGTTTCTTTAATACTTCAGGTGCCAAGTACTTTAGTTAAAGAAAAACAGAAATTAAACCATTGAAGATAATTTTCAGTCTTGCAGAACTCAATATTTAAAAATGAGTTTTATGGTAATGCTTTGCGAGCTTGTGTTTACATTTGTCAATGAAAGTCTGCCATGGAATACAGAGTTGCATAACTAATTAACTACATACAATATTGCAAAAAAATGTCAGAATTTAGATAAGTTCCAGACATGACTGTATCACATTTAGAAAAGGAAGACCATTTAAACTATTACAGATCAGCAACTCAACAACCTGATCATGGAGAACAGGCTATAGTGCAAAGTGCTACAAACCAACTTGACCCACATACAAGCTTTAGTACATCAATTGACAAACAAGCTCAAGGATTGTTTTCTGGCAAATCAAACATGAGTACATCTTTATTTCATTCAATGCTTGTTGTTTCTTTTTTATTTCTTGACTGAATGTTGATTTACCTAACTTTGTAGTAGAAATAAACATATTGCTACATTGACAATATTTTAGGGTGCCCAGAAAATGGCTTCCTGTGCATTGCTAAGCATGCAAAGCATTACAGTAAAACTCATTCTTTAAAATGAAATTATTCGATATTAAACTTACCTCCGGTGTTCCACAAAATGTCGATGTTGTACCATAGTCTTCAATTCCTTCTTTGCAAAGTCCAAAATCGGTCAGTACAACATGACCCTAAATTTTATGTGTTGTTCAGTTTATTGAAATGAATATTATCACAAGGAAGTACAATATAACATAATGAGTCAAAATCAAATAAACACCAATACCTTCTGATCTAACAAAATATTTTCAGGTTTTAAATCCCTATAAAATAAAACACATATATATGGTACAATGATGAAGAGAAACTATTTCATCCAACCTAAAAACTATGTTAAACAATAGATACATGAAGTATCTATTGATGGACACCTTAAACAGTTACCTGTATATTATTTGTAATGAATGAAGATAGCCAATGGCAGATGCTATTTCAGCTGCATAGAATTTCGCCCTAAATGAAGTATTTGCCAACTTAGAGGTGATAATTTAAACAATATTCTAATGTAGCGTGGATACAAACCTTGATTCTGGAAAATATCTTTCTCTTTGAAGATGAAAAAACAACTAAAATACCAAAGAAAGAACATGTTTACGACAAGAATCCAAAAAATTGATGCACAAACTGTAACCCACCTCACCACCGTTGACATAATCAAGGACAAAATAAAGTTTATCGTGTGTTTGAAATGAGTAATGAAGACCCTGTCAAGAAATCACATCATTCATCAACATACATGAATGCCTTAATAAATGACAAAAATCTTTATGAACTGATTATTACCACAAGAAATGGATGAGAAAGATTCTTTAAAAGTACATTTCTCTCTGCCATGATGTGTTTTGCCTGTCAAAAGAAAGCAATGTTTTGAATACACGTACAATCATATCCATTAACAATCCATTAAAACAAGCAAGACCCTGCAGTTGCAGTTCTATCCTTGATAACTTAATTACCTCATTTCGCTTTCTTATGGCAGCCTTTTTCAACACTTTTACAGCGTAGAACTTATCTTCTTGTTTATGCTTTGCTAAGTAAACCTGGCAGAAAATAACATAATAATTATTGCCTACTTTTATTCCATAAAATTCAACAAACTACATGTATGACTATTTATACCTTTCCAAAGCTTCCCTTTCCGATAACTTTTAAGAAGTCAAAATCATTTGGTTTAGCTCTAATTTGAAAAGAAAATATTTTGAAATATATAAAATTGAACAGCAAGAACGTGGGATGAAACAAATATGTACTATTTTTATCAGTCTAACATGCAGCATAGTAAAATAACATATCACATTATAAGGTTTACACATAAATTAATCACAGATGTATTTATAAAAGCTACAAGAAGTAAATACTTGGGGTTCATTGTTCCTGCAAGGTCCATCTTTTCCATATCTTTTGCCTATAGGGTAAGACGAGACCATTGACAGGAGTCACGGCATTAATCATGAACTGCTATAATTTTAATCAACTTACCAAGTATTCTGAGTTTTCGTTACCAACACCATTGCTTTCGTGTTCATTATCATCGTCATGAACCGAAGCATTACGAGGATTGTCAATGGACAGAAACTCACGAACAAGTGTACTGGAAAGAAAATCATAGAGGAGTATAATTAAGCATTGATGTTAGCAAGATAAGTTAAGACCAGAAAGAAGTTAACCCCTTTCTAACAAGGAAACTTACTGCTCAGTAATGTTTGGAATTGCCAGTAGCTTGGTAACAAAATCATTAAGGCCTTCTCTTCTTGCACGAATGAACTCTGTAATGTAAAATTTTAATAGAACACCATTAAAATACAGATGTGGAAACAAAGAAATGAGCTTAAAATTTACCAGGATCAAAATTATTGCCCAAAATGCGTTTACTAGGCAACTTGAAGTGCAACTCTGGATACTTCTTTTTAACTGAAATGTTTAATAAACATGATTGTATTAAGGACAGTTCTAAATTCAATAATAATACAACAATAGTTCACATACTTTTTCATAAAGATTGTGGAATTCATTATAACGACGAAAAATAAACCAAGTCTTGTTGCCAACTTGTACAACGAGCTTATAGACCTAAATTAATGCAGTTACGAAATAGTGAGAGCACGTGTAATGGCTAACCATAGAGGCATGTTAGAACTACGCCAAGCAGTAGAAATGCAACAAGTTCGAGGATGTCCTTGCTGTTTGCAGCATTGACCTTTTGTCATAGAATAGAAAAATAAAACACTTGTATTACGTAAGAACAATTTTATGTTGTTCACGTAAGAAATACACAAAGTTGTGAATGCTTCGTTTTGAAATGTGCTTGCAACAAAAACCTTTGTTAAGCTTTGGTCAAAACAGGACATAATTAGTGAAATATTAATTTGTTTTTGTCGTTTGAAGTAGCAAACCAGACAAAGTTTCATCAAATCTGAAAGGAAACAATGCTACAAATGAAGGAAAAGGAGAAATAGCAATAAAAGCAATGGCACATCTCCTTTTAACTTTAAATTGAGCCTCGGTTGACAAGTAGATGTTTGAGAGGGAGAAATTTGACAGTAATCTTTTATAAGTTGATTAATTATAGCATACGCGTTTGGAAATTGTTGTGAGACAGAAGCTCGCCATAACAAGTTTGAATATACATTAAAACAGGGGAAAAGCACAAGACAAACTATGAACTAATAAACTTTTAATATTTTAATCAGGTACCACTGAAAAAAAAACGTACAAGCTTCAGGAAATATAATAAACAAATTACGAATTGACGTCGCACATTTTGAGCTGTCTAATTACTGAAAGAACAACACCAGATTTCGTCTTAAAAAAGTTATCGTCACAACATTATAGTTATTCGGCACAATTCAATTCATAAGCTTTAAGGAAATGTAGCAAATCGTAAGACTATCTACACAGCTATAGAAAAACTGGCAAAACAAACTGGAAATGAGGCTGTAAATAAAAAAACAAGCCATGCCAGAAAAAGTTATGTTGTGAAAGCCAGCCCATTCTAAGAAAACCGAATAATACATTTATTTCAATTCGATAGGTAACTTACCGTGAACTTTTTCGATTTATCAGAGCTTTGTATTACCGAATCTGGCACACTAACGCCAATCGAGGCAGACATAACGCAAGGAGATTTTGAATACTATACTTGTTGACCCTCTTGATCAAATGTATTATGAAAATAACACCACGAAACTGCTCGTCAGCAATGAACTAGAATTCTCTATGGAATAACAAGATTACTTTGTTGGCGCTGTTGCGTAGCCACATGCGACGATATGCAGGAAATGGACGCCTAGATGACTAAAACTGACTCAGGACTATATTCCGACAACCAAGCTTCGCCCACAATCGAGGACAACTTGACAAGTGCAATTTTACATCTTATCTTTAAAATACAGTTGGGAGAATAAGAAAATTGGTCAGTACATGTAATCAAATGTCAACATATTTATATTTCAAAATGTTAATAAAATTTACTGACAGCAGTCCATTGCGCTCTTTAGTATGGTAAAAACTTACAAATATATCTTATTTCACTTTTCTTCCAACAATTTACGAAGGGCGTTTGATGCGAAGAGTTTGAAGGTCAACAAAATAAATGACCCGATGAAAGTATGTGTTCTCTTAACTATGAAATTATGAGTCCAAACAACTTCCTTGCAAAAGCTTCCTGTTTTCATGAAACGAAAAAGCTAGACAAAAGTACCATGTTTATTTGTGAGGATTATAACTTCAGGGATGACAACGAGGTGTTTTGAACGTAATCAATTTTATTTTACAGGAAAAAATAGCTCCTCACAAACCGATAAACATAAACTTCCCATATCGCCCAAGCGCAGCAAAAACGAAACCTGCAACGTGATTGGCCTTCCCATATGCTCATTAAAACATTTAGGTAATTATTGTAAGGTCTCTTGACGAGGATTTACTATAAAATATACACAAACATTGAAGATTATGCGTTACATTTCTTCCACCCACGGAAAGCTTCGTCATTGGCGTCTATGTGTATGAATGATAGGGCAAAGATTGCTATCATTATATCAAAAAATATTTTCGCGCAACTTGCTGGTATGGACGCATGTATGGGAAAAAGAAATCAAAAACGAAACTCGAAGGCCAGCTGGAAAACAAATAAAACATTTATTCAATGTTGCTCATAGCAACGAAACAAGTAAAAATTCAGGTTATTTACATGGAAAATGATCGAAAACGTAATGCACTTAAAATTAGTCATTGAAAGTTGAAACAAAGTTATCTCTATCTACCCTCCCTCCCGAAAAATGCTCGTCGATTATTCATCCAAATCAAATATGAGTGAATTTGTCAACTGCGGTTTTTCAACTTTTACAAAGCCATCTTCATTATCATCAGTAGCAACAACATTCATATTTTTCATCAAATCAACACTTTTCTGATCATCAAATGAAGTCATCTCTGCCTCGCTATTCGTGTTTCCATTATCACTCCGAATTTCCTTATCACACGACGTACCTTTCAAAGAAGATTTCAGGTTATAAATCTTCACCTCGTCTTCGTGTCGAGGACTGCTGCCCACGACATCTGTGTTTCCATTTAATAACTGTTGTTTCCTCATTTCCTTCCATTTCCTTTTGTCAGCCCTGTTGCTAAATACATGTATCTCAGGTACTGGATTGAATCTTACACTTCTATGACCGTCTGCGTCGTCATGTGACTCTGCACTGCTTCCAAATGAAAGTGATCGAGATTTACGCATGCGTTTGACTTGTTTCTCGCGGTTTTTCCCGCGTCGTGCGCTACTGTCGACTTCTTCTTCGCTCAAGGAAGATGAATGGTCATGACTACCTGTACTCCTTCGTCTGCGTCGACGATTTTTTCGACATTTTATCGCACGAGCCTTTTGCATTTCAAGAGCTCCAATTTGCGCCTCAGTTTTGTTCTGAAATCGAAGGAGAGAAGTGCCATAATTTGCTATCTAACATAAACAACGTCATGTTCTTGCAGAAGAAAATCATGAATGTCTCGTGTATAAAAATTTTACCTCGTTTACAGTTTCGATCTCCTGTACGGTGGTGAGTTTCTGAGGCTCTACATCATCATCGCCATCGCTATTTTCAACGACTTCAAACTCCTCTGCGTCTTCATATTTCAAGTCAACTGTATCTTTATCTTTGCTTCGAAGAACGTCGGATTCCTTCTCTGATTCATTATCTTCATCTGTGAATTTGTATCAACACAAAACAATAACAACATTACTACAAGAATTTAGATGTTTTTTTTCGCTCAAAATTTGTGAAAGAGACGAAAACAGCTGGGTTTTATGCAACAACTAAAATCTTATAGAGATCGAAGAGAAATGGAGTGAATCTAAAATCTCAATATTTCACAGTTTACAACCAGTGTACCTCTAAAGCAGCACACATACACACACTTCATAAAGATCCCCATTTATCCAATTCTCGTCCATCTTACCTGTACATTTCGGTTCATTGAAAACATTTCCATCGAAGTTACCATCCTTATTCTCGTTTGAGAAAAGAATCTCGTCCATTTTTGCCACAACGTTACCCATTGTACTTGTGTCTGCAGAAAAATCGTCAGGTTTTACATCCAGATCTATTACAGTCTCCCGTTCGTTTGAACTAACAATTTTATGATGGACAGTGACATCTCTTTGCGACTAAATGCGAGAAAAGCGTATCAGACAAATTATGCAGTGTTGCTCTTTGAAATCAGTGTAAACATCAAGAAGTATTTATTTCAAAAACCAGTAAAGACTTTAAGAAGGATCATCCATTGATAATCCATTTGTTCTATAAATAATACAATATTTTACCCAATGATCGTCAACTTCTTTCAAGGCTTCTTGCAAAGTTTCCACGTCGAAAGAGACGTTTTCCTACGTGGTACAACAATAAAGTTTTTAGACAAAGAATATTCACATCAGAGAACACGTTACGTGCAAGCCAAACTGATCATTAATTGTACGTAAACTTCAACATGGTTACAGTAATGTTACAGTACGACAATTCTATAGCTTTACTAGCAAACGATGTGTAAATCATTGCTACATTAAAGGCATGTTTGCCTCCCAATGAATTGCTATTGTCTCGTGTGCATGGCGGGATTTCAGACAAGTTGTTGCACTTCAAGGGGCCACATAGCCAGTAGATCATTTACACAACAATGAAATCACTCAAGCGTCTTCCGTTGAGACAGATTTTCAGAAATGCAGGTTCCCAAACAATCAAAGAGTTTCATTATTACCGATATGAAGATAACATACACCACACTGACAAATGAAGATAAGACACAAACTTTATGATGGTTATTAAAGTACAGCGTACACTTTAGAAGATCACGAACATTGCATACACCACAGGAGTTCTTTAGGGCCGACATTACATCATATAGTTAGAGATTAGATTAAACAAAGAAGGCGCAAATCACAGAGATACTTTCATAATGGGCTAACGTTAGACTTCAACAATCACTTTATTACATGAAGTATTTAAAAAAACTTACTTGAAATTGAGAACTTTTTCGTCGTCATTATTGCCATCAGCGTGTTTTACGACATCTTCGCGATCGATTTCAATTTCATGTTCACCAACATTACCACAATTATTTTTCTCTACTCCTTCAATATACTTCTCATTAGATACATTGTTGGTTGTCATTTTATTCTCCATTCCGTCTTCTGTACAATCACCATTCTCGTTTCCACAATTACCATCTATGTTTCCATTATCATTTACACGATCAATAACCTCGTTTACTTGATCACTGTTTGCGTTTTCATAATTACCATCAGCGTTTCCAATATCAACATCCATGTTTTCACGACCATCATCGGCGTTTCCACTACCACTATCCCCGTTTCCATGACCACCATCCACGTTTCCACTATCACCATCCGCGTTTCCACTATCACCATCCACGTTTCCACTATCACCATCCACGTTTCCACTATCACCATCCGCGTTTCCACTATCACCATCCACATTTCCACTATCACCATCCGCGTTTCCACGATCACCATCCACGTTTCCACTATCACCATCTGCGTTTCCACTATCACCATCCACGTTTCCACTATCACCATCCGCGTTCTCATGAGAAGACACAGTCACCAGAGACGTTGGTAGCACAGGTAAGGTGACGGAAAGTCGACGTTTACTTTTATCAAACTGTGCACGACCTTCTCTCTCTTTCACATTATACGGCAGAGATATCTTATGTAAGTCAAGAATTTACAGTAAACATTCTGCAGGCGGTTTTTCTTTCAAAATTTGTTTTTACATGATGCAAAAGAAAACTAAAAAGAACTCGAAAACAATTCACTTTGAGCAGAAGACATAATATGGCTGACGTATTATTTTTACTCTAAAATGGATACATCTAAATGATAATTTGGATCGGAACTCTTTAATACCAGTTGCTTCTCAAATATGTCCAAATCTATGCCTGCTGCAGTCTCCTGTTAAAGAAAATAGTGTTGTGAATGTTACTGGACAATAAAGGGTACAGTAGGATAGTGTAGGAAAGAGTAAGGCTAACTAGAGAACTAATTAACGGATAGAGTTGTTAAAGTTGTGCCTTCAAAATTGTAGTCTTCAACGAGTCACAATGGATCCAAGTCAACGAAATAAATCCACGTTACAAGATAGTTCAGTATGATATATTGATAAAAAAAACCCCTAAAACCCATCATAGTATTGTACATAGAAATAGACTCCGTCTTGGAGAAACGCTTCTCGCAGTTGTTTCTCAAAGACTTTCTCAACTTTTCACATGACGTCATTTACTAACATTGTGTGCATTCTGTTAACCAAAGACAAGCGATATCTTTGTCAGTTCCAATAGAGTAAAATGACGAGAAACCAAATAATGTTTGCCAGGCGATATTTCGATAAAAATTTAAGTATTTACTTGTAAAATGTGTGCAGGAAAAGGTACAAAATGTACGTAAATGTTATCGTGAAAAATACTCACACACAAAGGTAGATCTATGTTGACGACAAGCTCTTGAGGTTGAGTGCTGCTAGCTCTTGAATCTCTACATTTTCAATGAAATAACTTAAAAGTTTTCTGTTGCAAAACATCTTTGATCAATTTTGTGTGTCTTACCTGGAAAAAGTGAAATTTTGTAAATCTATATGTCCACGATGTACAATAGTGTACTTTGGTGTATATGTGGTGCTAACAGGGGATAAATAATCATTAGGTTCATGTAAATTTTCACTTTTTTTCACACGACTCCTATTTTCTATGTTTCCATTAAGTTGCTCTTGTGTTTCCTCTTTGTATGGATAAGGGAGCCTTGTGTTGCCAATTTCAATGTCCGCACCAGGATTTTTAGTACCCTAAGATAAATACATATAATAAAATGTGATTGGATATTGGGGACATCACATGACCAGATAAAAAACTTACTTTATTATTTGCTGTTCGAATGACAGATGATGTTTTGACTCCTTTAAACGACATTTTTGGGTATTTCAAGTCTAAATGAGGTATAATTCCCATTTAATAACATAACATTGAATCAACAAGAAAACAAAACTTTATGGATACACACTTTTTCTGTCCAATTTAACATTCCAGTTCTTTTCAATTGCATCAAAAGCTGTGTTGATCATGAGCTGCTTAAAACGGGCATCCTTAAAAAAAATTCCCACAAAATGTCACCAGCTTTCAATACCCAAATTTTTTTGCAATATAGTCATCCACCTTTTGTCCAATTTGAAAGGTTTGCGTGTTGAAAATTATGTCATAAACTTTGCACTTCTTTCCCACTGCAAAAAAATAATCATCTTGACATGACAAACTCTTTATGTTTTGTATAAAAAAATACTTTCTAACTACATAAAGAGACCTTTTGTTATAGGAATTACTCGCAAAACAGAGAACATAAATAACCTTTGTCAAAGTCATCTCTTGGTTGGTTCAAACTATAGGGGATTGTCCAATCTTGACCTTTTACACTAGTCACAATAAAAATGACAGTTAAAGTCATTGTATTATTAAATAACGAGATGTTTCCTGTTTACTTTTTCTGATTTGCCCATTTGAAGGAAGCTTTGGTGATGACATCGCTGTGACTCATGTTTATAAATGCTTTCATGCCATTCTCACTTTTATGGCCGTCTTTACAACAAAACCATTCTGGAAAGATTAAACAAATGAGGTCCATTCTAATGCACACAGGTTTTATGACATACAATTATGAAAAATTCATGGACATTATAATACCAGAGGCTTGATGAATTTAACATCCATTCCTCGTTCTGCTTCAAGATGAGCTATTTCTTCTTCATATTTCTATAAAAGAGACAATTCTTTGTTTTGCACTGAATTATTCTAGATTTTCCATAAGTATTTTAAATGAATTGAACAGCTTCTAGGAATTCTTGAGTTGAGCTTTCATGAGTTAAGGGTCAGCTAGATTGATAAGTTTTAATAAGGGGCTACATCGTAAACATGTTTCTACATTCTCAAAGCAGTAAATTTAAGACAATCTAAGACAAACCTTTCTATTCTCAGGATCTGAAATTTCCTTTGCATAATCACTGAACATTTTTCGAAATTCTTCATTCTTCATTGCATTTTGAAATCTTTCCAGCTCCTGCAACATTGGATACATGTTTAAGCAGAATATTTTACTGAATTTCAATGGATTTTAGTTAACAACAAGAGACAACATGTTTTCATGATGTTTCCAGCCATTGTAGAAATGCTGACAATGCAGAACTTTGTGCAACAAACAAAATGATAAAATCATTGATTACAAAGACTGTGTAACGTCAATTTGGTAAAGATATACAATAGCAAGGTACCTCTTCTGTAATTTTGATTTCACCTTCTTGTTTTGCCATCTTATAATAAGAAATTGTCAACGATATTTTCTTACCAACCTTCTTGTGTGAATCTTAGAAACTGGTTTCCATCCATTAAAACGTATATGACGTCATTAAGACAGAAGACTTACTATTGTAAATTGACCATCTCCCTACTGTCGTTGGACTATTTGTTAACAAAAAAAAGCAATTCTTCAAGGCAGTGTAACTCTTCCATGATGCACAGACAATTTTTCATTTCTGCAAAACACAAAATTCATGATGCTAAGCTCAAAGTTCTCACTTTAAAAAATGTCCATAATTTTGGATTACAGAACCTTGCTAGTGAAAAAGTGAAAAATACATCTTGATAAGGGCAGAAACACGAAAACAAAAGTATTCAGTCATTCCCCTAAATTGGAAGTTATTCAAGTTAAGCATTGAACAACTTCAAAGCAAAAGAGAACAAATTACCATAACAATATTTGAATAATATATTGAACACGAATGATCCAGTGGGATGAACAATCCTCACAATTATCAACTCCAAGCAAAAACATGTAACAAAACTGATTATTACAGGTATTCTGTCGATATTCATTACATCATTATTATATATCGCGAGAACAACATGTTAAAATCCCGTCAAACTGCATGAGATTTCTATACAAAGGGTTTGTTAGAAAATTGATGTTTTCACACGTTAGCAAAATATTCTATTTGATTCTTTAGCAAAAGATGAATCATGAATGTGGTCAACTTAAACAGCATTTTTATCGTATTTACTCTCTTAGTTTGGTGTCTGTTTTTGAAGGTATTGTTTTATTAACACTATAATTCACTAATTCTTAAACTCTGATAAATTTGCGAAACAATAGCAATGTATATTGTCTTTAAAGCAAAATTATCTGAAGTATTTATTTCTCTTTCAATAATTCAGCTCAACCCATTCCTCCTTCAGAAGACTCCATATTGGTGTTTTCTCCTGGTGAAAATGCAAGAATTACATGGAGATTTAGTGATGTGGATTTATCATATCAAGGATTTTCATTTCAGGGGAGGTCTCGTGTCAGAGAGGTTCTTGGTACAATAATCTCTGGAGTAGTGGGCAAAAGTTTCATTAAAGGGCTAACATTTGATGTTGAATCACCACTTACATTGATTCTCAGGAATGTGAACGAAACATACAATGGAACTTATAGCTTGCTTGTTTTCTCTCAAGCAGGCAAAGCTTATATCTCAAATGTGACTGTTTTTATTGCAGGTTTGTGAGGTATTTATTATGAGAGGTGTTACTTTTAAAACGACCATTGTTAGTGAATTTTCCTCAGGCAGCGACGTACAGTCTATAGCGTTGCGCGCGGATAAAATTTCTTTCTTTTTTATATCTACCAAATTTTTCTCGCAACGTTCATTTCTAACACGCTTTCGTGAGTGCAGCATCTATTTTTTGAGAAACATTTTTTGTGATGAAAAATATTTATTATCTTGAAGTTACTTCTGAAAAATTTACATCTGTAACAACGTCATTTTGGTGCATGTGTCGACCAAAGTTTGAACTTGTATAAATAATTCATTTTTACTTATTACAAGTTTATCTTTTCAAGTTTATATTCATGCATTTTGTTATCTTTAATAATTTATTGCATGTTTATGTGAAATACTTTTTAAATCAATTAGTTCTAAGGCTTATGTTACTATTGCGATTTTTGTTAAAGAGTACCAACGGTGGCTTCGCAGAATCACTTACATGATTGTACTATATAATTATCTAGTTCAAGCCAAGAACAACAACTTGATATATCATATCAATTCCTACTTACGATCATTGTGGTGACATTAAAATTTTTTTTTTTGTTTCAGTACGTCGTCTCTTCTCTTCGGTTACCTTCAAATCACACCATCTACGCACCATTCGATGTATTTAACATAACTTAGTGGAAATATTTAAGAATATATCCCTCGTTTCCCTACTCGGTCCATTTAGATTATAAGAAATAGTTTCGTTTTATACGACAATCTAATTAAACAATTGTCATTCTAGTACCACCAACCATCTTCATCAACTGTTCCAGTGCAACAATTCTCAATTCAAGTGAATATTTTTCTTGTAAATGTCGTGGAAAGAATGGTAATCCACCTGTTAATGATGTCACATGGTATAAAGGTAGTCGCGTGGTTACCTCAGGGATAGAAATGGCAACTTTGATATTTCCTCAAGTTGATCGTAACAGCAATGGACAGTATAGATGTGAAGCAAAAAGTCATGAGAAAGCTAAAAAAAAAACGATTGAGTTGATTATTAACTGTAAGTTCACACTTTTACAAAACATTTTAGATATTAAGCATTCATTATCATTTGAAGCAAAAACGCAAAAAGTCCGTAAAAGTATAAGCTTTTTCAACAATTTGTTGAATAATCGAGTTTGCAAAAAATTTCATTTTCAGATAAACCTGTCAACGTTAAATTGACTATCAAAACGAAAAGTTTTAAAACAACATGGACCTGTACTGCTGAAGGCAATCCACCACCAAGATACGAAATATTCTTTAATGATTCAATCAGTGTTGGAAATGGATCAACACTCGTGTTATATGAAGTGACGTTAAATCCTGTTGGCTTCTACACATGTAGAGCAACAAACGTTCTTGGTGGCATGACGTCATCAGAAGTATACCCGTCACTTGAAGGTAGTCAGTGATGCTTCATTTTATTGCTTTTTCTTACTATTTCTTTTTTTGTTTTAGTACATAATGTCAAGCCGACTGTAGGAGAGGTTAAAACAAACTGGCGCGACATTGCAATGTCAGTTATATCTGGAGTCATTTCGGGGATTTTCTTTTCTTGTTTGATATTTTTATATTATGGTCGACGATGGTTAGTTAAGAAAAGTCAAATGTCTCAGTCATATGACGCAAGGACAAATACGGCGAATACAACTTGTCGAGAGATAGATTTATCAAATATGAATGACGGAGGCAAGGACGACATAATTGACCCAACTTATCAAGGACTTGATGTATCAAAAATGAATGAAGAAGATAACAATTATGAGCCATTGCAAAGTAAGAATAACACAGTTGACCAAAGTTATGAAGGAGAAGATTATGAAATTCTCAACACCAGTCCTTAAATGATAATCAATAAATCTACAGTACACAAAAGTGTTATTTTGAGATGAATGTAGTACGGTATGTGACAATAAACACGAAAAATAATCAACTGATAAAAAGTCGCCAGTTAATTTACCTTAGATCTTGCCTTTGCTCATTTTCCTTTCCGTTCTTCAGCAGTTCAACTCAACTCATGTCCCTTTGCAAAAGATCAATGTCGATGTTTATTTCGGATGAAAGTACTCAAATGAATGTTTTTGTAGAAATAGACAAAGGACGTCTACAAAATAAAGAAAAACGAGAGAGTAGAGTTTCAAATTTAACCATCGCTCATGCTGATTACCAAAAACGCAACTTACAATATAATATATATTGTTCTTAGCACCTTACTGACCTTCTTTTTCGTTATTTCTCCTTTTCTCCGCTGTCAGTGTCTTTATTGCAGGTACATGTGAGAATTTTGTAATTTGCTTAGATTTATGTATGATGTACTGTTCTGTACATCTACTCTACACTGGTGTCTATAGTGATACCAAAAAATTGTTAAAACCAATCATTTTCAGGTAACACAACGAACCTGCGGTAGAAGTACAAAGAACATTTTCCTAGATGCAGTTACTTAAAACATGGAAAATTTGTTAAAATCTATCTTTCCTTGGTGAAAAATGAAACTCGTGCACTCTCAATGTATAATATTGTGATGACGAGAGACATCCGTTTTATTGAGTAAACAAATTTTGTGACATATTTTAAAAAAACATTGTTCTACAATAGATAACCATGAAAAAATACTTTACCTTTGATCTTGTTTTTGTTCTTTTTTTTTCCATACTTCAGCTCAAGTCATCGAAAGATCAACATCAGTGCTTACTGTACATCGTGTAAAGATGCCAAAATGTATTTGTTGCAAAAATAAACAGTGAACGGCTACAAAAATAAAATGAAACGAAATTAAAATTCAAATGTCAACAACCACTGTGAATGAAAATGTGAACGCAAGTTATAACAAAACATATTTCATTGTTGCTCTTGCCAATTGAGCTGTTTGTCAATTCTCATTTTTCAATGTCTTCATTGCAGGTCATTGTAAAAATTCGTCAGATTCATTTGAATTCATATACGATGTTTAGCAACACTCTGCATATTATTTTACTTCTGCATGAAATTCTCTCTATCAACTTTTATAGAGGGATAATGGTTAGTTCTTTTTGAGCTGACCACTACATTGCATTGTACCATGTGACATCATGTGATAACAGGTGGATTACCATTCTCTTCTTTATATTTACATGAAAGTTATTCACTTCAATTGACAATTGATGGTTTGGCACATTTGACATTGATGGCTGGTGGATAGGAAGATGAAATACACAAGAAAGCATATCTTTCCATTTCAAGATGCTAAGACTATTTTTTGTGAAGCAGTTGTAATAAAAATACAGAAAACTATCATTTTAATGTTAAAGAACCTCATTTGTGTAAAAGCAAAGAAGGTAGATTTCACTAAAAGTGCAGATAAAGTACTCTCTCAGTTCTTTGTTCACCACAATTGAATAAACTCACAGCAGGAGAGAGAACAAATTACCATAAAAATACTTGAATGAAAAGGGTAGAACGCGGAAGAATAATACTCACAAAATTGGAAGCTAAATCAACAGATTCTTGTTACGATATTATTCACAGGTATTTCTGGCTAAAAAAATTCATCACGCGAAAATATGTTATATATTCTCATTAAACTGTGTGAGATTTTCTTTTTAAAGTTCTCCATTGTGCAATGGATCTGGTGACCACGTGTCGACATAACTACTATATATTTGTTGTTTAGTAAGAGATGAATATGTTGAGCTTAAAGAGTATTGGTATTTTATTTCCACCTATACTATGGTTAATGTTTTGTAAAGGTATTGTATATAACTAGCAAGTGATGGTTGACTTGATATATTGTAAAACAGAATATTTAAATACAAAATATTATATCTGAAGACTTTGAATAAGAGTTATTCGCCACACAACTAGTGCTGAAAACAGATGCAATTGCTCCCCATTGATACATTTTCTTTAAATCTTCTGTCTCCTAATTTAACTGCGACCAAGAGAAGAATTGTTTTTGTTTACTGCTTTGGTTGAGTTGCAAATCAATAGCGAATAGAGTTCACACAGCAATCATTAATATTCCGTGATGTAAGTATGTAGTTGCACAGGAACAACAGCACAATTAAAATTTATTAAAGTCTTTCCAGAACATGCAGTCAGCTCTTGTGATGACATGTAGGGATGAAACTAGAACGCTGGTTGAGGGAGACGGTTGGTGAATATTCATATATTCAGCTCTGTCGCACAAGTAACACCTGCAAAACGTATTAATTACACTTGCTATATTGGCACTGCGGACAGTTCATGTCCTAAACAAACATCTTTGATATCACGGTCTCTTGGATTTATGTCTCACATTTTTATTTATAACTGGGTTGACAACTTTTTTAAACTTTGTAGCTCAACTAAATGCACCTTCCGACAGATTGGTTTTTGCTCCTGGTGAAGATGGGAGAATTGTGTGGACATATAGTGGAGACATTAATCAAATTACTCATCAAACATTGAGTTTTACTGGTGCTTCTTCAAATCTGGTTGTAGTATCAAGAGGAAAAGTTTTAAAGCGTGTTTCAAATGGTCTAGACTTTCAATTTGTATTACCTTTAACTTTGATTCTGAAAAATGTAAATCAAACATATAATGGAACATATATCATGGACGTTGGAGTTGGGTCAGTAAGGCTTCCTCGTTCACCTGTGCATGTATTCATTGCAGGTTTGTGTGTTGAGCTCTCTGTACTTGGATGGATACCTGTTTTATTGTGCTAAATGGTTTTTTTTTATCACAGTTGCACCGAAAATATCTATCAATTGTTCCAGCACGACAATTCTCAATGTAAGTGATTATTTTTCATGTGAATGTAAAGGAGAGGATGGTAATCCTCCTGCTGTGGTCACATGGTATAAAGGTAGTCAAAGGATTATCTCAGGAGAAGAAATGGCAACATTAACTATTGCTTGGGTTGATCGTGATGACAATGGCCTTTATAGATGTGAAGCAAAAGGTGACGAGAAAGCTAAAGCTGAGAAAACAGTTCAAATAATTGTTAACTGTAAGTACGAAATTGTATAATACAGTAATATGACAGTCATTGCTTATGATTATAAAAAATATGAAACATAATTGTTACAATTTTACGTTAGATACACCTGCCAACATTAGTTTGCTCTCCAAAGAGAAGGTCATAAACCAACGTTAATCTGCACTGCTGAAGGCCGTCCACAACCAAACTTTGAAATATTTTCAAAGTGCTCTAAACTTGTCTATAAAGGCTCCACCTACACATTTGACATCGTTAAATCTTGTGATTTTGGAAATTATACTTGTAAAGCGACAAACATTTTAGGCAGTGCCATATCACATGACCTACACGTGCAAACATTTAAAGATAACTTTATGTATTGAAATTGTTTTTATAATTATCTCGTGGCTTAAATTGTCAGACGAAATGGTTTTCTAAGAATATTTTGGCTTTCATTTTAGATATGAAAATCTCAACCACAAGCATTGTTGATGGTAAAACGGACTGGCTAGTTACCGCCATCTCTGTTTTATCTGGAATTATTTTTGGGATTTTGTTTTGTTGTTTGATATTTTTATGTTATGGTCGACGATGGTTAGTTAAGAAAAGTCAAATGTCTCAGTCACATGATGGAAAGACAAATACAGCGAATACAACTTGTCAAGAGATAGATTTATCAAATATGGATGACGGAGGCAAGGAGGACATAATTGACCCAACTTATCAAGGACTTGATGTATCAAAAATGAATAAAAAAGATAACAATTATCAACCATTGCTAAATAAGAATAACGCAGTTGACCAAAGTCATGAAGGAGACGATTATGTAATTCCCAACACCAGTCGTTAAATGATAATCAATAAATCTATAGTACACGAAAGTGTTATTTTGAGATGAATGTAGGACGGTATGTGACAATAAACACGAAAAACAATCAACTGATAAAAAGTCGCCAATTAATTTACCTTAGATCTTGCCTTTGCTCACTTTTCTTTCCGTTCTTCAACAGTTCAACTCAACTCATATCCCTTTGTGATCCCTTATATCCCTAAAGATCAATGTCGGTGTTTATTTCGGATGAAAGTACTCAAATGAATGTTTTTGTAGAAATAGACAAAGGACGTCTACAAAATAAAGAAAAACGAGAGAGTAGAGTTTCAAATTTAACCATCGCTCATGCTGATTACCAAAAATGCAAGTTACAATGGAATATATATTGTTCTTAGCACCTTACTGACCTTAGTTATTTCTCCTTTTCTCCGCTGTCAGTGTCTTTATTGCAGGTACATGTGAGAATTTTGTAATTTGCTTAGATTTATGTATGATGTACTGTTCTGTACATCTACTCTACACTGGTGTCTATAGTGATACCAAAAAATTGTTAAAACAAATCATTTTCAGGTAACACAACGAACCTGCGGTAGAAGTACAAAGAACATTTTCCTAGATGCAGTTACTTAAAACATGGAAAATTTGTTAAAATCTATCTTTCCTTGGTGAAAAATGAAACTCGTGCACTCTCAATGTGTAATATTGTGATGACGAGAGACATCCGTTTTATTGAGTAAACAAATTTTGTGAAATATTTGAAAAAAACATTGTTCTACAATAGATAACCATGAAAAAATACTTTACCTTTGATCTTGTTTTTGTTCTTTTTTTTTTCCATACTTCAGCTCAAGTCATCGAAAGATCAACATCAGTGTTTACTGTACATCGGGTAAAGTTGCTAAAATGTATTTGTTGCAAAAATAAACAGTGAACGGCTACAAAAATAAAATGAAACGAAATTAAAATTCAAATGTCAACAACCACTGTGAATGAAAATGTGAACGCAAGTTATAACAAAACATATTTCATTGTTGCTCTTGCCAATTGAGCTGTTTGTCAATTCTCATTTTTCAATGTCTTCATTGCAGGTCATTGTAAAAATTCGTCAGATTCATTTGAATTCATA